AGTGAAAAATTGTTAATATGAAATCAATTATTGATGGTCATGCCCTATTATTTGAGAAAATTCTTGAGTGAAACACGTCTTGTTCAAACAAGAAAAAAATGTCATGTACAACACAGGTTACACGGCAGAACTCAAATGGTGCAGTCTGTTGTCATTGCCATTGTTGACAGAAATGCGATTATTTTTGCTTATAACCTAAAACTCTCTTTCTCTTTGGTGTAAGATTTCTTATTTAAAGATTTTCCTCTTTGAAGTAAATAAGCCAAAATTATATACCTGTTTGTTTTCCTGGGACCCAGCAAGTGGCCATTGCTTCAGTTGTAACAAGCTAGAAACACTACAGCGGAGGTCGCAGAGTAAGACGGCATGTAGCGTTGAATAAAATACATAATATTTTAACCTTTGGATGAATTGGAAGCAAAGAAATGATTCTCGCAGATGATTTGCAATTAAAGGAATTGGAGAAAGGAAACCTGAAAAAAAAATTAGCCTTTGACGCGATTCGAATGTGTGCCTCGCGAATACTGCTAGGGTGCTATTACCAACTGAGAAAATGAAATTGAAACTTTTTTCAATTGAAGCTCACCTGCGGGAACCATTTCTTTACTTCTACGACAAGTTGAATATTAATTTGTACGTTCTGGATCATGCGAATGGCGGGTGAGAGAAGATGTACGTGTACATGTATGAACATATTTTGACAGTACCCGGTCCGTCACAAGGAACTCTTCTGTTTAGCGATTCCAGTCAAAAACCTTCAATTGTCTTTGGGTAAAAAATAAAAATTTTCCCTGGCAGACTTTGTAATCGGCTCATTGAAAAAAGAAACCTCTAATACGCATATGTTTCTGAATTTAACAACGTTAAAGTTAATGGTGTCTGGATTTTCAAATGCTGATTCATTTGAAATAATTATGTGTGTTTCTGTGGAATTGTTTTAAAAGAGAGCACACCGTGATGTCTATCAGACAGAAAATAAATGTCATTAAAGGTAATCCTAGACAAACACGGAAAAAAACATGAAAGGTGAAGTCGCGCCTGATTAGTTTTGGTTTTACATCTGAATGCTTGAGAAAATTTGCCCGACCAGTTACAGTGTAATTAAGCGATCCCGACGGAAAATTGAAAATTTCTCGGAATAAGTTAAAATCTATGGATTACCGCTCGTTATTGTTAATTACAGGATTTTATGGGAAAACCTGAGAAACTCCACTTTAAGTAGGTTTTTTGCTTAGCTTCAGGTGATAGCAGTGTTGACCAAGATGACGATCCCTTAGCCTACAGCTCAGGTGTCATTTTTTAGCGGCTTGTCAGGGGACAGAGGAAAGAGCGCAGTGAGCGCCCGCTCCCCTCCTAGTGCATGACTCACGCTTCGAACTTGCCTATGTTCGCCTGAAAACGCAAAAAAAAAAAAAATGTTACGCCTGTTCTACAGGCTAAGGATCCTTAGAAGGTGGAGTTGACAGAATTAGTTCCTCGGCCTTCCACGTTCTTTGTTTGAAAGTTTCTTTGAAGTGTAACTGCTGCTATCACACAAGCGTAGCATATAAACAGGGTACAAGATGGATAGAACTGAAATGGTTTACAGACCTTAATGCCTCTGATAAAAAAGCTAAAACTAATCTTCTGTTCATGTACTCTATTAAACGAGATGAATCATTGTTTTAGTTTCGGTCCTTTGGTCTAAGAGGAAGTTATCTCAAAAAGTTAATTTTTATCTCGAAATATGCCCACCTGTGTCGTAATTATAGCAAACACAGTCATAGACCCAAGTCGTTAGGCTCTCGATAAAATATGACAGTTAAGGCTAAAAGTGCATAATAAAACTACCAAACATGAGTTGAACAGTGTTTTTTGTGGGGCAGAAATTGCAAACGTGATTGGAAAGATGAAGTGGGCACGTGTTATTTTTAATTTTCAATTTTTTTTTCTTAAAGCGCTGTGTAGAATATTTTTAAGCCTCAAGGACTCTGGATATTTTTTCAAAATAGATTTTTATAAATGAATTTTTAATGACTTTTATCATCCCTTGTATATTGTGATGTTTTTTTACATTTTCAAAGATAAGGTTTAGAATGTAACTCAGTTATTTTAAGGATCGAATTTAACATCTGAATCGTTGGATTAGTGGTACAAAAAAAATTGTTCGTTGGGATGTGAAATTTAACTTTGGAGAGGTTCAAATCACTGATGGAAAATCTCTTCAGCAAAAGAGTTAACATGCAGTGGAGTTTATTGCGAATGCACGAATCAGTTCTAATTAAGTTCAAGACGAGAATTCCCTTTTGCGCGCGCTCGAAAGTAAAGTTTTAAATCGATAAATAGATTCCTTGTACATGTTACCATGGGTCTGTTCTGTTCAGGTAGTAGATCACAGTTGACGTCAATGTGGTGAAAACATCAGTGACACTCGGCGGCGCCTAGTGTGTTACATTTGTGAATAGTTACTTATTCTATGCGTCTTGTCCTCTTATCATCGCCAGAAATCAAGGACATTTCGAGCCCGCTAACAATTATCAGCGACGGATTTTGAAGAACTGTATGGCGACCTAGGTCAATGATCAATGACAAAAGAACTGGCTCGGGAAGTAAGTGGTTTTTATTTATCGAGTCCCTGTGAGGTTTGATGAATAGCAGAATCAGTACTGAATATGTCTCGATCGAGAGCAGACGGGACCATGAGCTCCTGATTGTTATATTTTAGAAATTTTACAAATTTCCATACAGTTTCTTATATTATTTGGACGCCATTATGGACGAAATGCGCAAGCGCGGCCGCCATCTTGTCCAATATTTCTGCCGATGTATATCATAGGTAAAAAACCAAAAAGAACACACGTGCATAACTCAGTTTATCATTGAACTTGGTTTGTTTACCACAATTATACCACAAAATGACCAATTCAAATAAAGTACGTGCATTTTCCCAACCGTTGAACGTTGTTTCAAGTGCTGTGATGTGCGCTGAAGACGTTCAAAGAGGCGTACTTGATTGGTTTTGCTGAGAATGTTGTGCAAAAGTATTTCATGCGATTTCTGACACTAATTCCATTTGAATGGATTTCCCATCAAAAGAATGAATACACATTTTTAAGAACGCTTTTTTTAATTGTTTTCTACACCCACTTCGTTGGAATACAGTTGTGATCAACAATTTTGTCAATACCTCTACCTACACCTTAAATGACTTGTAAGAACAAAGCTAAGCAGATCAATGCAGATATCATACTCTTAAAAGCTAAAATCTCATTTATGCATTTCTTAGCCTTCACAAATAGAGCAATAGAGCGGTTTTCAATTAAATGTCGAAAGTAAGCAAGGATTGTTTTGGTTTTGCTTCACTTTCTCCTGTGATTGGTCAAAAACTAAAAACAATCGTGACTTGGTCACCCGCGTTTTCCCGCGCTTTATGCGATTTAGTTGTCTTTACTATGAGTTCTCATTGGCTCTTCAGACAACGTTTTCCTGCGCTCTATGCAATTTAGTTATTTTTACTCTGAGTTCTCGTTGGCTTTTCAGACAACTTTAGTTTGGGTTTTACAACACCCAATCGAAATGCGCTCTATCGTGTAACAAGATTAACTTGAACTGAAGCTATATATACAAGTAGTAATAGGAACAAACCGCTTTCCACCCACGTTAATGATTATAATACTGTTGCTGCATTAACAAACAAACAATGGTAGCCTAGCTCACAAAAGCATTAATTTGAAGCTAAACAGTATAATTAAAAGTAGCTATTGTGACCCAAATATTTTTTAATCTTCTTTGCTAGAGTGCATAACTGCATAACGTGTTTACTATACACAGTAAACTAACGTCCAAAGATAGCATTGGTTTAACTAAGCTTAGATATACATATTATATTGCTGCACATGTTCGTTAAAATTGAAGAAATGTAAAATGGTTTCCGTGTTTACATAGCCTGATGTAAACACGCGGGAGGTTGGGAGAACACGAGATAAGCGTAGGAAACCACGACGCGAAGCGGAGCGGTTTCCAGCTTATCGAGTGTTTTCTCTTTCATAATACATATTTTAGTGAAAAGTAGAATTAGTTTGACGTCGTTAATTCATTGCTAAGACGTGGAACCAGCCGCAAGTTTTTTAATTGGACATCAGCAGAAATGTTTCAAATTTTCCTCCTGCTTTTCGAAACATTTTCAATTGAGTGTTGAAAGTGATCCGGAATGCTTTCGTTTCTCTTAACTTCGCTCCGTGATTGGTTGGGGAAAACTCAGCCAATCAGCTAAAAAAAATTAAACCAATTTTAATTGGTCACTCGCCTTTTCCCGCCTTCAGGCAGTTTGCGTGTTTTTACTTTGAGTTCTCATTGGCTACTCGCGATATTTACCTATATTCTGATTGGCTATTTTGACTGCTTTGTTTTTTTGTCTGAGCCTAATTTACATCATCAACTCAGTTGATAAAACCAGTTATCTTGCAACACCTTATCTAAAATTGCAGATTTAATTGAATTTAATTGAAGATCTTGAAAATGAATCGTCACCGACTGTAACGATTCGGCAAACGGTGAAAACCAATTCTCTTCTCACAAACCTTGTATCAAATGTAGACAAGAAAACTGAGGCAAAAGATCTTTTGATGATGGTTAATACAAATGTTTCAAAGTATAATTGAAACGGCTGAAGACAGATGGCAACTTTTCATTGACGTCATTTGCCACCAACGTCGTGCTAACCTCTCCAATAATCGACCGTTTTCATCTTCATTTAAATCGATAGTGATCGTCGCTTGGTTGGAAATCCTTAAAGACTGCACCATTCAATCTTAGACTAATTTGATTCATTTTATCTTAATGATCACCCTCTTTGATCCTCTTTGAATTGCAATTTTAGTAAAAATCATTATTATTTTGTTTCTTTCTTTGTCGTTTAGTTTTCTATTTTATTTTACGCATACAATTCATTTCGAAAGCATAGTTGGTTGGACGCATCAATTTTGGGTCAAAACGAATAGATTTTGAGCGACTTAAAATGATTATTCTGCCGTTCGGCACGAAATCATTCTAATGAACGCTCTGCGGTAGAAATTACTCATCATTCCATAGAAAACAGGATGCAGGGCATTTGGTAAGTTTGTTAAAGTAAAAGCAAACCTGGAAAAAGCGTAGCGATGGGTCCATTGTTTGAACGACTCCACGTTAAACTCAAACAATAGGAACTGAATTTGATAAGGAATATAGCAAACTACAAATATCAGCACGATCGCAAAAACCATCTTTAGTAAGTCGCTCTCCAGGTCAAAGCTGGCTTTGTTTTTTCTCGAGGATTCGTTGCTGTTTGGCATCAGGGGGTTCTCAGTTTCCTTGTTATTCTTTCCCATGTTTCTGCACGGAGAGTCCGTGTTTATCCTGCTGTTTGTTGCCATGTCAGCTAGCTCGATATTTTCCTGGTCTTCTTCTTCCCTAGTTCTACCGTTAGTTCCAGCTGCATCCATATCTCCTAAGCAAGTGGACGGACAAGCTGCCGACATAGCTTTACTTTGCGCGTTTCGGAGCCTGGTAATAACAAAGATATGTTCCCTTATCTTCTTGCTGACTAAAGTGTATGACACCGCCATTATCAAAAGTGGCACTACAAAGTTGATAACAAAGATGAAAATGGAATAAGTGTTTTGGTAATGGAAGTAACTTGCTGGAAATATTTCTTCGCAGATGTGATAGTCCACACATTTTATCCTGTACACTTTCACAACACGAAAAACCGATGAAGGAATCGATAGCGTAATGGATCCCACCCAGGTGATAATAATCAGACAACGAACTTGTCGGCTGGTCAGTTTGGTAATGAGCGGCTTGACGAGAACGAGACAACGATAGACAGCAAGAATCGCCAAGGTTGTTGTGACGACTAGAAGACTTGCTATTTGCAAAGGATCCACGATCTTGCACATAACAGGACCAAGTTTCCAAGACCACGGCGGTTCATCGGCATGGACCCGAAACACCACGCAAACTGAGCCGAGAATTTCGGCAAAAGCCAAATTGCTGACAAGGTAATGAGCGGACGGTTTAGCTCCGCGCTGTCTCCACACTGCGCGACACACGACAAAGTTTCCAACCAGTGAAAGCGCCATTAACAAGCTGAAAATTACGGTACGAATAATTCGTAAGCCCTCTGGTTCAGGAACGAACGAGTATGAGGTGCCATCTGTCCCGTTGTTTAGCGCGCACGACGACATCATCAGAGAAAGTCCTTCTGCTGGTTGCCGAAGCTAAAGTGACTGAAATTTAAGAAGGAGGTGAAAATCATCTTGTTGAACGTAAAACGAGCTCTAAAGCATCAAATAACCTTTTGGAGAATCTCACAGCGAGTGTCCTTTTCATAAGCCAAACCGTTCATTCGATGGACCTTTAATTTTCATTTGCTTATCAATTTTTTTCAATTTAATTTTCTATCTAGAAAACTGACGGCAAAACTCACAAACAAAAAACCTATTAGCAGAAAAGTGGTTTTAAAACCATTATAAAAACAATTACCTTCGTCTGTAATTACGGCGATGTATTTTTATGCCGCTTCAATTCAGAAAATGGTAGAGGAGCGGCGTTCACCTTTGAAAAAAAACCCTTCAGCCACTTAGTTCTAATAGGTAACGTCCGAAAAGCTTCATATCTCAGCCAAACACTCCTTCAATATATATGTTTCGGACTAAGAAATGAATTAAAACACTGCCCGCTGTGTTGACTGAGATAATTGAGCGACGTGGGACGTAAAATATTCAAAATTTGTTGTAAGGTGGCTGTTGATAATCGTAAAATTGATGTTGAACCAAAAAAAAAAAGCGCATTCTCTATCCTGTTTACCCTCCACGAAGCTCTTCATCAAAATGGCGCGACATTTTTTCGAGGACGGATATTAAAATTTGAAAGAAAATAGTAAACAGAACTTGAAGCTACCAAATAAGTAAGCCCATTACAACCAGGAACAGCTGCCACCTTTTGGTCATTTACGTACTGAGTAGAAATGAATTGAATAAAACCGCAACTGGAGGTAAAACCGTCTGAATTGCTCAACTTACATTGCACAGTAGGGAGTGACGCCTGCGTGTTTGAGCGAAAAAGACGATAGAATTTAACAGCTATAAGAAACTAAGCTGCATAGCAAATGAAAAAAAAAAGTTGAGAGAACTTTATTTACCATCTATTTTCCTTAACAATCATTGTCTTTTTGAGAGAACAAGAGAAATTATTTGTTTACAATCGAACTGACTTTTAGGCGTCAATTCTGTGATGAGAAGTCTTTTTCACGCAAGTAATTGCACAGCGCTTTGTTTCGATAGTCCTTAACGTGACGTTTTTCTCTACCTTTGACTATAGGGGTGTTGGATACAGAAAGGAGTTATTCCTTCGTTTACTTTTCACCATCCCATCAATCGGTTTTACATTATCACCCTGTGTTCCTAATTATAACAGGATGTATTGTTTCTTCGTTTCTATGGGGGCTTTTAAACAGGGTTACTTTAGCTATGTAAAACTCAATTATCATTTTCGAAAGCTATTAGTCAAATTTTGGTAAAACAACCAATTGCAGAGCAGCAGTTTAAGGCTGTTTAAGATGTAATTAACGTCAAATTGGTAATTTAACTCAGGGGTGATTAGGACGCAGAAACCAGCATTTATCTTCACACAGCAACAGCTGTATTCAGCGTAGAAGTTGAAAATAACCAGTTTAAATCTGGCTCTTTAGAATTATCATTATCTTTTATTATTTGGGTGCGAGTGCCCGGCGGAGAACTTCGTTTAATTTATGCCACGTCTGGTGTTTTGAATTCACGATCATTATTCATCTTTAATGTGAAAACAAGACTCATTAAATTTTGCTTAAGAATAACCTGGCGTATGGATTAGACAGGCATCAAATGATAGAAAACAATTTTAGCCGAACTGTTAACGATGGGAACATGGCTTCATCATGAGCGTTAACATTAGGACAAAAATCGTTTTTCCTTCTTCCTAAGCCATTTGACGAACAGTCAAGCCAGACGCGAAAATTTTCGCTTCTCTTGTTAAGAACTCAGCAATTAGAAAATTGTTTTGGAAATGTGTTATCAAATGAAATATCTAAACGAACGTAAATTGTCATTATAGAGCGCTCGGTTCAGGAAAAATTATTCTAAGTTCCTTCCTCACAGCCTGTCTTAAGCCTTTTTTTCTTCCAATGATTCATCGACTCATTCATTTTTAATACTTTCTTGTTACTTTTCCCTTTTCCCCCTGTCTTTTATTTGTTCACTTGTCCGCCCTATTTTAAATTAACAGAGAAAAAGCGTAATTAAACTATATCTGAAATGTTTATTCAACACCCCTTGTTGAAAACGAAACGTACAAAAATGGAAAATTGGTAAAGAAATTTTCAAACGGGTATCATAAGTGATAAGTGTTTGGATTGGTTTTCCTCTCTTACATTTTGTGAGTGGCCTCTTGTGATATTTATTATTTTTCTGAGAGGCCTCTGTGATTTCTTTGGTTATGGTGTTGGTAAGCTTAATCAAAGAACGCTCTAATTCACCAACAATATCTTGGTGGATGAGGCTTCGTATGGCTGACACTCACAAAGATTTGAGTGAAGAGATGATAAACTGTATTCTCTTGATGGAGTGTAATTTAAGAGTTACGTTTTTAAAGCGCCATCATTGTATGAGTTGTCTTCTTATCATGTTTTTGCATAATTAATTGTCTATGTAACATGTCGTTGATTCAATCCTACGCTTTTTGCTCAAATACTTGAAACATTTGACTATAGTGGCGCTCAAATGGCGTTACTCGCCCTCACCTAACCCCTTGTCAAAATTTCTTACGCTGCAAAACCATTTTCTAAGCATAGATAATTTCATTTATTAACTCAGTTGACAATGTAAATTGGCTACCCTAAAGAGTTTCTAAATCTGACGTTTGGAGCGTTAGCCCTTTGTTTCGCTCCGACGAAGGGCTAACGCTTGAAACGTTGGATACAGAAACTCTTTACACTATCAACTCAGCTGCATGATACAACCAAATTGTCTTGTTTTACAAAAGGGGTAAGTTTCTAAAGCAACTGGTGCTGCATCGGTGGGAGAGTGTAACAGGGCACTTTGGTCTTATCAACTAAGTTGATAACGTAAATTGGCCACCGTAAAGAGTTTTAAAGCTGATGTTTCGAGCGTTAGCCCTTTGTCAGTGCTAATGGAGGAATTGTGGGTTGTGTATGTTTATATGCAGAAAATGGAGTTACGCTATTGGTGTAAATAATGTGACGAAAAAACAATAACAAATTAGTCGAATGATAAGCACTTTTCATTCAACTAATGCGTGGTTGTGAAGGTGAAAGGTAAGAGAGGATGGAATGCGATCGGTATTCTAATTCCAAAACGTTGCTTATGTTTTTGACGCCAAAATTGTCCTATAGGTTTCACCACCACAGAGCGCGGTGGTGGCTCACTTGAACGACAGAAACAGGATAGCCACATTTATCGAAAAACTGGCATATCCCTTCTAATTTTTTGGGAAAAAAGAAACTGGGAGCTGGTCATTGTGTTCGTCCCAGATAAACCCGTGAGGTGATAAATAACTGACCAGCTCCCAGTTAGCTTGTTAGCTCAGTTGGTAGAGCGCCGCACTAGTATCGTAAACGTCATGGATTCAAATCCCGTACAGGTCTGACTTTTTTTTCAGGCCTCATTTTCACTACTGCTCAACTAGTTGTCATAACTGCGAAGATCGCTTCAATATCCTTTTCTTTATCAGCAGTTCACATATGCGATTTTCATATAATGACAATCAAAATCAGAATCGTCACTGTACAAACGACGAAGTATAAGAAACTGTGAAAAAGACATGAAATTCTTGACGTGTGATGGATGCAAAGATGAATACTCAAAGTAAATATGGGTGTCTTTAGGTTTGTAGCCTAGTAAACACTAGTGCATAGACCGTTACCTTCAATTGAAATTTTGATTCTAGAAAAGCCAAGAAGTGTCGGAAATATCCCAGGTATATTTCAGAGCCGGGTGAAGGCAATTGACGGCGGTTAGAAATTGAGTGAGTTTCCCTCTGGTAGAAGACGTTGCGCCGATGCAGTCTTCAATGTAGCGAACGTAGCCGAGTGCAGGTTTAGTTCCGTTGTTTTGACTAAAAAATTGGTGTTCGATAAAACCTATCAAAAGATTGGCGTAGCTGGGTCCCATTTTGGTTCCCGTGGCTACGCCATTAGTCTGTTTGTAACAGTTGCCACCGAATGAAAAGCAATTGAGTGTTAGTGCTAGTTCGGCTAGACGGAGTAGTGCAGGTAATTTAGTGTTAACAACTGGGTTGAAAACGTAAATTAGCCACCGTAAAGGGTAAAAAAGCTAAAAGACGGAGTAGTGTTTCAAAGCTAGGTTCCTTAACAGTGCGTGGATCGAAAAAATGTTTGATGCAGGAGACCTTCGTCATTGGGGATGAGAAAGGAAAGAGATTTAATATCCACAGTGAAAAGAAGATTGTGATGGCCAAGGAAATTAAATTCGCGCAAAATTTCAAACGCGTGTTGGCTCTCCTTAATGAATGATGGTAAAATCAGACATTATATACTTTGTCGTACTCCTTCCGGCGCAACACCACAGTTTCTTTAGAAATTTACTCCTTTTATTCCTTTCTAAGCATACCCAAACACCTTTAATTTCAAAAGGGATAAAAAGGCCGGTGTCCATGTTATCTTGAATGACAGACTTGTTTATTAGGATATGAGCAATTTTCATAAGCGTCAAAAGTAATCCTTGATTTCCCTGGTTTCACCTTACTCCGCTCTGTGATTGGTGCAGAAAAACCTGCATCACCCAAACTGAAACCAATCACGATCTTGGTCGCTCGCGCCTCAAGAAGTTTGCCTGTTTTTATTTTGACTTCTCTTTGGCTCCTTGTGATATTTTCCTCCCCTCTGATTGGCTGTTGAAATTACTTTGGTACTCTAAATACGATACTTGGAAATGCCATCCTAGCGGGGTGCAAGGTAGTCCAAAATTCCCTTAAATATCAATTAGAAATTCAAGAGAATGTGAGTATATTACTGCATCGCGACAATTGTCCTATAAGTTTCACCACCGCAAAGCAGCCACCCCTGTCCACTTTGTCTTTTACACGCGAAAAAAATCTTACACCTAAAAATTCTAACGTGTGTACGGTCAATCCCTCTCCTGAAAGGAAATGGGAATGACGGAAAAGACTCTGAGTTTTTGAGGGGGGGAGGGTGGCTCTCCATGGGAAGAATTCGTGGGGTGGCTGTTTGTATCGGATTCTGAAATCTTGTAAGTCGGGATTTTCCGACCCTTTGTTCTTCTCAAAACCGCTCGATGATCCTTGTCGCTTTGAACCCCGAGAACTCCTAAGATGCCCTGTTATTTTTCGCTGACTGCTTTTCAGTTTCACGGCTAATCTATTTTGTTCTACAATACCACAATTTTCAATTAAAAATGTCTTCGTGACGGCCACGTGAGGAAAGTCACGAGCCAGCGACAACAGAATTAGTTGAATCAGCGTCGTGCCTATTCAAATTCAATATGGCGGCGATTTCAGTGGCCAAGCGAGCAACTTTGCTCTTTCGAAGATCAATTTTACCTGGTAGAGAAGGGTTTGTATCAGTCAGAGCTCTGTCGGTTACCAGCGGCAAAAGAAAAGAGGAAAGTTTTTTCTCAACCCTTTTTGGATCACAAGTTGAGAAGCCGACAGACGCGCACTCGAAAGTTTTGACGGAGAAGGAAACCCTCTATGAGTTTGAATGTAAGTTTTATTTGTAAATTGACTACATTTTTTGTAGTTCATCACTTAACAGTGGTTGTAATATTTCTAAGCCTTATTTGTATTTCTAGCTTGCTTGTAATCACGAAAGTGTCAAAATTATATGAAAAAGGGAAGGAAGTTTAATAAATGGAACATTAAATCGAGAGTACTGGCATTGCTGAAATCAGGTTGATCCCACTGAAAACATAGATGAACTGCAGAGCAAAGCTTAAAAGAAATTAATATTATTTGCGAAATATAGCGAAGAGAGTAAAATCTAAAAATACTTAATTACTTTTGCAGATATTTAATAATACGACTCTAGTAACTCTTATCAAACTCGTCTGTGGGCTCAAAGGAGTGATGGTGGGGAGGGGGGGGATAAAATTTTAACTTCGACCACGAGTAATGGAAAGCGTACAATATTAAATTGGACAAGGACTTTCAAGGTGCTTTCTTTAGCTAACAGGAATTTGAAAAGGCTGTTGCAGAATTTCATGAGAAAGCATGTGGACTCTTACAGAGCTGGGAGGTTACAGGAGGTGACAGCAGGGGAGGGTGGAGATTTCGGAGGGCTACAGATAAAGTGAACGTTTCCAGACTTGCTATTTATTTTGAATCAATTCCTTCAGTCCAACTTGACATGCATGCCAATCAACATTTATTTTCTTGCTGGCTTGTCTTGTCATTTTATTCTGAAACCACTGTGCCCTTCCCCATTTTAACAACCTCTGTGTTTTGTGTCTTCTTTGTAGTCAATGATGTAAAGCCTGAGTGTATTGAAGATTATGTGGGTCTGGTGTAAGTATCTCATTATGAGATCAAGGCTTTTATTGTAGTTGTTGACTACCTTTGACCCTTCAGTTTTCTCTCCTACTTTATGCAAAACAGTTGAGAGAATTTTCCTTCATGATCTTCAAGTAGTTTACAATATTTTTGTTATGAAATTGTTTCAGATCAGAGTTTTTACCAAAAATTAGTGAAGATGATCAATTTCCTGGTGAGTTGGTAGGAGCCTGGACAACTATGTTTGGAAGACTTGATCAAGCAAGTATGTAAAACATTCAAATATTAACCTTCTAAACCCTAATATCAGTATCTCTATTCTCGATACTCCTCTCTATACATTTCCTTTGGTACTGATAAGGAGAATTGTTTAACACTCAGAGCTTCTTAGATTGGCAATTATTTCCTTTATTCCCATAATCATTATGAATGATTCAGCAGAATTCCTGTAAGGAGAAATAACATGCTAGGGGCTCTCATGGTTTAAAGGGTGAACATGTTATTTGGTATCCAAATTCAACAGTTTCAGGAAAATTTCTTGAGGAATGTTGATGTTAAAACATCATGCTGTGGTATTTCTGCTTCATGATTGGTCTAGAAAACTGAATCGATTGCAAAAGTTTGGCTTCTTTTTTTAGCCACAGTTACCCCCCCCCCATGCCATCGCTAAAGGGTCTTACTCTTTTACATCCTTTCATCAGTATGCATATTCTCTACACTATTTGAAAGGTACTGATAAAGAGAATTTGTTCAGTAATCAAGAGCTTCTTTAGTTGGTAATAATTTCCTTTCTTCTTGTGACGTAAATGTTTGATTCAGTGGGATTATAAGTTACATGATGATAACTCTAAGGAGTCAAAGGGTGAAGAGTTTAAATTGCTTTTTTTGTTTGGTTTTTAGTTCATTTTTGGAAATACAGAGGAGGGTTTAACTCCGTGATGAAGGCTAAGCAGTATGTCAGAGAAAACAAGGTTGGTAAATTTAATATTTTACTTTTTATTGCCCCTTTTTCTTGGTATGGTGAAGGCTATGAAAAAAACTGAAGTTTTTCAGAAATACTTTAGAAATACTAAGTACAGTGTATCTTACTGTCAAAGTAGGAAAACAGTTTCTCAGTCAACATCTCCTTTTGTCCTACCATCATGAAAATGCAGTTAGTGGAGACGAAGAAGTCCTTGTCCAAGAAGTTTTGTTGAAAATTTTGTTTATATTAAAGCAATTTGAAGCACACAACTTTTGATATCTCTTCACTGATGTCAATGTAAACACAATTCTGAATTTCTGCTTTTCACATCACTAGAAAGGTACAGTTGCACCTTGTCAACTGGCTTTCACTGTTTACACCCAATTATGGGTATGCATATTCTCCATACTGTTCTCTGTACATTTCCTGAGGTGTTGATCAAGAGAATTTGTTTAAAAATCAAGGGCTTCTCATTTCCTTTTTTCTTAGGACCCTAGTGTTTGATTCAGGGGTGATATTGCAGGGAGAAATTAGATGCTGGTCACTCTTAGTGTTAAGGTGTTAACAGCAGAAGATGCATTGTAAATGTACTAAAGATTTTGGCTTCTCTCTCCAGGAGTATCTTGAGTTTGCAAGAAAGAGACGAACCATGTTGAATAACAGGGAAACTCAACTTCTCCATGAATTCACCTTTTTTGGTGAACCAGAGGCACGAGCCCCAAGCCATATCTATGAACTGAGAACGTATCATCTTAAGGTAAAAGACCTGTTACAGAGAAGGCTTTTTTTTCAAAAACAAAATCAATTCCTTTTTTGTGCATTTATTAGCTGTGGAAAATTAATCTAGAAGGATTCTCAGACTTCAGTCTTAGTTTTTATTGGTGTAAACAATACCCTCATGTTACAGTAATACCTAGGTTTTTTAGACACACTTTTTTCTGTTTTATAACCACTTTTAGGACCAGTTAATTATTTGCATTCAGGTGTGATTGGTTTTAATGGGTCACATGACCAAATATGCCACAGTAAAAACTGTGATTCTTATAATGTTAGTTCAGAGAATTTTGTATTGGATCAACTAATTATCCCCAAATTGATATTTTTCTTTATTCTCATCACTTATCTGGTTGATATTGTATTTGATATTGTAAGGAGAAATTCTGTCTTGGTCACTTGAAAAAAAAACTTAAAGGGTTTAAGCTAAGTTAAACATTTTCTTTAATCTTTTCTTTTGATGGAAAGCTGTCTGCTTCTTGGAATAAACAATGTGAAAAAAAATATGATTTTCATGCTTCACTGTAAGAGGCATTTTATCAGAAGGGATCAATAGATGTATATGTACTTTTTCCACTCGTGTATGTGGGTGAGTAAACAAAACTGTTGTTTATGAAGTATGTTTGCATTTCAAGACCTTCATATCCATAAACTGCTAACTACTTGTTTTTCTGCAATTTTCAGCCTGGTACCCTTATTGAGTGGGGAAACAATTGGTAAGGAGTGCAAAGGCATTCTTGTATCTTGGCTGAAATATTGCTATTCATAGGAAAGTTTAGATCTGCAATGTCTAGCACAACTCTTAAGATGCTGTTCCTTTCCCTCTCAAATCTTGGTAGCAGTGTTCATACCCAAGCACTTTTAGTGTTATCTGATATAACAAGTGGGTATAAATTACAGTTGGTAAAGGTTTTGACTCCTTGTTTTATTTTCCAGGGGTCAAGCTATTCAGATTCGTCAACAAGATGATGATGCTGTGGCTGGCTTATTTTCCCAGATAGGAGAACTTTATGTTGTTCACCACATTTGGGGTAGGTCTTCTTCCACTTCATGTGTTTTACAAATTCTAGTTCATTGTGCAGTCCTTTCCAAAAGTTTGTCTGGGAACAATACTACCTTTATTACAGCTACCTTTTAAAACATCAAACCTTTATGAAAATTATGATTTTTCATATATTTCATAAAGCTTATGAAGATCTTGCAACCAGACAGAAGATAAGGCAGAATATGTGGAACAGGCCTGGATGGGACACATGTGTTGCTAACACTGGTATGTTGTACCTTTATGAAATCATGAAATCTCTTTCAGGGTTTACTTTGGGTTACAAAATTTTGCTCTCAAGAGAGGTTTCCTGTCAGTTGGGATTGATATTTGTGTTACTTCAATAAGGCTTTCCCTGAATCTGTTTCCAAGGAGTTTTTTTAAAGGAATTTTGAAAAGAAACAATGTTAGGCTACTTGCAATAACTCCTTGTAGGAGTTGCTGTAAGAATCAGTGAAGAAAAAAAAAATTGTAGCTAGTGCATGGAACCCTTGGAGTGATGCCCAGATTTCTGTGCCACACACTGGGAGTCAGGCACATTTTTAGAGGGTTCTTCTTTCCCAAGGAACAATGTGATCATAATTTGTATTAAAAAAGAATTTCATTTGACCTGCGATGAAAATCAAATTTATCTCTGATCATTAAAAATTATGAACTGTCATTGATCATAATTTTAACACGTTTTTCCATTTTGTATTTTAGTTCCGCTGATTCGTCGAATGGAATCAAGAATAATGATTCCTTTGCCATTTGGACCTCTTCAGTAAACACACAAAATTTTTTGATACTTTTTGGCAACATCAGGATTATAATACCACATATACCTGTGCTTTTGCCCTGCTTCATTAACCCTTTGACTCTCAGGAGCAATCAATAAATAGATTCTCCACACTGCTCTTGTACACTGGCATGCAGATAAGTATTGAGAATCACCAAATTATCAACTATGGGAATATTTTCTGAGAACCAGCCAACAGAGAAATGTGCTGATGATATAAGTTGAGAGAATTTACTCTCAGATCTTGAGAAGTAAAGGGTTTGCTCCACAACAATAGTACCAATTTCATTTATACCTTTTGATGACAGAGACAAAAATTTATATGGTTTCAAGGGAGACCTTTTTTTTTTTTCGTGATGTAATCAAGGAAAAGTCTGTGTAGAGGAACACAGCTAAAAGATAAATGTATACTCTTAGACCTACTGTTATACTTAACTGATTTGGGTTAATTGATTTGATAAAAAATGCCTCTTTCTTGATAACCTATCACTGCCTCTTTTATTAGATATGTGTATTGATTATGTTAGGAAAATTCAGGGAAAAATTATTGTCATATCCTATATATTTAGCAGTTAATTCTAAACCTGGTCATTTGATTAGTATAACTCTAAAAAATCACAGATAATGATCTTGTGATTCATTCTGATACTCATAGCTCATTGAGAAGCTGTAATGTCTCAATTTTTAAGGGACTTGTGTGCGGGTTTATGCCTGATTTGTGTATGTGGGGTAACTTTTTTTTTCATTTACGTTTTTGAATAATTACTACATGAGCAATTATTTTTCTGAACCGAAATCTGGCATTTTATTTAAAGCATTTGTTTTCATTGTGACATGGAAGTATGCTATTGGTGTTATCAAATGTTCCATTCTTCTTCCTCAATTATTTATTTGATTTCTTTTTCCTGGGTGAGGCTGTTTCGAGAGGTTTACAGTTCATAAACTGAAAGCGGGGCCATTCAGACCGTGAAAAAAAATTAATCAAAGAGCAGAACTGAAATAGTAGATGTCAACTTGTGCTATTCCACCAAATTAAATTTCGAGTACAAAACAAACGAATCTTGACTCGTTATTTACGAATTACGGTTAGATCGCACCATGGTTAGATCGCTCCAACCAAAAGCTAGATCGCTCCACTCGAAAGTTAGATTGCTCCATCAAATAAGTTACTTCGCTACCAAAATAAGTTACTTCGCTACCAATATAAGTTACTTCGCTCCATGTAGAAGACCAAGATAAAGGTAGCAAAACTCGTGTCTGTTAAATGTTAAGATGAAATTACTGGTCTTTTTATTCTTTCACGTGGTTGTGGATTGTAGACATAGAATTGGGGAGAATTAAACGCAGCATTTAGCTATTACGACATGATTAGCGGATTGGTAAAAAACAAGATCGATATGATGCTATGAAAAGGTTGCCAATAATGAATTTACATTAGCTCGTTGAATGCAATATGTGAATTGTGGCATGTAAGGAAAGTTTCGTCACATAATTTTGTCAGAATGGCCTTGCTTTCAGTCGATTCGCGTTCAAAATGTGTATGTTGCTGGACTATTTTTGCCTTCTAACAGTAGCATGTGCTTGTAAACCGTTTTTCAGTGAAAGTTTTGAAGAAATGGGGGCGAGAGTTAAAGTGTGGTGTACTTTAAAGACACAATAAATTCTCTGGAAAAGTTTGTTACACAGACTGTTTATTTTTTATGGGGGGAGGGAGCACTTAGGTATATTTTGGTTAGTGTGATCCGCCTGGGTCTCAAACTGAACCTCGTAAAATGAATTGACCACCGCAAAGAGGTTCCAAAGCTGTTCTTAGCATTAGTCAAACGCAGTCTTACCGGAATAATTCTCGCTTAGTCACGTAAAAGACACGGTAAGAAGTCGTGGGCTAAACCTCGTGTGCGGGGGACATCGGCAGATTGTCGTTCCAGAAAATTTCGCGCCAAATTACTGCGAATGATAAGAGAATTTTCTCTTTTCGAAAAACATGATTGGTTTTTCAAAGTTTTATGGGACGTGGAACACGTTTAATTGATTCTTTTACAAGGTAATTTTTCTGTCTCTTCTTTTGAGCATTGCATAGTAAAGTGATTTTAAATGTAGCGCCGCGACAACCACTGTTGTTAGACACAAAATAATGTGTTTCACAAGGTATATGCTATTTCTCTCTAAACTATGATGTCTTCAATTATCTTTAGTGAGAGTGTCGAACTACGAAGATTCTCTGAAACAATTATTAAATAACTTCGGGTCAAAATCGGGTAAAGTTCGGCGCTCTGTTGTTACACTCGGTCACTCTTACAATTCGACGACATAATGTTTGTGCCTCCTCCAAATTTCCCACTATAAAATTCAGAGTGAAAGATGAAAATATAAATTGTTTGCGCGCACAGTCACCTCTAAAGAAGGTGCCAAAACTGCAATAAAAATTAAAAATAAGGGAACTTTTTCCTTATCGTAGATAGTAGTAAACTAGAATTGATCGAAAGTGTAAGAAGGGTAATTTTCAGGAAGTACTTGTACAAGAATCAACTAGTATCCAAGTAATCCTATACATCCAAGGGCAAACAACACAAGTTATTCTGATTTTAATAAAAGCAATTAAGAAATGACTTACTTAAATAGACGGTAACCTCGGTAACTGAACATCTGTTTCACGCCGAGTTCATATTGAGAAGAGATATGCTTCGATCAGTCACCAAGGCTTTTTTCTCATGATAAGAGAAGTTGTAAACTCAGAAACAAAGAGAGTAATGGACGATCAACTTGCTTTTATGAAGTTTAATATCTTTTTTAACAACGCTTTTTTCAGTCGTTGAAAAAAATTGTTCCATTACATCGCGAAGAAACAGCAACGACGTAAACAAAAATTCCACTTCATAACATGGACTGGCGATCACAGGTAAGCGTTTACAATAAGAAGTACTGATTCAGCGTTTGATAAGTTTAAATCTCCATTGTTCAAGAACACATTTCAAATTTCAACACGGCGCAAATAGCAAATACATTAACTCATTGAAAAATTCGGACTTTTCAATGAAGAGGCTGAAAAGACAGCATGTTTATATGATATCTACCGATGAAGGACTAAGCCCGAAACTCCACAATATAAATGACTTTAGGACTGAGAACTTACAGTCAGACTGTAATCTACTGAGCTTTTGGAGCCTTCCCAAAAGCGATTCCTCTTAGCTAGATCATTGACGTTGTGATAACTTTCTTATACAGTAACGATTCACTTAGAGAAGGAAATTATTTTCATTTTACGGGAGATTTAACCCTTTAACTCCAAAGGCTGATTAGCATTTGATTTCTCCATACATTTTCATCCCTGAATCAAACATTAAGGTCTTGAGAATAAAGGAAATGATCTTCAACTAAAAATACTCTTGATTGTTAAACAAATTCTCCTCGTCAGCACCTCAAGACACATATAGAGAACAATATGGAGATTATGTATACTGATGCCAGGGTGAGATAAATATCATGAGTTGTTTTGGGCCAAACTCCTCTCACCCACCCCTCCCCGCTATTTTGAATTGTGTCACTGTCTCCCAAGCTCCTTCCCTCTTCCTGCCGCGCGCCATATTGAATTTGTACAATCCTGTGCTGTGCGATCAGGGTTGGTTGCACGGCCCAGTGCACCAGGAGAAAGGACAGGGCGCAATGGACGCTCCAGAGGTTATCGATTCATTAGAAGATCTAAGATTGACAGGGAGAGATGGCTACGTATGTTGTTCAATTTGCCACAATTGATAAGAAATCGGTTAGTTGTTGTGACCCACGTGTTTCTAGTTTTGACAACTGTTTGTGTTCTTACAGGTTCCCAATCGTTATACGGTGCCCTTAACACAAGGTATAGATATCAACGACCTGATTAGAGGAGACGGTAGCATGTTTGAGACAGATCTCAATGACATGGGTAAGGACAATTTGTGAGACCAACCATCCATCTAGTCTGGCCAATTCTATTTTGCGAAAACCAGGCGAGATATAACGAAACTAAAGGACTTATGCAGATATATTTTCTAATAAGGTAAAGATAACTTTCGTCAATTGATAAGAAGATTTTTATTCATTTCTCAGAGTAGTGATTTCAGAAGAGTTATTATTTTAAGAAATCTACTATTTTCACCTTGCGGTGACAACGTGACCTCTTTCATGTCACAAAAATACATTAGTATATTGTTACGGTATAATCTAACCGAAAGAAAAACACTACAATCCTACAAACTCAACTGCTTTATTTGAACAGCGAGTAATGTTCTTAACAAGGAGCATCTCCTGAAAGCAGCACAATAGTTATTGTTAATAAACTTAATTAAGCCTACCACAGTCTGTATATCCCCAGCTCACCACTGACACAATCTCACTGCTGTCTCCAAAGTTCCTTGAAATGAGCAATCTTCCACAGTAACTCTCTCTCTCGGTATAGCTTTCAAAACAGTCGTTGCTCCAACAACAACAACTACTCCTACTACTACACAAGTGAGTCATCATTGCATTCCAGGAAGGAGAACACATACTAGTTGTGTTGTTTTCGTGGAAATCACTCTTGAGGGTTTTATGGACCATTCCCAAGGGGATTGATCGTGATGCCAAGTGATTTCAGGTGTTGGGCGCCATTTTGGACTGGCTGGCTAGCTGGCTGGCTATGTGGCACCAATAGCCTTGATGTCATGTGCAAATGTTTTCTTGACCGCCTTGAGCTGAAGACACTGAATTTTTTTCTGTGCAATCAGTACAATAAAAAAACTTTTACTAGAAAGAAGGGGAATTCACAATTCTCTCATGAATCTGATTGTTTCCTCTCTTTTTTCAAGCTGCTTTTGAGGATGAAGAGGAATCACAATATTTTGATTCTGAGGATGTTTTCCAACAGCTCAACTATGAAGCTAATGATTTTGGAGATGATTCTGGCTCAGACAGAGATGATGATTTGGTAAGTTTCTTGGACTTCTATGCACTGGGATGTAGGCTGCATTGTCCTGTAAAGGAGGGGGAGAGGATGAGAAACAGGATCAGCATCTTACTGTAGTTGCTTATACGGTTGATTGCATTTACCCTTCCATGCAAGTGATAAAACATGTTCTGTTGGCCTACCAAACTTCAATGTCTACAACCAACCAGTAGAATGTAAACTAACATATTATTACGAGAAGTGTGATTTGAGTGTTCTGTAATATTGTTTTCCTTGTTGCTTTTGAGATCTATCATTTGATTTTGTAATTCAGTAGAGAGTGGTACACCAACCCTTCAAATTTCTGCCTTGTTTGTCTACAGCAAATACCATTGCTAACCACCATCACTAAGTGCAAATACCTTCTAAAGAGGGCAGGCAATGCAAAACCTTCGCCCAAATGGGCCAAACATTCAGTTTACAGAGAGAGACATGGACAAATTTTAAAAAGAATAAGGGGGGAGGGGAGGGTCACAACATCATACTCTAATCACAATTTTCACCCATAGTCTAATTTTTTAGATGGCAGCCAAAGTCACAAAACTGTATCTTTAAGCTGAATCAATCTGTTGACAATTTGTACATCTGAAACAACAAACAGGTGGAAAGATACCGTAATAAAGTAAAGCTCATTTTCATAATGTGTTCATGTGTCAGACACCTTTTCAACGCCTTGCACGTGGTATGGAAGATCTCACAGGAGATGAAGGAGTTCTTAAACGAATTCTAAGAAAGGGAACAGGGCCTGTTGTACCTGAAGGGGCTACTGTGAGATGTATGTACATTACATTTGTTACAAGGCTAGTATAGTACTGTTCGTAATTAAGTTACCTGTCCAGTGTCCAGAGAATTGACTGGCAAACTGTTGTTGTAACTGCAGTGTTCGTTTGGAGAACTTTAAGTTGGCTGTTTACAAGAGCCCAGGACATCCGAGTCTTTCTCATAACTTTGGCTTAAAAGTTAAATTTTTTTTGTAAACATTGCCTCCTGAGAAGTAAGTAAAACGTCTACTACTAATTTTGTTATATCTGGACATTTTTGTTTTGCTTGCTTGTAGATCATTATAATGGCTATTTGGAGTTTAATGATGAGCCTTTTGATTCCTCAAGGTTGAGAAATAAACCAATGAAATTAACAATTAGGTTCCATTTTGGTGTCTGTCAATGATATAGATGAAATTAAAAATTAGGTTCCAGTTTAAGCTTTGAACTATTTTAAAATGTGCAAAGAGGGTGTATTTTGGATGAAATAGATCAACAAAGATGAAATGATGCATTAAATAACCAAAAAGACTGAATATTCTAGACAGGGCTCCCTGAGGCTAATCTTGCATATAGAGGGTCATCATGTTAATAATCAAAGAAAAGTTGGATTTATTTTCATACTTTTTCTCCCTTTGTTCCACATACACTAACATATTTAGTAATCAAAGGAGCTAGTGTGAAATCATTTTGACCTGGAATCGTTGTTAACTTTAACATGTACACTAAAATTTAGCTTTAACTCTTATGGTTTCAGAGGAAAACATTCTAGGTCTCTATCTTGGTTTACGGACCATGAGGAAAGGAGAAAAGTCTAAGTTTCTTGTGACTCCAGAATATGGCTATTTAGAGATGGGTTGTACTCCTCGTATACCTGCATCAGCAAAAGGTTTGTGTTCATGATTATGTTGCTGTGATTAAAAAGAAAATACAGTCCCCTAACCTACTCTTCCAGAGTCATATTTTTGGGACACTAGCAGCCTCATTAGCCTCTCTCAACGTTGTTCTCCCAAATACTGCAAACAAACTGCCTGTTGTGAACTTAGGAAAGAAGATAGGGGCAGTAGAACAGGGGATAATGGTTTACCAAAGAAGCCAGACAGTAATATCTCAGAGTTCAACTACTGCTTCAGTTTGTTATTGTTATTGTTGTTGACAGTTGATGATGGCATCAGATCAACTTTAAAGGTTCATCCATATTTTACCTTATGTTATTTAATTTCTCTACTAACAGTACTTTTTGAAGTGGAGTTACTGAACTTCATTGACCACAAAGCTGCTGATGATTTTGACGCATTTACTGAGGTCAGTAGATATAATAACAACAACAACAACAATAATAATAATAATAATAATAAATATGGTAATAATAAGAATATTTATTAACTTATTTAGCGCAGATATCAATTGGAGTATGTTAGATGTGTAACTTATTTGGCATTCTCCGCATGATTCTTTTCACACATCAGAAATACAACTGACTTTTTTAAAAGTTTGGGCCAAACCAGCTCTTTGACGAATGATAAACTTGGGAGTTGGAGCCTGGAAGCAGGGAGGGCCTGGAGTACGGGAGGCAGTGTTGCTTGATGATCTGCCAAAATAAGCCAAGCAGAGCTAAATTATGAAATCTCTTGAATAATCCTCTGAAGTATCAGGGAAACTCTGCACACTGCCTGCCAACTTGCATAGGGTGCAATTGCTGGCCAACCAACCATGTCTTGATTACATTTACTTTAAAGATATTAGGTTAAGTATATACTCATGCGTATTGATCTACCCAGCCAGAGCTTATCCCGGTTTCCAAGTAGCATTCACCCTTTAACTCCCGTGTGTGACCAGGACATAATTTCTCCTCACAATATCAATACAATATCAACCAGATAAGTGATGAGAATGATGAAAAATATCAATTTGGGGATAATTAGTTGATCCAATGCTAAATTTTATTATCTAACAAGATAAGAATTGTATGGTTGCCAGTGAGGAGAATGACAAATTTGATCTGGGAGGTAAAGGGTTAAAGGTGTTAAGTATATAATTGTGTGTATTGGTCCACCCGGCCAGAGCTTAACCCTTTATACCCCAACATCAGTATTCATATTCTCCATACTGTTCTCTGTACATTTACTAAAGTGCTGACAAGGAGAATTTGTCTAACAATCAAGAGCTTCTTTTATTGGTGATCATTTCCTTTATTCTCATGACTTTCATGTGTGATTCAGTGGTGATATTGTAAAGAGAAATTAGATGCTGGTCACTTTTAGGAGTTTAAGGGTAAAACTTTGAAAAAAAGCAAAACTCTTTGAGGTAGTAGTGCAACTCAATGGTATTTTTTCGTGCTCACCCAATGGGAAACAACTCTTAATTGAATACAGTGCTCAGGGTCTTCCATCTGATGTAACCCAAGTGTACTATCTTGAGTGGAGAGTTAATATCCATAAGAGAAAAGTTAATGGCTCTCAGCCAGAAGTTTGACAGCATCACAGACTGTATGGGAATGGTGTGGTTAAATTTTATGGTGGAAAATAAAGGCAGAAATATTCTCTGCTTACAGGAAGAGAGGAAGCAAGCATCATTTGAACAACTTCTTAAAGTGGCTAACTCAGAAAGAGAGGTACACAAGGCGGTGTTAAATTTTGTTCATTCATTTACATTCATGTAAAACTCTTTAATATTTTAAAGCTGAGGTTTCGAGCATTGGCCCTCCATCAGAGTGAAGATTCTTACGTGGAATCTTTAGAAGAATTCACTTAAGATTTGCTCTGACAAAGGGCTAACACTCAAGACTTCAACTTTGAAACTCTTTATAGTAGCCAATTTACGTTATCAACTCAGTTGATTATACTAAATTACCCTGTTACACTCTCCCACTGATGCAGCACCACAGTTGCCCCCTTTTTTCTCTAGTATTTTGTTATTTTGATAACTGATCAATATCATGCCCTTAAATATACTTGCCCTTGGAAGTGTAAATGTCTTGCTCCATTTCTGAAATGTTTGCATCACAAGGCAAATGGTAATACAGTTGAACCCCACTAATTTGAAAAAGATCAGATTTCCCTTAGATTTGACACTATTTTTCCAGTCGTTTACTATCAGCTAATTTGAACTCATTCAACTCACACTTCACTTTAACTCAAACTAATTTAACTTTCCCAAGGCTAAAATTTAATCTGATGACTGGAACTCCGTAAAAACTTTGGTGATTAAAGCAAAAGTGTCAGAATGTAGCTGATTGACACTTCCCAGTTTTAAGTTGTGATTGAATAATACATTCAGCTAAACTTCCCAAAGATAATGTTCTTAATATCAAAAAAGCCCTTGTTAAAAAACTAAATGCAACAAAGTGATTCTTGATCAAGTGAGAGTGGGAAAAACATTCCTTATTAATTATTAACAGGATCATTGAAATTTAACACCAATCCCAAAAACTCAAACTCCTGCTAACTTGAACCAAATTTCATTTCCCTTGAAAGTTTGAGTTAGTGGTGTTCTACTGTACCTCATGTCTAATTTATTCACCTGGATGAATAACCACAAGTTTTTTTTGTAATGATTTGTGTTTTTTTTTCTTCAAAGCATTCTGTGATTTGCTCTTTTACATTTCATGTTATTCATTTTTTCTAGGCTGGAAATGACTTTTATAAACGAAAGCAAGTTCATCGTGCTGTGGGCAAGTATTTAAAGGTATGAAACACATGAGCTCTAATTTTAATCATTTTCACTATAAATAAATGAAATTAAATATAAAAAGATTAAGCAAAGGTGTAGATGTTAAAAGATATATTTTTGGGTGAAGAGCTGTAATTTACCCCTTAAATGTGGGATATAATGAAATCATAGAAAATTTTTGAAGCAAATGAAAAACCTTAAACCTCAATCTATACCCTTTGCATATTCTCCATACTGTTCTCTTTACATTTCCTAAGGTGCTGACAAGGAGAATTTGTTTAACAATCAAGAGCTTCTTTAGTTGGTGGTCATCTCCTTTATTCTTGTGGCTTTAATGTGTGGTTTGGGGTGATATTGTACAGAGAAATTATAGATGCTAGTCTCGCCTAGGGGTGAAACAGTTAAATCAAGCTTTGGCAGAGAGGAGATCTTGAAATGAAATTCAGATGGCATTTTAAGAACAATTAAGGGAGGAGGTGGTCATTGGGTACTTTTAACCATAAATCTTGTGATGACAAAATTCATTCAGTTCATTACCATGTTCAAGAAATATAATTCTATATTTTGAATACCTGGACTCTTTCTTGCCTGTAATTTTTCTTTTTTTGATCCGAAGGTTTCTCAGTCTGTTTGAATCAAGTCTGGGTGATTTCTGTGCATTCTTCTATATTAACTAATATTTCTAATGAAATTTTGTAACTATAGGCAATCAAATTACTGGAAAACTGCCATTTACAAAATGCTGATCAAGAGAGATGGATGAATGAAGTTTTGCTAAAACTTTATCTCAATGCTGCTCACTGTTTTCTAGAGTTGGCAGAAGTAAAGAAAGTTCTGACCTATGCAAGAAAGGTACTGGTAAACGCATTATGCTTTTGTCAAAAGATTTGAAGAAAAACTTATGCCCATCTAATATACCTTTATAATGGGTGACTAAATGGTTTAAGGCAAAGCATCCCCTTAAGGGTTTGAAAAATTATAGAGCTGTTGTTGGTGATGTCTTATTGTTGCTTGTTTTCATGACTGAGGCTAATTTTTAGCTTTCTCTGTGACTGAAGAAAGACTTTTTATAAGGAGAATTTTTTTTTTCTGTCAAAAGTTGAATAAGCATTCCCTTGAGCTGATTGTTCTTTCAGGTCATCACAGCAGTTGATGCTCTTGAAATATATTTTAAAATTGTCTTTGATTGTTAGGTATATAGCTAGTACCTAATAAAAAGAACATTCTGTGTCCACTTGTGGATACAAATTCATTTCCTTGTGGTAAAAAAATCCTTATCTATTACTAACCTTGTAACCATCAAAATAATGTTTTTGTTCTTCCAGGCTTTAGGTATTGACCCAAAGAATGTGAAGGCTCTCTATAGAATGGGCAAGGTAATTTGAACTTTTAAAAATTCTTGCACTCTGCAGGTTTATGGACTGTTTGAGGGATGTAAACAAATGGATGAGTAATGTAACATTTATTAGTTCACTGATCAGCTAACCTCCATTTAAGTAGTGGTAAGCAAAACGCTTTTACAGCCTCTTGTATCTTGCACACACAAAACAAATCTCTCTCATTTGCCAAAGGAACAATGCACAGTTTTGTAGTGTGCCTTAAGTTGCAAAATTGTACATTCTTTCCATATGAATGGTAAGTGAGGGGATGCAACTACTTCAGATAAAATGTACAGACTTAGTTTACATTATTAATAGTGAAATCTGTCATATGCCCCCTACATAATTGTTTACAATACATGTATCTTGTGATGCAGTTAATTAAATTTGCAATACAAATTATTTTCCCAGAAAAAATTGATAATTTTCAGGATACCTGTAATTTTTGTCTGTATGCGTACTTCAGCAGTGTGTAGTAATGCCTTGTGAAAAACCTTCACCATCCCTCATACTGAGAATTTGGTTTACAGGCCTTACAGAAGCAGGGTGAATTTGACAACGCTAGAGATAAGTTCAAGAAAGCACAGTATTATGAACCCAACAACAAAGCAATAAAAGATGCCCTTATTGAACTGGACAGGTATGTGGACTGCAACTTTATTTCTAAGGAGTCTTAGTAAAATTTTACAGGCATACACATAGGCATTCTATGCTGAGGACGTGAACTTTTGTTTAATCCTTTATGTCTTAACATCAGTATTCACACCTGATATTCTCTATACTGTTTGTTATACATTTCCCACGGGACTGACAAGGAGAATTTACTTCACAATCAGGGGCTTCCAAAATTGGTGATTATTTTCTGTTTTCTTGTCACCTTTACATTTGATTTAAGGGTGATACTGTAAGGAGAAATTAGAAGCCAATCACTCTCAGGGGTTCAAGGATTAAAAAAAACCCCCTTCCAATATTGATATTGATCTGCAACAAAGTATTTTTCATTTGAGATGGTATGGAACTTTTTTATCATCAAATGTAGGAAAGTGAGTCAATTCAAATCCCTTGAAAAGCAGACCTTTGCACGAATGTTTGCTCCTGCTAAGAAAGGTATGTAGCAAATAGCGATTACTTTAAAAGACACTGTTTTGCTGAGTCCGTGAGAAAAGGGAACTGTCAAGATAAAATAAACAACATTTAAATTTGTTACCTCTTTATCAGATAGACAGATGTTTGACCCTTTGCATGCTGACATCAGCACAAATAATCTCCATATTGTTCTCTTTACATTTCCTAAGGTAGTGACCAGGAGAATTTGTTTAACAATCAAGAACTTCTTTGTTAGTGATAATTTCCTTTACTCTCACAATGTTAACGTGTGGTTTGGGGGGTGATAAGATACAATGGTAATAGGACTGAGTGGAGTCCAATTTGGTCTGTAATCATACATTCAAGTGATTAAAAAAATTCGATGAGCATGAAGTGGGAGTCCGATTTGTTAATTACGAGTATGATTACAGACAGAATTGGATGACAGTCCAATTAATTATAACCATTTCAATTTCCATTGTCTTCAGTGGAGACTGTCTTTTGTTTAAAGTTCCTTTATTTTAGAAATCCCCCAGTTTTTCTTTGGATAAGAGGTTGTTGCTATGGTTATTTTGATCATTTCTGTGATTAGTGGATTAGCTGAGTGGACTTAGTATGATTGGCTGCTTCAACTGTCCAATTATAGGTGTCCGATTACAGCCACCTGTCTGATTACACTGTCCTATTACAACTGTACAGAATGATTTGTGAAAAATGAAGCTGCAAATGCACCAATAATATTTGAGGAATTTGTAATGGTTATGATTAAAGGAGAAATTAGATGCTGAACTCTCTTTGGAGTCAACCATACCAAAATGTTCCTTTTATTTACTCAGAACAAGGTAAGGATGAAAAATCTGTACAGGCACCTGTAGACCTTGAAGCAGGAAAAAAGGAAGTGCTTGTTAAACAATTAAGGTGAGGCATCATACCCCTTGGCCCTTTCATTTGTAAATTATTCCTTTATGGCAAGATGAATGGAATTTAATTTTCTTTTTTTTTTCCCTTTCTTTTCATTCATTTTGTGCTGCGCAGGGAGTTTAAAGAGGAGGATGGCACTAAAGAAATCTTTTTCCCTACAACATTAACTCAGCATGAAAGAGCTTACATTAAACAGACAGCTCAAGAGTTGGGCCTTAAAGTAGAAGGCAAAGAGGTATATAATGTTTCATCAAGTTTTAGTTAGTAGCCTTTCTTAACACTTTAAACCCCAACATCAGTATACATATTCTCCATACAGTTCTCTATACATTTCTTATGGGCTGATAAGGAGAATTTGTTCAACAATCAAAAGAATCTGCAGTTGGTGATCATTTCCTTTATTCTCATGACCCTGATGTGTGATTCAGGGGTGATATTATAAGGAATTAGATGCTGGTCAGCAGGGTTTTTAACAGCTTTGAAATGAGATTTTTTGTCTTTGTCATTTTGTCATGAGATGTTAAGAATGTGTTGTTTTACAATACATAAATAGGAGGGTTTGAATGTGGATTATAAAAGGCTTAGCTTTTTCAGCAAAGAATTCTCAAGTAAGTTCTTTTTAACTGTATGTGTAAAGCTAATACCAACATCTTTTTTCTGCCTTGTAGGGTACAAACAAAGAACTGAGGGTTACAAAAGACTAGTGGCAAGGAATCTCTGAGTTGAAGTTTTGTTTGGTCAGAGCTCAGTGACTGATCCAGCTACAGAGCAACCAGTTGGATTTAATCTAAAGATATATTGCTCTCTGACAAGTCTCGTTGAAGGATCAGTGTATTGGTTACGTAACCTAACTGTTTGCGTCGTAAAGAAATTTGCTGTTTTCATTGATAGGGGGCTATGTTGTGAGGCTCCAGTTACTTCAATCTTAAAATCCGACCAATCAGGTAATTCCATGTAGCTGTGAGTTATTCCATAGTTACTCAGTGGTGGGATGGGTGTTTCATCCCAGTAACACCAACCTGATGAATTTATGTCTTCATTACTCTCTTTGTTGGATTATTTATTGATATGTTGGGAGGAGTTACTTGAATGTTTAACTCTTAAGTGTGCAGCACATTTGAAATATTTGAGATGAGTGTTTTCACCTCCTAAAGCTTAGTCTGCTGGGCAAAAGTGTATCTTAAATTGAATGAAACTTTGCCATGGATATTTATTTTGTTATTTCCAATTATATCTGGGAACACCAATTAACTTGAAAATATCACATTTATTACCTAATACAGAGAAATTTTCAGTTGAGTGTCAAAAAGAAAATCCATGATAGCTTTGGTTAACCCTTTACACCCTAACATCAATATGGACATTCTCCATACTGTTTTCTATACATTTCCTAAGGTGCTGACAAGGAGAGTTTGTTTATCAATCAAGATAATATTTAGTTTGTGATCATTTCCTTTATTCTCAAGACCTTACTGTGTGATGCAGGGGTTATATTGTTGGGAGAAATTTGATGCTGGTCACTCTCAGTTAAAGGGTTAAGCTTTCCTTCACTCTGTGATTGGTCCAGAAAGCTTGTGCTATCCTCTTAACCAATCAGATGCAAACCTATGAAACAATTGTGACTTGAACGCCCGCGTTTTCCCGCGCCTTAAGGCGTTTGCATGTTTTCACTGCTAGTCCTCATTGGCTACTGGCGATGTTAACCTTTGGTCTCGTTGGTCGCTCTGACGACTTTGGTTTTGGTTTTTTTTTTAACACCTAATTGAAAACTTCTACAATGTATATAGATTGTTGTTGTTGTTCAGTCTCGTAATATAATGGGTTAGGGAGCACATTGTGTGCGCCGGACAACAGCTGTGAAGGAGAATTATGTATAGAATGTACGAGGTTGTAAAAATGTAACACGGATAAAGGGAATTTGATTTTTACAATTTTCTGATTAGATTCCTAATTAAGCAAATTGATTTAGCTCCCCTATGTTGGAGATGGTATCTTCCTAATCAAGATGAATGATTAAGTTACTTTTGACTATTACCAATTGTATAGTATTTGGGAATAAAACAATGGATGAAGTTCTCTAGAGTAGTTTCAGAGGACATATTGAATTATATCCTGACACTGTCTGAAGGAGAGCCCCAATGGCCTATGGGTTAAAATGTCTGGCACCAGGCCCTAGCAAGGTCACTGTGTTCGTTTGTGTTTGTTTGTTTTTCATGGGCGAGACACAGCTTTTACAGTGTCTCTACCCATTCAGAAGGATTAATCAGTTCTGGAAAACACTGAGGTCTTCTGAGATGCAAAGGGTTAACCTTGTGATGGACAAGCATCCCATTCAGTGGCAGATAGGAGGGAGAAACGATGGAACCAGCAATATTCCTATTCATTGTTCGCTACTGAAACTGGGATAAGCTCTAGCAAGATGAGTCATTTGGCATCCAAAATACAGGTGTATCTTTACGTGCCACCTTACTTTTGTCAAAGGTAAGGTGGAGGGGGGGGTCTCCCTTATAATTCTTGTTCGGGGTGTGCCTCCCCATTCTCCAACTCCTGGTCTCACATCAGATCAGCGCATGCCATTTTCCACACCCTTTTTCCGACCTGTGGCCTCATGACTCCTTGTTCGTTTTCAGACCTTGAATGTTTTCTACACAGAAGGAGTGTGGGAAGGGCGACAGCTCGCAAAAATATCATTTCGTTTTGTTCTCAGAGATCACAACAATAGTTTAATGGGAATCTATATCCTCTGTGTACTTGCTTATTCTCAAATGCGGCAGATGCAACATTCTGACGCATTGACTTTCACAATAATTTACGTCTATACCTACGTTAAATATTGCAATCCAAAGATGATTTTACATTAAATACTACATCTAACAACCATTTCCATTGCCATTTCTTGAACTTCTGGATGCATTGATTTTTTTTTTTAAGCGCGTTAAAGAAAAAACTTAATTCAAGCAGAAGCCAGTTCAGTATCAAATGTTCTTTCTTTTTGATGACTGTACTCTGTGTCAGAGTCAACCACGTAACCTTTCTCTTCGAATAATGTTTACCTCTAAGGTCAGAATTATATATTATTTAGTTCAGAGGAATAAATTTTGGGTATTTATATTTTGTTTTACGGTTATGTAGAAAGCTGAGATAGCTTTCCTACGAGCTGAGTTTACGTGCAGGTGATTTTTGCATTTGGTTCCATTAAAATTTGGTTAAAAATTGATGTGATCTAGACTCGCGATCAATATTTACGTAAACAGAACATTAAAATGTCACCTAGTGGATACGAATTTATCTTCTCGTGTTGATATCATCCCATCGAACACTCGAGGACTAAATTCGTATCCACGCACAGCCATGTAATATCTTCTCTGTAAGACATGTTAGATCAATGAGTTACGAGTTTGAGGTTCGAAAAAACAATTTCACCTTTGATCTTCAATTCATGCTGTATAAATTCACTTACAATTCAGCATAACTCGGTAATGCTGTTGTTTCAAAGAAAGAAAATGTCTATTCAGGCTAACAGAACAGAACAAAACTAGGTCCTTGAAAACCACAATGTAAAATGATTTCACACTAATAATACTAATATGGTGAGTATTATGTTTTCTGTGGGTTATTCATTAACGTTAAACAGAAAAAGAAACAAATTATTCAAACTCAAAAACTCGAAATCATAAACCTAAACTTGTTATATTAACTATTTCCTGATCGATGAAGGTAAGTACACCTTGATGACCAGTTTAGTAGTACCACTTGTAAAACTTTGCTGCATCCACAGAGGTCATGTCTCTCTCAAACAGCAGCAATAATTCACAGTGTTTGGTATGAGGAAAAAGATCCACAGGTACGGCTTTCACCAATCGAAATGGTGCTGTTTTGATCCTCTTTGAGGTTGGCCTACATAGACTGAAAATAAAAGGAAAAAAAAAGACAAAAGTGATTGCGTGATTGAGTGCGAATCATTAAAAAAAACGCAAGGCTAGGGTCGAAAAGGTGCAAAACAAGAAGTTAACGAAAGAGCTTTTCCCAACTCTAAAAATCTTCCTCGTCGCCTAAATTACCAAGATGAGTATAGTTATGGGCCGGGTTGTTCCAAAGCTGAATTAAGATAACTAAGGGTTGGTGTGAAATCTGATTTCAGTTCTGAAGGCTTTAAAAGAAAATTCAGTATAAATGTCTTTTTGTCTCCAATTTGATGATTGCATGACGAATAGTAAAAATCATCCAAAAAAGGCTTTTGAACAAAGAATTAAAGAAACCCGGATTACCATGTAACCCTGGATTAGTGCAAATCATCCTTTGAACAACTGGGCCATGGTCATTAGAACAGTTAAAGTTTAGTATCGAAAATAACCCCGCCTCAGTTCCTTATGTGATTGGTCCAGGAAATTTGGCCCAAAATTTTTAACTAGAACCAGTCCCAACTCGGTCACTCGTGTTCTCCCAAGCTTTAAGCAGGTTGTCTGTTTTTTTACGATGAGTTCTCTTTGGCTGCTGATGATTTTACCCTGTATTCTGATTGGTAATTGTAATTACTTTGGCTCGGTTTGTCAACACTCAATTGAAAAATACTCTATTGTAAAAAGTATCGTAATCTATCGCCGTCGAAGCTTACATCCGAGTTCTGAGGTAAGAAGCTGCTAACAATATTGCAAGTCCCTGTTCCATCACGGGTTACCCTCAACCCCCCTCCCTCTGAACTTCGTTGGGAAGAGTAGAAGTAAAACGTATGGCAGAAAGTCGAAAACTCACTCGAGAAAGTTCACGAAAGCAGCGCTTGGGTTACATGACACGTATATCAGTTTGTCCATCCGACGACTCTTCCTGATTGCGTGTATAACTGACTGGTCTACAGAAACAGAAAAAGCAAAAAGACAGAACAGAACATAACTCAGCTCAGAGGAAATGATTTTTCACCCTAAGGTAGAGAGAAAGAGCTGTCGGTTCAAGACAGACACATAAAGAAAGGAAAGGCTAAAAGTAATAAGAAGGACTATATAATAAAGAAAATAAAATAAGCATCTGATGCAACGTCTAGCGTTGTAAATTGCACAGCTAGTGGTATCACATATCCTAACAATTCTAGCGCTTCCTTTTCTGATTACTTTATGCGCTTACTCCCTTAGAATATTCCCTATAGACATAGCCGTGTAACTCAATTGAGTCGAAAAATTTTCACATTGCGATAGAGCAAATTTTACGGCAATAAACTGTACAAGTTACGCCACACATGCTGGTTACGAAATATTCACGATGTGTTCCGGTGACTTACGAAGTCCAGCTCGGGGTGGGTCCATGATGCCGATGATCTTAGTTTTTCTCGGCATGTTCTTGAACACGTCAACAATGATGTCTTCCGCTTTCCCACAGACAAACTGAGCGTTTGAAACCCCTAAAGTGCAAGATACAGTGATAAATTTCTGACTGGAGCTTCAAGTTGCTGTTAACCCTTTAACTCCCATGAGTGACCAAGACAGAATTTCTCCTTACAGTATCGACTCAATATCAACCAGATAAGTGATGAGAACAGAGAAAAATATCAATTTGAGGATAATTAGCTGATCCAATACTAAATTCTCTGAACTAACATTATAAGAATTGTATAGTGGACAGTGAGGAGGATTACAAATTTGATCTGGGAGTTAAAGAATTAAACCTTCTTCCGTACGGGACCCTTGTCTCCACTTCCCCCATCACAAGACTCCACAATAAAAAACGCACGGCAAGGAAAAAAAAATGATAATAATGCTTGACAAATAGCAATACCGAAATAACAAAATATCCTTGTATTCAAAGCCGTATCAGTTTCTTTTTAAACTATTGCGTCTCTAATGTAACGAAATGTAGACTGTGTATAGTTTTCTCAAAAGCTGGGCGGCCGAGTTTAAACACGCCACCCCTGCCTCTGAAAGGCACCGCTTTCTAATACGGAAACCCCCCCCCTCTTCCCCCGTCAAGAAGCCCAAGCCAAAGGGGTGGTGTTGGGGTTTTTAATGAGACATTTGCGGTATGCTTCTCATGGCTCGGGCAACCATACATAGCCCTTCGGCCGCTATTTTTCAGAGACGATTTAAAAAAAATGGCAAAGAGCTGTATGTATGAGACCGGCGATCCATCAAAAGTAAAACAAGACTGTGAAGAGAGGCAACATGTACGAACTCACCGTTTAAATCCGCATTAGCTTTGGCATCTTCCACAGCATTTTCGATAATCTCAACACCTATCACTCGCTTCACGCTCTGTAAAAGAATCACTGGTTATGAGACAATTTTCCAGTTTTCAAATATTCGCAGCAGGCTGATTTATCATGTGTAGCGTAATAATTTTCCGTCTAGGAAGAAATCCCCAGTTTGGTTTTCCTTGGAAAGATTGGAGCAATTTTGAATTGGGTTTCAAATACATTCGGGTTGGGTTAGATTTATTATGCCCTTAGACTAGTCTAGAAGTCAGCGCCACCCTCTCGACCCATCAGATGCCACTTCCATGCATTTATTTCGAGTTCCCACCGGTTCGTCATGTCGTAAACCTTTGTCCCGGCTGGCTGCTGCGATGAAAAGGGTTCTGAATGTGTTATCAACAAGAAATACTTAACTCACCTGGGCCAGACATAGACCAAGGGCTCCAGTACCACAACATATGTCTGGTAGAGAGAACATAGATACCATTATTAAAATGAAGATTCTTAAGTTGTGGTGTCGAAAGTACCACTGATTTTGCTCAAGGTTTTTAGGCAATTTACCATGGTCATCTCGAACTCACTTGAGTCTAAGCATTACTCCCTCCAGTCATTTTTATTTTCCCTATTATGTTAAAAACAGCTGGGTTCTACCACAGGGAAATTTAGTATTATGCACTGAGTTGATAACGTGAATTGGCCACCATAAAGAGTTTTAATTACCCTGTTATACTCTCCCACAGTTTCTTTAGAAACTTACCCCTTTATGCAATTGGGTTCTACCATAGCTTGCTCACAGCTGGTTCTTCTATGAACTGATGTAAGAACACCATTGGTGCATTTCCCACCCTTCAACAAATTTTCTACAGGATGCCCAGGCTTGAGCAAAACTCGCACCATTTTCTCAACCAATCAGATTCAAAACTAAAACCAATGACAACTTGATTGCTCGCTTTTCCCGCGCTTCATATACTTTGCTTGCTTTTACTGTTGCTATCCTTGTGATATTTTGCTCTGCTCTGATTGGCTGTTGTAATTACTTTGGTTTTCGTATTAAGATACACAATCGAAAAAGCACTCTAAAAGTAGTATGCCTATTACTCACCAAGTACCACTGTTTCGTCTAGGTGGTCACCACACCACTCTTTCAGCAAGTCAAATAACTTTTCAGTTGCCTTGGTGTTCACTGGGCACAGAAAACAAACGGGTACATCAAAGCGATTGCATCAAAAGCCGTGTGGGATAACACCCGTTTGGCTCTACTTTACTCAGTATTTAGTCTAGACAACTGATGCCCTCGTTTAAACCAATAGGCAGATTCAAAACCAAAAACCAATCTTGACTTAACAGGGAAATTTAGTATTATCAACAGCGTTGATAACGTAAATTGGCCACCGCAAGAGTTCAAAACATTTTGAGCTTTGAAACTCTTTACGGTTGATAATGCTAAATGACCCTGTTATACTCTCTCATCGACGTAGCACCACAGTCTCTTTAAAAAGTTACCTCCTTTATTCAATCCTGGCTTATTAGGCTGTGTTCTCCTGAGCTTTAGAGAGTTTGGTTGTTTTTACCTAGTGTCCTAATTGGCTCCGAGGGAAATATTTTTTTTTGATTAGTTGCTGTGATTTTTGGTTGAAAGCTACTTAATACCACAAATTAGAGGCTTATCGTTAATCGAGGCAAAAACTATGAGAAAACTACGTTGAATTAATGATGGCTGTTTACCTTGAAAAAAGGAATCAGGAGATATTCTGAATTTCAATCCACAAAGCTCTTCATAGATATGCTTAAAATTAAACAAATTACTTCAGTTAGAGCAAAAGTCAACAAAGGTATACAAAACCAAAAAAGAGTATTATGTATGGATAAAGTTGTATTGAGAAGATCAGAAGGGAGAGTTGTTTGACACTGCATTGCAGGACTCACCTCATCTCCCATGATATGAACAAAAGGAGCCTCTGCATTTCCTCCTACAGCCCTATAAAAGGAACAAAGTTACATTGATGTTACAAACTTTTTTGTAAATATGGATTAAAGTCTGCCCCACAATGCTGCAGTTTTACCTAAATTCCATAGCATAGATCCTTTAAAAACACTACAGTTCTGCCCCAGTGATGGCATGCACCTTGCAATTTGCCCCTCGTATTTTGTTTCAGGTTTCCTGACAATTTGCTAGTACCCAGTTATACTCCTTGGAGGCCAGACTCACTGGTAGACACAAGTGTCTTGCCCAAGAAAACAAGACAATGACCCAGACATGGCTTAAGTTAAGACATCTTGACTTACAGCTCAGTGCATTAACCCTTTAACCCCTAAGAGTGATTAGTAACTATTTTCTCCAATCATTATCACCCCTAAAACAAACACTGAGGTCATGAGAATAAAGGAAATGATCACCAACTGAAGAAGCTCCTGATTGTTAAATAAATTCTCCCTGTCAGTACCATAGGAAATGTATATAGAACAGTTTGGAGAATATGTATACTGACGTTGGGGTGAAAATGGTTAAGCATAAGGCCACAAAGTCACATATTAGAATTTAAAAGATACATTAACATGGCAGAGGCTGTGGTATGTAGAGGAAGCTGAATGTACAGAAAGAAAGAGTTTGGCTTCAAACACTTGAACTAAATTATTTCTGGAGAGACAATGTAGTTGAAATGTTGCTGCAACTGTAGACTATCATGTCTCCAACATAGTTTTTTTTAACTTGAAAGCACCAGGAATAATCTTACCTTGTGTGATTTATTTGAAGATAGAGTGATGTAAGTGTTACATCTTTCCCTTCACCTGTTTTGAAATATTCACTGATTTGCTCTTTTTCTGCTTCAATTTCTTCCTACAGTAATTAAAAGCAGTCAATCAAATGAGTCAAATTAATCTGCTAGACAGTCTTTTTTTTTATACCAGCAATCAACTATAAAAAGATAGCACCTGCATGCTGTAACTCACAATATATAGTACATTCTCAAAGTTTCCAATATATCTCAATATCCTCAGTACATGTGCATAACATACAATACCTTGGTCATTTTTTGAGGGCTGAACTGTAGCACGGCCATGGTGTCACCATACATAGTGCTTCGAACTGTCAATGTTTGCCAATATCTATCCACCAAACAGGGTAAGAAAATATTTTTAAGTTCAAACTTGGTTAACAGGTTCTATAGGGAAATTAGCTTATCAGCTAGTTGGCTTATCTCTAACAACACAATGATGTAGCCATAGCTTGAACCCAGATCTTTAAATCTAGAGTCCACCTTACCAACCACTTAGCCACAGCATCTCCCAAGATCAAATTTTAGTATATACTACACAAGTAAATCTTGTTTTTGGCACACACTAATTGGCTAATTTAGACATGATTAGTTTGTATTATTAACCTCTAAACAGGCACAAAGACAAAATCACACTCAAGAGTTTAATTTTGGATTATTTTTCAGTATTTTGAAAGAAATTAACAATTTTTTTAGTTTCTGTGTGCCACATACTGAAACAGCTATACACCACTGTTTTAGTGAAGGTGCTGGATATTTACCTCCACTTCAGTAAATAATTGTTAAATATCAGATTTATCTTAACAGGTGTCAGAAAATATTATCACCAGCACTCAAATCACCAGCAAACACATTTTGTCAGTAACTAAAAACAGCAAATAAAAATATAGGAGAACCTACCCAGTGTGGAAACAGAGATCATATACTGGCAATGGCGACTTCCGTACATAAGTTTGAAAAGCCTGCAAAGAGCAAAGGCCCTATTACAAACTGGTCACATCATAGTAAGTTGAGACATTGTCAGATCAGTAAAGAAGCAATATCTTACCTTAGCAATGGCCTTGGCCTTATCTGAAATATGAATACATTCAGATGGCTCTACAACTCCACTATAACCCTCTAGGAAAGAACCAAAAAAAATTGATCAAGTAAATGAATATAAGGGATACACAGCTATGCATTTTCTAGTTTGATGTGCCAAACTGAAACATGGAATTCTCTTCACCAATTTTAACCAGTGTCTCATTATAATTTCACCAAGAACATCTTCATGACATAGAAAGAAATGACAAGGATGCATCCAAACCAGTTGCTAGACACTTAAATCAGCCTTTCCCTACATCTAGGCAGTTTGCAAAGCTGCAAAGCTCTAGAACAAAAATTTATCTTTGGTATCAACAAGTGCTGTTCATTCAACTAATTTATTCTTGAAGTCTCGTCACCATATTTCCACCAATGGCATTGCTCCATTTTCTGCATAAAAAACACGCACAACCCACAATTCCTAAATTTGCTCTGACCAAAGACTAATGCTCGAAACGTCAGCTTTGAAAATCTTTATAATGGCCAATTTACATAATCAACTCAGTTGATAATACTAAAATGACCCTATTAATTTCACCAAGGTATACTTCATGCAGATGAAAATTGACCAATCAAGGGTCTTACCTTTATACGAACCAAGGCGGAATCCAACTGTTTTAGCTGCACAAGGGAAAACGTTTTTAAAAATGTTATGCTATGATAACTTAAATAACAATACTAATACTAGTACTTAATTTTTCACCTTCATAATACCTCTCCAATTTGACACTTGAATGAACTTCTGCTAGGTGGTATATGATGAAAAACTCATTTGTGAGGGGATCAAAGAATTATTTATTCTGTGGTGGACTGTTAGCAGTTTGCCTCTGGGAATTCATTTTTATTCTTAGAAAGGTACAAAACAAACAAAAAAAGTGTTGAGGCCATACAAATTTTGAGCACAGACTAAACTATGTCACTTAAAAAAGACATATCAGTCTGGAAATAGATTAAAATTTACAAATTTCTCTGCATTGGAAACAAATTAAATAACATCAACATTAATGTAACTTTTGTTTTAACCCTCAGACATACAAGGGAACCTCTGGTCAGCAGTTGGTATGCTCAATGGTCATAACCTCATGTTAAAAAGAAAAATAATGATAACTTTTTTCTGAGGTTGACAATGTGGTGTGATCCTCAGGCGAAGGTATTTACTGATGATTTGAAAACCCAAACAGAAGACATCATTGGTGTCAAGTTAGAGTAAATTTTGCAGTGCAGTAAACTGTTATAAATTTGCTTAGTGGAAACTAACTTGTACTTTTGGTTGTTATTTGAATAGCTATGAGACTCAAATTGCATTCATCAGTTATGTTTAGTATTTTGGTTATGCTAATGCTGTGAAAAGGGTAATTCATGTGTTGGGTGCAAAAAGTTCTGATACCTGTTGAGAGGAATCTCTTTTATATTAGTAAAGCAGTTTTTTTTATTGACAGTTACTGCTATTGCATAACCATCAATAAGAATACCTGTAAATGGTGTGGAGTTTAGCCATGTGATTGTTTGTATCAATAGAAAAATTTCAGAATATTTCCACAGGGCAAAACCAAACTGGGTGGTACAAATAACAGTTGAACCTCTCAACAATAGCCACACTACTGAAGTACTGATAAGCGATGACTGGCCAGTGTAGAGGTGGCCGATGTTGGGAAGGTACCACCCTTTTCCCCCCTTTCACTCCCAAGGTCTAAAATCACTTTCCTGAAATGCATTAGAGTACAGTTTACATTTCTTTCAATTTCAGCTCTGAGAATTTGGTGAGTAACCAACCAATTTTCCTTTGTCCTTGTTATCTTGCTTGTACATGGGTTAAAGAAATGAAGGGAAATTCATTTTTGGTCACTCCTGGGAGTGAAAGGGTTATCAAGAGTGATAAGTATGGAACTGAGCAGCTTTGTAATGAAGTAGCTGTAACTTTCTGCAGAGAAGGCTGATGTGGAGAGGCAGCCACTTTATTTCAAGCAGCTTGTATGTCCAAGGGTCAGATTCAGGGCCTTCTATTTGGAGTTAATTTCTGAATGTGCATGTACTCATAAACCATGCCAACAGTATCCTACCTCCATCAGGACCTTCAGCTATAGTGAACTCACACTTATTTCGATACCCATCGAGAACAGGCTGAAATGTTTCAAAGGCAAAATTAATGGATGGGATGAGGTCTGACTTCATGTATTGTCTGCCCATCACATTGCCGCCCGACTCTCTTAAAGGGCCTCAGAAACCCATCTAGTAACCATGACAACATTGGGATCACAGCTTGTGATCAACCTACTACAATGTTACCAACACTGCTTGTCCCTTTCATGCCAAAACTTTGTTTTCTGTTTTTCAGTAAAGACAACCTTTTTCTCTTTTTCTGTTACAAGAAATAAGTACTCCTAGATTTCTTTCATAAGTATTAATCATGAACTGTCTATCAAGAAAATACTTCAATAGAACAGGAAAAACAAAATATGGTAGAATGACACATTTCTTGTGAAAATAAAAATCAGAGTCACTTAAAAATCAGACTTTCTGATTACCGACTCATTTCAGTTTATAAGCAAAATTTATAAGAAATAAAAAAGAGCAATTAAATCAGCATCACTGTTACTTACTGATTCAACACAGTCCAGAAGCTCGCAACAAATTCCATTTCTTTTAGCACTACAGAAATATAAAAACAGCAATTAAACTGATAATGGAGCATTGGACTCAAAAGTTTGCTCTAAATAATTATTAAGCAGCCTGAATTGGTTTACAAATGCAATCAAAAATATACAGCCAATCCTAAAGTTAGCATCTGGGGTACTCCTTCTAAATTGAGGTCAAGTCTGTATTTAAGCCAATTGGCCCAACTGGTTGGGGCTTGTCCCGATTTCTGTAGCATGAAGCATCTAGGAGTTTGACTTCTCTCCTCTGGGTGGGATGCTAATCCATCTCAAGGTCACCCTGCCTTGCATTTCACCAAGCTTCCCTGACAATTTTCCAGTACACATCTACGCTCATGGGTGAAGAGGCATTGTGTGAGTAAAGTTTTTAGGGGAGGGGCACTTTTGGGGTGGTGCTCATTAAGATTCTCCCAAATAACAGCAAGATATGACAGCTTATTTTAACATAACATCTGTATACAACCAACAGCATAGACAGCATATCATTTTATGAGGCTGATCCTAAAGTGCTAATAGCATCACAGCATGGTTACTTTTCTAAACTTATGGAGTTGGCATACTTGAGGGGAGGAGGGGGGGGGGCTGTTTCATGTTTTGCCTAATAGGAGGGGCACATATTCCAAAGGAGCACTTGTTTGAGAGGAAGCCCTTATTTGAGGATGAAGGCTGGGCTAGAAATGTGTTTCTAGGAGAAAACAAAACAAAAAAAACTCAATGCAAGATGTATGCTTACCTCTCTTGTTCCACCCAGTTGTTCTGTACAGATGAGGAGAACAATGATCAGTATTCTTGCCACAAAAAGTTTCACATGACAACATAAATTCTAATGACAGTTTCCTCATATACCTTCAGCACCATTATGGCTTTCAACTTTCTGGTGAGTTTCCCCAAAATCTCCAGCATGTTACTCCTCTTAGTCTGCAAACAAACAAATAGAGTGAAACTGTCAAAGTGTACAAAGACAAGCTGGTTTTCTTTGAATGCACAGGATTAGGAAAAATTCTGGAGTTTTTTAACTAAAGGAGAATTCCCGTGTCAAGGCAAATATATTATGTTACAAATTCCATCCTAGTTCATAAACTGGTATGTCAGGTTTAACCCTTTAACCCTGTAACTCTCAGAAGTGATTAACATAAAACTTCTCCCTGCAATATCCATACATTATTCAGCAAACAGGTAATGAGAACATTCAAACTTATCAGGTAGAAGCTGCTATCTTAATCTAGCACCAAGTTCTCATAACTAATTTACAAGGAAATGTGTAGCAGCTACAAGGGAGAATTAACAATCAGATCTTGGGAGTTAAAGGGTTAACTCCACAGAGTGACTAGCATCTAATTTCTCCTTACAGTATCACTGCTAAATCAAATATACGAGTCACGAGAATTAAGGAAAATGATCAACAACAAAAGTGGCTCGTGATTGCTACACAAATTTTCCTTGTCAGAACCATAGAAAATGTACGAAGAACAGAGAGGAGAATATGCACACCGATATTAAAGCATTGAGAGCTAAAAAAAGGGGACTTGTAGAAGAAAAACTTATCACATTTGTCCATCAACAACATCATACTTGTGAAAAAATACTTAGTGGCTGGTATAATGCAGTGTTTCATCTTGGCCAAGAGACTTATCAGATACTTTTCCAAAATTTCTAGAAACTCATTGAGCATCGCACTCAAAGTACCATTAGCAAATTCAAGATGCTAGCAGTCTGGCACTCAAATACAGAAGGATTCCCAGCTGCACATTCACTAGTTACAATTTAAAAAATAAAAGTTGTCAAATGATTGTGGAAAAATACTTCATGAGTGGTACGACACCATGATAAACAATTTGGGGAACACTTGCCAATGTCAAGACAGCCTTGGACGTGTCAGAGTAGACAGATAAATTCACCTTGAGCAGTTATAAGTTGTACTTACTTCCATTTGCTTGCTGTATGGCTGATCCCACAAAGGAGTCACAACATGGTTTAACCTGGATAACAAAAACAGGACTGTTGTTGATACATACAAGCCAAACAGATTTGAAAAATTGCTGAGATGATGACCTCTACGGGGAGGAATCTTTACAATACACCAAGAGTTTCAATTACAGCCCACAGCCAGAAAAATTTGCTGTATATGTCAATCAAAATTTCTGATTACTTTCACTGAATTTAATAGCCATACAGTAAAAGTTGAACTTCTATTACCTGCCTACCTGGCAGCTGTTTACTTCAAAGGTTCACAAAATCCCTGATCTACTACATTAACTCATACAAGCACCACATAAAAGAATCAAAACATAAATATTCACTGGCCCAGAGTACCCAACACATCTGGAAACTTGATGCTTATTTAGGTAAAATGTCTAACACATGACTTGGCTAAAACCTGTTAGCCAGCAATACTTTCTTTCTGCAGAACAGATGGTGTTTTCATTTCAAAATGACTGTATCTCCTTCCCCTCTTTCTTTACTCTTTAACTCCCAAGATCTGATTGTTAATTCTCCCCTCTAACTGGTACACATTTTCTTTTAAATAAGTTATGAGAATTTGGTGTTAGATCAAGATAACAACTAATCTTTCTGATAAGTCTGAGTATTCTCATTACCTTTTGGCTGGATAATGTACAGATATTACAGGGATAAGTTACAAGGAAATCACTTCTAGGAGTTAATGGGTTAACCAAGCATGAGGTAGACAAAGAAAACTTTGATTCTCACCTGACAGAAATGGCTAGCTCTTCTCCTTCATCTTCATCAACTTTTATTCTCTTGGCATCTACATTTGAACGCGCTGCATCTAAAGCATTTTCAAGAAACAAACATTACACAAAATGTAACTTGCCTTGGAAGAAAGGACTTCTCTTAGCTACTGAATCAAAATTATATTACTACCAAAAAACATTTCCTGGTAAAGGTCAAGAGTTGGAAGAAATTTTCACGATACAGTAGTTTGATAGTGTCTGGTTTGAAGCCAGAAACTTATTCCAAGCCTAAATTCATGTTAATCAAGTATTGTGACCAACTATTATGCAAAACCAATAACTAAAAATTTCAAAACAAAATATGTTCATCCAAACAAAAAAATAAACATTTCTGTATCCAAACTTAGGTAATGACAAAATTTGTAACACATTGGTCATCATTTCTATTATTTTCATGACCTGTAAATTTGATTCAAGGGTGATAGTGTAAAGAGAAATTAGAAACCAGTCACTCTTAGGGGCTAAAGTAATAAGCTTAGACTTCAGCAGTATGCCACAAGCAGAGAAAAAAAAGAGCAGTAGCATTTGTCTAGTTCTTACCCTGAATCATCCTTTTTCTTGCCAATCCTTCTGCTCGCTGCAGAGCTAGAGGATCAGGAAGTGGCTGGGCTGGCTAAAAAAAAAATAATGATTTATCAACATACATACTATTAGAGCCTTTGATCAAGCAAACCTTTTTCTAGTCTTACTGGCCAAAATGCCTACAGGAAAACAAAAGCATGTTTACAATTTTTTATTGCATTATTTTGATTCCAGGCCCAGTTAATCATTCCAAAGATATGTAATGTAGTAAGCTGTACAATATGTCAAGCATTATTGTGCCAAGTTTCCTTTTAATTCCTTTTTTTTTGAAAGCTAAGCAGCAATTCTGATAAAAATTAGCTTGGAGCCTTGAAATTAAACAGAAATGACACTCAGTCACTGGCGTTAATATATTCAGCTGTGGGAAGCTTGCAGTTATAAGGATTTGTTTAGTTTTTTTGGGCATAATAGATGCAGCATGTCAGGGTAACAATATTACTGTCTAATACCTTAGCAGAAAGCACTCTCCCCTTCCACTTGTGTCCTGATAATGATCTGATGGCCAGCTGTGATCAAGCAAGAGTAAATATTTTCTTCATAACACAATAAAAAAATTGTTTTTTATAACTATCTATTGGTCTCAGCAATGCAATAGAGCCATGATACCTTGGTATGGATCTGAACCTTAGAATTGAGGATCCTCAATCAACTAAGTATTTTGATATAATAAGACACCATTTCTTAACTCAAGTGGTTATTTATTCATCTTACAAAGAAGTGATGAATATAAAAAAATTTTTGGAAACAACTACCTATACCCTAACCTGTATTATAACATAGCTAGTAAATTTGTCTAATCAAATTCAATTGCACGAGCATGCTTGATATTCCTATTGTGCACGCTCATGACGTCAGCAAACAAATCCCTCAAGAAAAAAAATTTCCCATCGAGTTGAAAATGTTATAAAACAATTGTTTTATACATCATCTGTGTGTTCATCAAGATATGAAGCACTTGGGAAGTTTGGAGAGCACTCAAGAAGCTAGAGTTGCTCTCGGCTATGCCTTGCACAACTCTTACGCATCTTTCATGCTCTCCAAACTTCCTGTGTGCTTCATATCTCGATGAACACACGCTGACGTATGAACCAATTGTTTAATTTGCCATAGTCTCTACCTTTTTGATCTCAAAGAAATTATGATTCAACTTACCCTCCTTTCCTCTTCATTCCTAAGAGGAATATGAAAAGTAAATGTAAGAAATTTTGATCATGTACTACTTAAATTATATTAATTTTAATTGGGCATGTCTTCGCTTTATCATGCATTAGGTTTAAGTAGGGGTTTGCACATCCCGTACAATTTAAACAACACAAGAAATGTTTTCAAAAGTATCATACCACTTAGATGTTTGTTAACTGCAAATACAAATTTTAAAAGCATATTGTTCAATGATTGTATATACCTAGTACAAAGTCGCATATGTATGTAACAGTGTACAGTCGAACCTCGATTATCCAGACTATTTGATTATCCGGACTTTTTTCTCTGGTCCCAATTTTTTCATGAATATTAATTAGTTGTGATCTTGTATACCTTTGGTTTCATTTCTATCTCATTAATATTCATATTTTCGATTATCCGGACTATTTACCAAGGTCCCGACAAGTCTGGATAATCAAGGCTCGACTGTTTTGGGAAGACTGGCTTGAGGGGTGATTGAAACAAACACTTCTACATGTAGCTCACAGTCACATACATGCTTATGAGCATGTATGCTCAGTTCATATGCATTAAGGTTAAATATTTAAGCACTTATGCCTAAATTTATATGCTTTTCATGTACATATTTCCAAGCAGCAACATATCTTACAATTTCAAGTATTAAGCAGCTGCCATGCATTGTACCTGAAGGTGACGTAGGCGTGATTTGCTCCTGGGGGTAGTTTAACTTTCACTGGTCTTACGTTGAGTCTGTTTGCAATCATCTTCTTGAATTGCTGGAGAATACAAGAGTGACACAAAAACAGTATAAAGTAATCAGTTATAAATTAAAAAATAAACTTCTGAATCTTTTACTGACAGGTTGAAGCTGGATGGTTGAAATGGGCAGCTGCTGTATTAAATTTCATACTGTTCTTATCACTGTGTTTGAATATTTAAAAGGATTGAGAAAGTTGGTTTCTTTTGTCAACACATATATGAAAAGCTGAAGTATGATCTGAATCGCAGCATAGTTTCCAAGCTCTGTTTTGAGCTCAACAGGTAAAGGTTATTTCTTTGCTGGTTAGAGTTTCAACCGATCAGAAACTGATTGCAAGATGAGCAAATATCTTGGAAATGACTCATCCACAATTTGGAAATACTTTGATATTTTTTTAATACCACAGCACAGGTTTGTTTGATTAAAAAAAACTGAAAATCTATAACCCTCTATAGCTTGTATGGTTTTTTTTACCCATTTCAAGTCATGTGATAATACTTTAGAGAACTGTTCCTTTTAAATTTCCTCTTATTCACCTGCATATGTTTGCATAAGTTACAAAAAAATAACACTGGGAATTTCCTTGATACCTGAAATGGGTAAACAAAACAGACAAGCTGAGGAAGTCTATGTGCTGGATCAGTCCAGGGTTGTTAAAATAAGTCAGTAACCAATGCATTTCACCATCTTCTCTGGAAAATGCGGGGTTTTTAAAAGGCATTTTAGTAGGTGGCAAAACTTATCCTAAAAAATTTCATAGAAACAGTCAGAGGATAAGGACTTATCTTTTTGTCTTAAAATAAGTAAAGATTGTTCTTACCTTGAGAAAGCTGCATCAATTTAAGCACAAAACTCCTAAACCTTAAATTTGTTTGAAAAATCTCACAAGATCACGTACTAATACGAAACCTTTTTACATAGAGGAATATTCAGTGTAAGGAGCTCTATTGTCTCACAATGAAATTTTCACAATAACACTTAAGGATAAGAATGATTTCCAGACAGCCCCATACTTAAGTGTGCATATTAACTAGGAGTCAATAGTGAAAACAATAGATTGCCGTCGGGACTAACACTTTGTTCTAGAACAGTATGGGCAGAGTTCATACCCTTAGGATATGCTAGGGTGTTAAGACTGGATGGTTAGCCTGTGGTTACGTTACTTAGTTACATTACTCAACTGTACACTTGCAGGCAAAAAAAAAACAACAACAACCAAAAAAAAACAAAACAAAAGATTTCATATCCCACGCTGCATTCTATCGTAAGGAAGATTAACTTTCTTGGTCATAAACCTTTTCCCTATATTATTATTCCTTTAATTCAACGTTACGTTTAATCCATGTTGCTTGATCAACACGAAACTCCTTCTTGTACCTGGTTTCAAACTATGAAATGCTGATTGAAGCCTTAGACAGTTCGTTATCATTTGCATGCTTAAGAGACCTTAATCAGGTTGATAGGTAAGAGATAAGAAAGTAACTCACCTTATAACCACATTTCTTGGGCAGATTTTGAAGTTCTATCTTATAAATCTCGGAGGTAAATTCATCTCGCTTAGTGTAAAAATAAGGATCCGATTCTGCCTCTTCTTCGTCTGGCTCATCGTTTATTGCGCCATCCTCATCTTCTTTGTCTAGACCCTCGTGGTTCACCTCGCCATCTTCCTGCTCGGGTACATTTTCGCGTTTTTCCATATTTTCAATCACGTCAACTCCATCGACAGGCGTTGATTCAGCTGCAGCACTACCTGACAGTGACGAATCAACTGCGTTATCGTGGCTGACCCCTGCGTTATCTACGAATGATGCTGTGTCTGTCATTGCATCACTGCACCTCGTGAACTCAGTTGCTGTTGTCACATCAGAATTCCATCCACTTGCTTCGGTTTGCAGTTTTGCGAATTGGAAAAAAGGTGGAAATCCGGGAATAGGCGATGAGACGACTTTGCCAACACTTGATTTTTCCTCAGGAAGCAGACTGGACTGCTCATTGGTGGATGAACCCTCTCCATTGGCAAGATCTGTTTCCTCGTCCGCCATTTCCAGATGATTGTGGTCACATGTCCGTATTTTTACATAACATCAGTAATTTCATGCACGAGCTGGAAATCTGACCCGGCCAATACGTAAGCTCGATTCACAAATATTGTCTTATCACCGATACAAATATTTAACACGGCCCAAATACATCTAAATATGAACAACAACGCTGTAATGCGAACAACAGAAACTGGTAGTTGAGGACTGAGGCGATCGTTTTGCAATCTCTCATTCATACAAGAAGGGATTGGGAACGAGGAAAAGGAAGAAACAAAAACTTTGCAAACTACGGTTCTCCAGAACATTCCTGGAGTCTCTGATACTATAAATTCTTTTTTCCTTTTTTTTAGTAAAATCTTTTTTGTAATCAGGTAGAGAAAGCTATGGTTTGATTTTTGAAAACGCTCATTTGTAATCTTAACCGGGCACACGTGCACACCCCTTCTCTTTTTAGAGCACAGATTAAATTTTAAAACATACACGGTTTTAGTCCACAGCCTTTGAGAACTCTTCTCATCCACTCAACGCCTTGGCAGCATCAATTTATAACCCGAAGCACTACTGCTTCAAAGGCGAAAAAAAAAGTTCCAAAATGATAAATATTGAAAAAGAAAAAAAGCAGAGCCATTTGCTTCTGTAAATTTATGACCAGGACCCCTATACTCCTTACCCTTTCTCCCCTCCCCCAACCCATTTCCGGGAAACCTTGGAGTTTCTGAGAAAAACAACCTATTGTCTCCAATGGGAAACAATTAAGACAATATTAAGTGTTTCAGCTATGTATGGTCAAAACAGTTTTTAAACGCAGGCACCGTGTCAAATGTGATTGTTATCGTCCGCGAAAAATCAGTCAACAAGGGAGTTGTTCAACTTAAAAAGAGTTTTAGGTGGAATTAGTTGAGGAAGCGAAAAAGATGCTTAAAACTGTTCTGTGGTCTCTCCTCGTGGCTTTATTTAACAGTGCAGTAGAAACAGAGGCGAGGACTGAAGGTAGGTTCAGACAATAGTGCTTTACAACATGATTTCTTTCCAAAGTTTTAACACATTTCAAACCAAGAGTGTTCCAAATGATTTTTTGATTACTGCATCCTCTGTTGCGAGATTTTACATTAGTAGACGAATCCTGACGTAAAAACTGAGCCAGCCGCTACATTTAGCAAGGTTCTTAAGCTACGTGAAATATCTACAACAGCACAGCCGATTATGATCAATAGCCGAAATCGACCCTTTCAGAACCATGAGCATATCATCTCAATTTGAAAAAGTCGTCGTTTTTTTTTCTCTCGCGTAGTATCCCACTCAATTTCTTATAAGTTCAGAAGGAAAATGTCTCGTAGCTGACGCCTTATAGTTCTGCATTATCACTCAGCACATGGCTGTCTGAATTATTGTCTCGAAATGCACACCGAAATGCTGACTCACTGATGACTAAAGTTGTCGACTGAGCATGAATTAAGCCGCCTTGCGGAAATCATCGGCAAAACAGGGCTGTTTGGCAAAACCGCTTCCATCACGGAAGAATGAAAAGTACTAGAATAAAAATAGCAACCAACGCAACATCGAAAAGAAAGAGAAAAGGGGGTGAGTTTATGAGAAAGAGTGGTGCTGCAGAGGTTGAGGGTATAACAAGATAATTTCAGTGGTTTATCAACTGATTGAAAATGTATAAAGGGGTAAGTTTCTAAAGAAACTGTGGTGCTGCGTCGGTGGGAGAGTATAGCAGGTAATTTAGTGTTAACAACTGGGTTGAAAACGCAAATTAGCCACCGTAAAGGGTAAAAAAGCTGACGTTTCGAGCGTTAGCGCTCTGACGAAGGGCTAACGCTCGAAACGTCAGCTTTTTTACCCTTTACGGTGGCTAATTTACGTTTTCAACCCAGTTGTTAACACTAAATTACCTGATTGAAAATGTAGTCAACCATCGTAAAGAGTTCGGACTTGAGCCGAGAAATAGGCCCATAAAACGCGAAAAAGGACTAGGCTAATATCCAGCAATCTTGACCGAACAAGCTTAGTCAACAAAGAATTTATAATGTCTCGTTTGTTTGTTTGTTTCAAGCCTCCACGTCATGCAATATTTTTGTTCTTACGGGGATCAAAGCGGGCAGTCTGGAGCGGGCAAGATGGGAATTAATGAAACTGTTTTTATTATCGGCTATACACTCTACGAGGATTGAATCATGATGCAAAATTGGAATCATATTTTATCCTTTCCCGAAGTCGTTTCAAACCAAACCTCAAATGTTAACGAAGTCAAGATTGATCATGCACTGAATGACGGCACGCCCACCATAGTCTGATCGATGTCTCGCCCGAGTGCTTTTCTACCTACAACTAGCCAATCATAGGACGATATTCTATCAGGATTATTTTAATTTCCGAAAGATCATCCGCCCGTCACTTAAATGTCAGAGTAGTTTCTATGGTGAATTGTGTTACGCATCCTGTAGGGTAATCGTTTGTTCGTAGACTCGATTCCCCCCTTAAACTAGCTAAATCCTTTGAATTCTTCTTTTGTCTCTCTGAACTGCTTTCATCAAGGTAAAAATAGAGATAACTCTCTAAAATCGTTAAAAAAAAAACCTTCAACTCTGTTCTAGAATCCCACAAATAAATGCTGTTTATAGTCTGACTGCAAATCAATTTGAACCTACATGTGATTTGGGCTAATTAAATAATCTCCTCTTACAGGTCTCGTCAATGTGGATATAACAGTGAGCACAAGCAAACTGAAGGAAACCAAAGAGTTCTACACAAAGTACTTGAAATTTAAAGTTATGAAGGAAACGTCAGGATTTCTCTCGCTCCTACCCGGGCCAGGTGACTTGCTATGCTTTGCACACGTTTTTGTAGAAACAAAAGAAGTGACAAGCAGTCTATGAAGCGAGTTTTTCACGACAGTTTTTTTTGTTCTGACCAGCTGTTGTAACTTGTTTTTTTTTGGTTTTGCGAAACTCAATCGAAATGGACTCAAATTTTGGTTCATTTTAGTTCTGACCAGCTGTCTTCGTTTTGGGACTGGTGAGCCGAGTTTCTGTTTGTATCCATTATTGTCGCGAAATAAATTATTTTACCCCGCGCTAACAATGGCCGCTCGCGCGAAAAAAAAAATTTCTGGCGAAGCGATTTGCTCACGTTATCAGCGTGCACTATCGGGACTTTGAGCACGCTTACGTATACTGAATTCGATTGCACTGCTCTGCTAGCTATGTTATAATTAGAATTGGCAACGACCCATAAAGATTAGTTCGCGCCGGAGAAAACGCGAAAATGAAACATCAAGGAGTAACGTGGAGGAATCGAGCCACTATATCAATGTCTGAACATGAAAAATTTCAGTTAAAATGTGATTCGATTTTTCCTTCTCTCAGCTTTCAGGGAGTTATAAATTCAAAATAATAAAAAGTTCTGCAAACAAAAGTAACTCTTCTAAACCTCAAAATGACTGAACCTATGATTAAAATCCTGATGGGACGAGGACACGATTCCGTGGCTTATCGTGAAGAACTCATTTGATGGAAATTTTTCAGAGTAACTGAACAAACTGAACAGCAAGTCATTCAGTACCACGAAAATACAAGATTGAAACGTGTATGGAAGAGCCAAGGAGCTATGAACGTAAAAGCCAATTGTCAAAATCTTTTTTAACAGAAGTTATGTTCAAAATTTTTAACCGAAAATGAATGTCCAACATTCAACTTTGATCTAAAATTGGACTGATTTATCTCTACTTTTGTTTACGGTACATTGCAGTTGTATCATTGCCATCGAAGGTGGCCCTTGGAAATAATTTGATATTGAAGATGGTTCTGTAACATGAAGTTCATATCTAAAGCTTTAACATAGTAATGTCTATTATGCAATTTCAATGGCCTGTCGAAAGGGAAAGGGATTGCTTTGGTTATACTTAACTGTGCTTTGTGATTGGTCGAGAAAACTCATGCTACTTTTCCAACCAATCAGATGCAAAAGTAAAACTGATCACGACTTGGTCACTCGCGTTTTCCCGCGCTTTGCGCAGTTTGGTGGCTTTTACTTTTAGTTCTCATTGGCTCTTAAATAAAGGTATTTTTCTACGTTCAGATTGGCCGTTGTGATAACTTTGGTTTTTGGTTTTACGACACTTAATCGAAAAGTACTCTATTTGCACGACTGTAATTTTGAAGGTATATAGATCAAAAACAGTCTCTAGCTTGCTTTGTTGTTGGTACTTTTCAGGCTGATTATGTGTAATCCGCGTTTTTATGCGTAAAACTTGAGTAGTTCTCGCAACAGACGCCGAGTTGACACCTCGTTCAAGTTAAAACTTGATTTGTCCTTCCGACTTTTTAATAGGTGTTGCCTTTCTTGATTTCGTCGTGGAGGGTGCAGAACACGCATGCGCCAGACCTCAGTTGGCAAGGAATTTTCCTGGGAAAGGCATGTTTCTTACTTACAATCTGGGAGATGTGGATGCAGCTTGTGAGGAGTTCAACAAATCTGGATATCCGCTGGCCATGCCAATAAAAACTGAGCCTTGGTTTGAACGTCATTGTTACGTCATTGATCCAAACGGGATACCGCTGAACCTAGCTCATTGGAATGACACTCCAGCTGAACCAAAAGGTAAAATATTACTTAGGGGGAACTCTGCCTTTAGTAAAACACAAAGCTAATCAAAAGATTTCTCTCGAGACTGCCACGCTTTGCAGGAGAAGTTTGAGCAGCTTAAGTCTAAAGCGTTTTCGTTTGCATTTAAAATGAAAAAAGGGCCTAAATTACAAAACTGGAAAAAAGAAAAACAGAAAAAAGAACGAGAACAAGCATAGATGGGACAACAACAAAAGAAAAAAAAAGAGACAAACAAACAAAAAATTAAACAAGTTAAATGGATTAACGAGAAGCACAAACACGAGAAAAATTTTCATTTTGTTATAATGAAGTCTACCTATATTATTTAAGGACTAAAAGGACCTTCAGGGCAGAGTTTGCATTACCAACTGTTGTTATTGTGGAGAGAGAAGTTGGAGATTCAATGCTGTAACGTATTTGCGTTCGTGTATGCAATTTAGGGCTACAAGGCGTTTGATTTCCACCAATTCGCTCTGACGAAGGGCTAACGCTCGAAACAGCTGCTTTAAAACTATTTACGGAGGCCAATTTACGTCATAAACTCAGTTGATAAAACTTAATTACCCTGATTTCCATTTAGTCGATTAATCATGTAGGCTGATAAGCGTAAAAAAAGTGCAAGAATTAGAAGGATGAAGATATCGACTTTGAATTTAAGTGCAACTGATTTCTATTCTCTGAAAAGAGCTATTGTTGTTTAAATTAGTCTGGATTACATTGGGCTGGCTCACGACGCCATGAAATTGGTCAAGAAATTCGCAAGATATTGGCTTTCCGATTTGTTAAAGTATATCCACAGGTGTGCGTTGACGTTCATAAACGTATGTTTTTCTACTTTTAAACCTCCCGTTCAATCGTAAGTGAGGTAAAACAAAAAGTAAACGCACGTTTCGAAAAGACCCACTATTGTGTATCGATGCAAACGTTTTGCAATAGTGTCTACCTTTGTTTGCGAGTGCGCAGAAAGCTTTGCCTACGTTTAACCCTTAAAACCCCAAGAGTGACTAATTTCTCCTCACAATATCAGCCCTGAATCAAACATTAGGTAACGAGAATATAGGAAATGATCACCATATCAAATGAATAAAGCATGGATCGAGAACATGCTTACTGGTGTTAGGATACAAAGGGTTAAGAATGTAGACGTCTACATGAAATCATGACTTCAGTTTGAAACCTAAAATAAATTGAACATACATTGCTTACTCACATTCTAAGGCGGTCGAGGCATTTAGTAAGTGTTAACCCTTAAAACGCTAAGAGTGACCAGCATCAAATTTCTCCCCACAATATCACCACTGAATCACACGTTAATGTCATGAGAATAAAGGAAATGATCACCAACGAAAGAAGCCTTTGATTGATAAACAAATTCTCCTTATCAGCACCTTAGGAAATGTATAAAGAGCAGTATGGAGAATATGCATACTGATTTTAGAGTGTAAAAGCTCCTAGTGGCTCCCTGAATAGCATTTTAATTAGCCGTTGTAATCATTTAGCGTTTGGTTATACAACACTCGAAAGACGCTTTGTAAGTGACGGTTTTCCTTCTCATCTTTCAACAGGCGTTAGCAGCATGGTATTCTATTATACCTCTCTCAACCTGTCTGAATTACAAAACTGGTACAGTAAAAACCTTAACATGACGGTGACGAGTGGGGTGGACAAGATCGATTGGGTGATAACGCTGACCGCTGCTAAAGGCACTGTGGAGTTTCGTCCATTCCATCCTAGAAACATGACCTATAACCCAGCTTCTTTCATTCCGCACTTACTGGAAGAATTTGATGGACATGGCCTGTCATATACGTTTAATTTCAACACATCCACCGAAGTGGACAGGTGAGATATTTACAGTATCATTCGGCTCGCTTTGCAAAGATGCAAAAAAGAAAGAATCCTGAGTTCTGATCGGTTAACTGAGCTCTTGTAGCCGGCTTACATATCTCTAGGATCGATTTCCGCCGTTTTCACGAGTCCGATCTTCGATCCTCTCACGAAGGAACGGCTGTGATTTCGGGAATTGAGCGCAGACTCGTTTCCCGAACAGCGGCTGGTAATCGAGCCTAACATTATTCTTCTTTACCTCTGGGCAATTTTTTTCATAGTAACCGAGTACTATAGTTACTTGAAATGTTGTGGAAGGTTACTTAGTAATGCTAAGAGATAAGAATGAGGTGTCAGCAGAAACCGCTAGCGCTCGCATTCATCATTGTCACTCTTTCTATTTTAAGGCTTTCGTGTGGCCCTGGGAAAGGACTAAGAAGGCCCTCAGGGCTGAGTTTGCATTATTGTTGTTGTTGTTGTTTTTACGCACATTTGCGCATATCTTGGTCCGATATTAACAAAAGCAGAACTCTTGGATATGTTGCAGGTGGTGCCAGTACCTTGAAGGCCGCAATCTGAACCTAAAGCGACCATTAGGCTGGGTGGGTGGGCATAGAAGATGCGCAATAGATGACCCAAATAGTGTGGTAATAAACATAGCCACCCCTGGATGGAACGAGTACGAAGAAGAGGTGAACTGCCCGGTCGAAACGAAATCCGAAGCTCCAGGGATTGTGAAAGGAGCCAGCATCTTGTCCGTGGCTGTAGCGCTTCTTATTTCAGTCTTGCCTTTTTAGCTCAGTATAAGTGGATATGAACGGAGGATGAAGTCGCTACATTTTCCTTTATTTTCAATAATTTTTTTAGGTCATACCAACACAACGGTCAAATGACCGCATGTGCGCAGAGGCTAGGTGGCGTACATCTAGGTTGTCAGAACCAAGTTGTCTTATAAACAACCACACAAGCGAGTGAGTCGCGGTGTTTAAATGCCGTATGGCTTTTCTGGTAAACCTAGCAATAAAATGGTACATCAGCTGAAAATTCGTAATTACATAAGTTACGTGTACGAAAAGTAACTAGCTTTCCTTTTCTTCACTTCTGTTTACTTTCACATAGTTACCTGGACGTATCAATGTTTTTCTTTTTCTTTTTTGCATATTTGTCATGAAAGCAACTGGTTCTTATGTTTTCCTTTAAAATTTTGCGCGGGAACTCGTCACACTGCTGGGTAAAATTAATCCTTTTGCACATGCCGCACATTTGACCGCTGTGTTTGTCATACCGTTTTTGAGTGCAGTTAGGCAGTAGGACTCTACCTAGTTGTTTCTCTATTTAAACAGTCCCATAGGAAGCGCACGAGAGGTGCACGCGAGGGAAGATGGTCCTTCGTTGTAGAAATGCGTCAGTAACCATAAAATCGGTGTTTTAGTTAGTTTGCATCGCTCGCTATTAGAGTGATTTTTGTTGCTATTATCGTTGTTAATTTACATGAATACACGAATCTTAAACTGGGTTTTTGTAACTTTTTTTTCCTGTGATTTAATTAAACTTTATTTTCTAAACTCCTTATTTTTTCGATTAAATTCGTGATGTCTATTTCGCACCTTTGTCTGTTTGCCAAAAGGCAACTGATACAGCAATTCTACACGGATGTGCAGTGTTTGAAGCCGTGCACTCAGAGTCCACGTCTCAGATCCGTATAATTTTTCAAAAGATGACCATCTGGAAATTGTAAATGTTTACATATATTTCTATGACTGAAAGTATTGTGTACAGAGCAATTTTCAGTTGAGTGAATGACTTGAAATGGTTCTATTTTATGTCCCCCTGTGATTGGTCTAGAAAATTCGTGCCACCCCTCAACCAGTCGGATGGTTAATTAAAACCAATGGCGTTGAAGTCTTCCTAGTTTTCCCACCCTTCAAGCAGTTTGCGTGTGTTTATGTCGAATTCTGATTGGCCCCCTTCAATTTGCTGTGGCCATATCACCGCTGCGTCGTGCAGTAATGAAACTGCTGGGTGAATTATAAATGTCACAACCTTTGCGTTCGTCTCGAAATTGTCTCAACATAGGTTTGCATCAACTGGTAATAAATATCATTGATTTCCTAATTTTCTCCAGTCAAGTTATCGATGAAATTCTCACATCTGCATTTTATATTCAAGCAACTAAGGCGTGAAGGGAAGGGAAAAACAGTGATATTTTTTACATGTGTCGTTGTTTACTAGGAAGTTGCATAATAAACGGCCAGCTTATGATCCTTAACCAAACGAATTGGGACTTTTGGCGAAATGACCTCGATTTGTAGCGAAACGACTTAGTGGTGAAAGACTATTCAATCAATCAATCAATCCAACTTTATTTATCAAGGGGAAGGACGAAACAGTTACAAAACTGATAAACTTGTGACCCTCCTACATCAAATATGTCCTATGTATATACTAAAAATATCCTATATATATATATATATATACATATAATGAATGTAACCGAAGAAGTTACAATTCATAGACCCGACGTTTCGACACTCCTGTCTAGTGCCTTCATCAGGGGTGATCTAAACGCTGCAACAAGAGGTCCTTTCACACGATCACTAATTAGCGGTCTTTTTTCTGACGAGGTGTAAATAGGCGTCAGGAAGCAAACCGCCATCGTCACAATGTAAAGGAGCGTGGGTGGAGTTATATAATATATTATTCATTTATCTAATGTAAATGAAGCGGACCGCCTCCTGTCGCATTTGAATTCAGTAGAGCCGTCGATCCAATTTACCCTTGAGCGTGAAAAGGCTAGACATTTGCACTTTCTTGATTTAAATGTGTCCAGAGGGGTTCAGGGTAATTTAGAGACAAGTGTCTACCGTAAACTTACCCACACCGACAAATACCTCGCTTTCGATTCTCACCACCCTATTTGCCATAAGAAGTCTGTAGCCAAAACTTTACTTAGGAGGGCTGACTGTCTACCATCTTCACTCTATTCGAAGGCTGAAGAGAGGAAATATGTTTCTAATGTCCCAAAGGCAAATGGCTATACAAAAACCTTTCTCCGTAACTGCCAAAAACCAGTTACAACTAGTAACGCTCTTGATGAAAGGGAACCAGCGACTGGTTTTGCTGTTATTCGTTACATTCAGGGTGTTACGGAACCCATCAAGAGAATTTTGAATAGCCACAACGTTAAAGTTGCTCAAAAACCTTTTCAGACTTTGGGGCATATTTTCGCCAAACCTAAGGATCCTGTTACGAAAGAACAACGAACCGACGCCATTTATTCTATTCCTTGCAATGACTGTGACAACGAATACATCGGACAGATCAAACGTCAGTTTGGTACACGTTTAAAAGAGCATCAAAAAGCGATTTTCATTTGTAAAAAGGAAAATTCTGCTTTATCGGAGCACATATGCCTAACTAACCATACAATTGGGTGGGATAATTCTAAAATTATCACCACTAATCGACGTTACCACCAGCGCCTTTGTTTGGAGGCTTGGCATATTAACTCCGCCCACGCTCCTTTAAATCGTGACGATGGCGGTTTGCTTCCTGACGCCTATTTACACTTCGTCAGAAAAAGGACCGCTAATTAGTGATCATATAAAAGGACCTCTTGTTGCAGCGTTTAGATCACCCCTGATGAAGGCACTAGATAGGAGTGTCGAAACGTTGGGTCTATGAATTGTAACTTCTTCGGTTACATTCATTAATCTGTAAACCAGAGTAGCATCAAACCACGTCTGATTGTCCACCTGGTTGCCGTGTGAACTTTAATATAATATATATATATATATATATATATATATATATATATATATATTTGCACTAAGAGTAATAGGATATAACCTTGATAAAGATACAGAAAGAGAAAAATGGAAAACAATTCAAAGAAGTAAAAAATAAAATGGCAATGCCAATTTACCTTAAAATGACGAATTTCCTCATTCAAATGGAAAAAGTAGTCATCCAGGAATCTACGTAGATCTGAATTTAAATTTGACACCTTAATTTTGTCTTTAACACTGGTTGGAAACGAATTCCAAAGTTTTGCCCAACTTACTGAGAACGTTCTGCCACCCTCAGTTACCCTATTAACTCTCTTACAGACAAGGTTCCATTCTCCGTATCGACTTTTCCTATAATGTATATCTTAACCCCCAGTAATTAAATCGTTCATGTATTGACGGCAGTCACATACTAGGCACTTATGAATGTGTTCACTATGTCCACTATTGTGGACTTCTTGGTTACAATTTTCGTCCGTGGCGCGTTTCTTGGGAAATGAAGAGCATTGACAGTTGAGAATGAACAGCAAGCGGGTTTGCCAAGTATCACTTTCGGTTTTCCACTGATCCAATGAGCTGAGGATAGAGGCATAGAAAGTGAAACTTTCCTGGTGCGAAGGCGAACATCTCAAAACGGAGGCCATCACAGAAGGGAAAAAGGTAGCTTCTGCCCACTCGAGACATATCTGAAACTGCAGAACTTTTCGCAAACGGAAGGAAACTGGGATCTACCAAATTGGAATCAATGGTTACCAGACCCCGCTACCACTTTTGACTTACGCGGATCTTTATGGGAACTAATATTTAGCCTGAGGGAGTCCTCACTTGATATAAAAGGCAAGATGGAAACTTTACTGTTTGAGGTTTTTGTCACCCTTCTCTTGGGAATCCTTTGTGGGGAGGTTTCAAGCACAGGAGAAGTTGTATATGCGGTAAATAGCGGCGGGCCGGCGCATACAGATCTGAACGGAGTTCACTACCAAGCTGACAAACTTACCGTGGGCACCGCGTCTGATTTTGGCAAATCGTTAGCAATTGGAAGAGTCGCCCCGGCAGATCAAATACTCTACCAAACGGAACGATATCACTTTTCAAACTTTGGATACAATATTCCTATAAAGGAAAACGGCGATTATGTGTTGATTTTGAAGTTTTGCGAGGTCTACTTTCAAGGTCCGAGACTAAAGGTAGGTCTCGATCTCGGAACTGAAACGCATGGATAAATCTCCACGTGTGAGAGCGGCAGCGATGAATGCAGTTTAGGTTTAACGGTGTACCCATTCATCTTGTGCAAACCTATTGTATCAAATTAATTTTTGTGTTTTGATGGATGTGCTTTTAATTTTCATGTGGCCTTTGCACTTGCAAGTTGGTTTATTTACATGCAATATGCATGGCAACTTTCTCTACAATAATCAATGTAGGAGCTTGTTTATTTTCAGGATTATATAAAGGCTGAACTTACGCGGCAAATAAGGAACACAAAGGCAATAATAATTATATATATATATATATTTTTGTTTATGTTAAAACTTTGTCTGGCTTTTCCGTGGGAAAATTGTTTTACATCAAGAGCGAAATTTTCGAACGGTTAAATTAAAATTAATAAGTTTTGATTCCGCATCTTGTCTTAATACTATCTATATAAAGATCTTGTTAAAGGTTGAAACAACCGTCTGCCTTTTAGGAATAAATCTGAAAAATTCAACAATGGAATAGTTTAAATTTAAAGAATAAAGCTGTGGTTTGCTCGTTCGGCTATTTGTGTTACTCTTGTATTGACTTATTACAAGGGATGCCCTTAATACAAAAGCGGGTGCTGTTCCTTTAGTTTGAATGAATCGTTTTCAAATTGAGAACACGTGCCGATATATTTTAATTCAATTACATATTCTGTGGAATTCTATTCGATAAAATAGTGCAAGATACGCTTTTAATGGTTTGTCATTGTGGAGTTCTTGTTTCAATGTTTGTTTCAGTTTTCAAGGCTAATATTTCCATTTCATACAGTGAAACGATTTGTTGAAAATTAAAAAGTGCAAAACAAACAAAACATCCTCTTGGGAGAGCCTGTTCATAAAACTACCAAGTACCTTGTTTATCACCATTACCCAATTTTTAGGCTTAAAAGGCTCCAATGGTGCTTGTCTGGTGTAAAAACTGCTCTATTGACTGTAAGAATGCCAGGGTAATTTCCAAGGTAAACTTTTGATTTAACAAAAATTTAAATCTGTGCACCCTGTTAACTCTAATGAAGCAGGTGACAGCTCCTCAATATTACCAAAACAACGATTACTTTATTATTCTCAGTTACATTACTTGTTCCTTAGGTCACTGCTTTAAAGTTTTCTGTCAACCTTAATTTTGTCACACAAATTTTCTGTTATGCTCTTTTGTGTTTTATGTCTTAACCCTTAAATTTCCTTAAAGTGACTAGCATCTGATTTCTCTTTACTACATTGAGGTCATGTTATTAAAGGAAATAATCACCAACTAAGGAAGCTCTTGATTGTCAAACAAATTCTCCTTCAGAGCACGTTAGGAAATGTATAGAAGCAGTATGGAGAAAATCCTTATTGTTTGTCATTTTTAACCAGAGAATGCTTTTATGTTTGATGAATTTCAATTCTGCCTGCTCTTTTATTTTGACTGATTTTCATGATTTATTAAGTTGAACAAATAAAGTTGTAAAATATAAAAAACAATAACTCATTTACAGTAGTGAAGCCAAGTCTTCAAAAAGGGGTGAAACAGCAGTTGACATCCTTTTATGCATATCTAGTCCTGTATTTTATCATGCCTAATAGTATTGCACCTCTTCTACCCTTTTACTCTCAGAAGTGATCATGACATAATGTCTCCTTACAGTATCAATACAATATCAGGCTGCAAAGTGGTGAGAATAACACAAAATATTAACTAGGGGATTATCATTTGATCAAACACCAAATTCTCATAACATTATTCATAAGAAATGTATCCCAGACAGTAAAGAGAAATTTCATTGAGATATTGGAAGTTGAGGGTTGAGGACCTCACTTTCATATTGAGGCAAGATTATATTTTACATTATTGTGAGGCAGTTTCTTGGACTATCAACTTGTTTAAGACTGAAAAAGAAGTTTCATAACAAAAAGATTTGTCGCATGTAAAGTTTACAGGTTTTCAATTCTGCAGATTTTAAGGACTGTCCTCCACCTGAAAGAATAATTTTGCTACAACCCTGTAACAAACTCTGCTTGTATGGCATGGGTCACTTTGTATCTCTTTCTTTGTGGATCACCAAAAATATAATTTTATTGTGAAGTCTACAACAGCTAATCAGATTTGAAAATATTAGGTTTTCTTGATTATTGATACTCTGCTGCTCAAAGAGAAAATTGGGATGATTTGTTCTTTGGAGAAATTAATTTCCTTCCAAACCACAAACATTTGTTATGGCAAACATTAGTTGATTAGCAAAAAGGTTCTTGCACTACTTTTTGATGCAACAAAGGTTTTGGATTAATGAAGTGTTAATTCTAGAATACAGGGGGTAAGTTTCTAAATAAACTGTGGTGCTGCATTGGTGGTTGGGGGGGGAAGTACAAAAAGATGATTTGGTTTTATCAACTGCGTTGATAATGTAAATCGGCTGCTGTGAAGAGCCTTTAAAGCTGATGATTCAAGCATTAGCCCTTCCTCGGAACGATTTAAAGACACAAACTTACTGATCCAATTTGGAGATGTTTAGAGAGAAGTCTACATTTTTGTTTCGTTTTCTTTGCAGGTGTTTGATGTGGCAGTAAATCAACATACTGTACTTAAAGGATTAGACATTTATGAGAGAGTTGGTAGAGGGGTTGGTCATGATGAGTACATTCCATTTCGAATAAACAACAACCAGGTTCTGATCGATGGGGAAACATTACCATTTAGTGGAACTGTTTATGTTGAATTTATGAAGGTAAGTTGGTTTGTACAAATTTTTAACATTTTTATGTGTGAAGAGATTGTATCTCATAGTGAACATGGGGAGTTGTGAGACTGACCCCTCTATTTCATTAATTTTGGCAAAAACAGGAAACCCAGGAATTGGATTCTATTTTTTTCACTATAGTTTCTCATACGCTGTTTTGTTATTTAAAATCAGGGCTACTATGATAATCCCAAAGTTAATGCTGTTTTAGTTATGAAAGGAACTCTAGAGGGTGAGTACCATTTTCCATTTTTTTCCAATTTTGAGGTTCATACTGTAAGTTATATACTAAGTTTTTTGGCTTGCATTTGTGGATCAAGTGTAAAGTGTGTGGGCCATAAATGTGAGCTGGAAAAAGGAGGTTGGTAAGATATGTTTTTTATCTCTGGGCTCAAAAAAATATTTTAATTCAAACAAACTTTGGAATTGAGTGGGCTGCATAGGGAATTAGCTCCTGCTGAATTGACCAATCACAGCACATGTAGGAACTGCAAGGTATAATAACTGGCTCTCTGCCTGACAATGTACATGTAATTAAATAGTTAGGGGAAATACTTGACAACAGAGAGAGCCAGGATTGAAGAACAGACTTCATTGAAGAAGAGCTTGGCATTATCAAGTGAAGGATACTAAGGGCACTGACTGAAGAATTTTTTTGGACAATTCTGGACAGAATTTCTAGACAATTATTCCCTAACTGGAACAGTGGATTTTGTTTTTGAATGCCATCCACTGCTCTCTCTTACAGATGTACCAAAGTTACCTCCTCTATCACGCCCAGGGGAAGATAATGAAGATGACGATGAAGATGAAGAAAGTAAAGAAGATAAACCGAAGAAACAGCGTAAGATTTCTGGCCCTAAAGCAATTGACCCTTATGCCAACGATGAATCAAGCATGTTAATTCCTATAGCTATAGCTATTGCAGTGTTTCTACCAACACTATTTTGTCTGTGTAAATTGTGACAGCTACAGCTTGGTTGATTTTATTTATTTCACCGTGTTACACTATAGCAAATTTCTGTTACCCAAAGCTTTGAAAACAGCTGAATAAAAATTCATTCTCCAAGGTAAAAGTTTTTAGTAGCTAAAATATTGTGCATCAGTGCCATAGGTTTACAAGGTGTTTCATACCATGATAGTTTTTCAGTGTTTGTCCTAATAGTGAAAACTTCCAAAGAATCACAATTGTGTTTTCATTTGGATTTAGTCTTGATAAGTTGATTCCTTATCACCAAGATGTAAATTGTAATTTGAACTCCAATTTTCAATTATTTGCCATAGTTTGTAATTACAACTTGATAAAGGTGATTTTTTTTTTAAACTCCTTTTGCTCTCAGGATCTGAAAGATAATGCTTCAAACCAATGTCACTTGTTGCTCTGCAGGCTAGTCCTGAGTATTTGGTGATGTTTGAAAACCATATCCCCTTTTTGATAATTTTCTTCATTCTAATTGCTTATCTGCTTGACAGTGTACTGAAAATATATGGAGAATTTACATTCTAATACCTTCTGGATTTATAAAGTTTGACTGGACTTCTCTTATCACCTCTTGACACCAGCCTACTCTTAAACCCGTTGTTCATCAAATTTTTACAACAGAAAGGCTTCATGATGAATTATTATTTATGAAAAAACAAAACCAAGCAAAGGGTCTGTCAAGGTAGTGATATTATTAAGTTTTAGATATTAAGTGAATTTGTGTTAAATAAAGTTTACCATCACATTGGTTATGTAAACAAGTGTGTAGTCTTGGGTATCTTTCCATGCCAAACTTTTGAAGAAATGCTTAACAAACAGATTTTATCTTGCTGTGTGTCTGTTCAGTTGTGGATCTCAGATGATGTCAAAATGTGGTATGCAAAGCACAGCCAAATATGTCATCAATGTGACATCTTCTGTGATTTATTACTGTACAGACACACAGCAACATGGAATGTATTTGTTTTGCATGATAAAAAAGGATGTGTTGTTAATGGTGATGTCATCTATGCATCTGTACTTTCCTCCATTAAAATGTGTGCATTATTCAGCTTATCATAAATTTAATTTGATAGCTGAACTAAAAATTTACCATCTTCACTCACATGAAGCTTTTAACACAGCTGGTCATAGCAAGCAGTATGTTTGATGCATATGATCCTTGTATGTGCTTACTTACACCAACATATTCTTTATTAGTGAATTCATAGAAATTTTTTCCTATGCTTTGTGTTTTGGTTATCCAACACAATTGAAAACTGTTTTTAAACAGAATATGATCCTGTACATATTTGGTCAATATGATTTCTTGACTGACAACTTCCCCAAACTAGCTGGTGTTACAAGATGTGACCCTTCAGGAACAGATGTTGAATAACCCCCCTCTTCATAGGACCTCTATTATCTGGATTTTTTGATTTTCTGGGCATGCTTCCCTGTTCTCTGCTCCTAGTATCTCTAAACATTTATATTCATATTTTTGATAATCTGAACTTTCAACTATCCAGACTACTAAGCCTGGTCCACACAAGTCTGGATGATCAAAGTTCAATGACGTGTACAATGATTGTTTGCATACCAATAGCTTGTGAGGAGAAGTGAGAAGGAACAAGGAACTTTAGTTACTTTTTGACACTCAAATATATATTTTGATTTAACCCTTCCCTTAAAAAAAAAAACAAAAACAACAACAACAACAAAGGTTTAATATAATCTAGGCATCAACATTAAGCTCCTGTATAAACTAAGTAAGAAGAAGTAATTAGGACCATTATGAATTGATGTCTTTGCTTTATTTGAAATAATTATTGATACCACAACAGATAAATAGCATGCATCTCTGTGATAAAAAATCTTCCCAATTCAACAGACAGTAGCCCTATTTCCTAACTTAATAAATATTAAAAATCCAAAAATTTCAAAACATGCCACCTTGAAAACCATACCCCTTATTAAAAGTCGTAAAGAAGCAGTATGAGAAAATAATACATTAAATAGTTACATTCTTTATCTACTTGACAAATTATGTAACTCTTCAAAACAGTTCATAAGCTAAGGCTTATAAAATAATGTACATGAATGTTTTTTTTTCTAATGTATAAAGCCCATTCATTTTGATTTGAAACAAATACTTTTAGGAATGAAGTAGTATTGAAGAAATGAATCTTTTTGGCAAATAATATTTTCTATGCTAAGCTTTAGCTCTACTAAAGAGGAATTTTTATTCACTTTTCTCATAAATAGTTTCATCTTGTACTTGCAGCTCTCTTTTGTTTCCTCTTTGGTTTGATTTCCAAATTCAACTGGTAAATACTGTACAAAATTTACAATGATAGTCTCTTTTTAATCGATAAGCATAACAAATAATCAGTAAATACCATCAAATAAAGCAATGCTCCTTGCAGGTGAGTTGCTAATTAAATAATTCCAGAAAAGAATCCTGAAAAAAATTCAGGTTTTGAGTGAAAATTCAGCAGCTCCTCACCTGTGAGGTTCATTACTTTACTTGATTTTCATCTGCAGGCCAATGACATATATTACATTGAAAAATTGAGTATATACCCTCTCTCACATTCAATATTCAAGATGATAATTATCTAGTACATCTTTAAATAAGTTAGATTATGTTGCATTCTCAAATTTTGATTTATTTGATTTGTAGAAATGGATCTTTTAAAAGAGTAAACCTTCACAGGATTGGGGCCTTCAGATTTGTATGCTTTTCAAGCCTTGTTGCTCAAATTTTCATTTTGTTTTTGTATAGATAAATTTGCTTCAAAAACCGTATAATTTTTATCTCATCCATGGACTTATGAAATGGTTTGTGGTCTACTTCTTCTTTAGCTATCTGCCTGGGCCTGTAAATAATAACTTTTTATCACTTCAAGCCCAAAAGTATTGTGCCAGGGGCAATTAATTTCATCAAAACAATGTGTCACCATATCATTTTGCTTGAGTTTAACTCCTCTGAAAAATGTTCACTTATGTTATGTACCATCAGTCACTTTTATAATGAAAACCATTTTCTCCATTTACATTTGAAACTGGTTTCTGTTGCAATTTTGGAGAAGGTTTAAAGAACCGTAACACTCCGCGCACAATTATGAGAAACCAGTACAACTGTACACTGAACAATAACAAGCAGAATGAATTGCAAAAGAGAGGTATTTTAAACGGAGTGTGTAGAAAGGGTATGTTGGCATAACGAGCATAACACCAGTACATATAGGGATAAACAAGTACTCTACAACACAGAAACATAGTTGCTAAAAGAACACCATTAGTTACATACAAGATTGATTTCCTCATTTCAAACTGAAAAAGAAAATAGTGAAACATAGTTAGAAGATAATTTGTAGGTTTTCTGCTTACTGGTAAAGGGCAATGGGGTCTGAGGAGTGGAACAAATATACCCTGTTCTCATAAACTAATTACACTAAAAGTGGTTTTAGGGTTTTAATTGCAAGTTGGAGTTTAGATCAAAAGACTACCATAGTGTACCTTCTCTGACACTCTACAAATTGTCTGGAGTACATGTAGGTAAAAAAGGGTTAAGTATGTACGTGAGTGGCCCATCTAGCTGGTACTTACCCCACCTTCCATAGCATGAAGTGTCTAGGAGTATAATACACCCCCCCCCCCCTTCCCCCCAATGGGATGTCAGTCTATATCAAGGTTAGTAGTACCCCCAACATTTCATCAGGTTTGACCTGAAACTTTGCCAGTACCCATTTTAACTCCTGGGCGGAGAAAGGTAGTGTGAAAGTGAGGTTTTTTTCCCAAGAAAACAACATAATCATCTGACTAGGTCTGGAACCCAGACCTTTCTACCTGGAATATGAAATCCAGTGCACTAGACATTAGCCCATTGCCTCTCCTATTTTCTGCAGTAATGTAAACCATATCAAACTGGTAAAGGATAGAACCTGATGGTAGGTAACTGGCAAGTCTTGTATAGGTAATTGTTGAAACCCAGTTGCATGTACCAATAAAAATCAGTAATATGATAAAAATCATGATTTTCCCAAGAATGGGACTAATACCGTTTCTAAGACTGCCTTGAAGGACAAGAATGGAGTGCTCATCTCATTAAGATATACACATGCTAAGAAGAAGTCTCCTTTTTGCTTCCTCCATATCTAAAATAGAAAGAAAACAATTCTTAGAAACCATATTTGATTAAAAAGTATGTAAGACTATTAGAAAAAAGAAGTCAGAATTGTAGTTTTGATTTACTATTTCAAAAATGAGTGCAAGAGTTTCATTGGGGTTTCCATGGCAAATACAAGAAAACTGATGAAAGCACTAGGTTGCAGACTAGTGCTTTTATTGTTTTTAAGTGTTTGGAAACTCTGCTGAAACCCTCGCACTTGTTTTTGAAATAGCTTTTCAATCACGCCTCAGGAGTAAAAGAAAATGGAATTATTCACAAATTTTTCACATGTGGTTGCAAGTTTGTTGTATTGATATTTAAATTACGAAATGAGTTCGCTATAGTTTGATGCTTAATCAAACTCAAGGGTTTGATATTAAATGAAACTCATGAATAGTGCATCATTCTAGTGTTTCACCAGGGTTTCAAACCACATGCATGAGATGAAATTGGTGTGTCTTGGTTGGATGATCACCTTATGAATAGTTAATGAGTTTTAGAAGAAAATATCTATTTTCTCAAACAGGGATCCTGGGTTTCTTTACCAAGTGCACAGTACTGGTGTTTATTATCCAACTGCACAAAGTAGAGTACAAATAATGCATGAATAGAGTGTAAATATACTGCAATATTGTTCAGTTATTTGAACAGTTGGTGATTTTGTACTGTAAAAAAACCTGTTTAACCAGTGGGCTGTGCATGCTATGCTTTTCTATCCACTTTGCTCTACCCGCCTTATGAGATTTAAACAGAAAGACTTAGGAGAAAAACAAGCAGTTGGATAATAAATAACTTATTAGATGTTTTGGTGTGTAGTATCAATGGGTATTTATACTCATTGTTTGTATTTTAACTCAACCTACATGCTCATCAAAATACAGCAAAACCTGTAAAAATACTCAGAGAAGGTACATGGGAAAATATTTGGCTGGAGGTCATGATGCATGGACAGGGTGTGCTGAGGTCTACACATCGTGATATCTAGCAAAATATTTTTCCCATGAGGCCCTTCCACTCAGTCAATAAATACATAATAATAAGTATCATTGCTTACAGTAATAGCAGGAAACCCAACAAGAGGGAGAAGAAGGTGGTGGAAGACGATCAGTTTCTTCTTTTTAAAAAACTTTGTCCAAATATAGTACAAGTCTCTCTGTGGGTCTTCCTGCTTTTCTTCAAGATAAGTTCCAATAAACATCACCACCACATCATAATAAAAATAACTCAATCCAAAGCAGGCATACAGGGTTAAAATTGGTTGCCTGCAAAACAAAAGTTATGAATTTCATGATCTATACCAGGCTGTCACTGACCCATGCAGTATTTTCTTAAGGGACTTGTCACTTACAGGGTTATAGCTATGAAATGATGCTACTGGCAGAAATTTCAAGTGAGGCAGCTGAAAGCCAGACAGTGTTGGATATCAGACAATTTTAAGTGCACAACGTCAGAAGAGCCCATTGTGCTTTACCAAGTGATTGCCGCTTTTTCATCCAGCGAATTTCCCCCTGAGTTGGCACTAAGCAATGACCCCGAACATTGACTATGAAATTGGAAGTGATTAAAAGCAAATACTATTCCCCTCCACACAGCCAAAGAAACAAAATCTAGCATCAAGAGTTCAATTTCTGATCAAGTATTCAGTGCATTGCTTGAAATAAACTGATGTTTTTGGTTTCTGTGTAGTATTTACTAATTAAAAATAAATTAACTAAGGGTAAGTGAAAGTGGTAGCAAATATTCACCACTATTCACGACCACTTTGATGAATAATTGTTAAGTAGTTCAGGTAAAAGGCCCACCATACTAGTTTCTTCTAGCTATAAATATACATGTAGGTTAGGTTACCCCTGATTAAGTCTTTATTTTTCTCATGTGGAAGGAATTTGGAAATGTTTGTTTACAAAAGCACAAATAGTAAGATAATTTCCATTTTCTACTGCTTGATCTTTATATGACCACCAATGATAAAAACCCATCAGTCAGTACATGTATATCTATTATTAACCCAAACCTAAACTGCATATATCCCAGCAGAGAATCTATAATTGGAGGGGGGAGGAAGGTCCTGGTCCTGCTTCATGCATGAAATTTTAGAAAAATTCACGCTTCACGAATACACATAAAAAATAACTTCTGATCCCTCTTCTTGAGTACATGGTTTCAGGTTGATCCTAAGGTTTTCACGAAATGAAAAAAAAAAATTCATGGTCTCATATGTTTCACGAGGCAAATCAAGATTCATGCTGGTTTATAAATTCACAAATTGCCCTCATCTTTCTATAAAACTCACATGCCACATATTAAGTTTGGCCTTATGGCCTTAATCACCCATCACCTCTAATTAGGTGTATTTCTTGTTGCATGTAATAATCCGAGCTCAGAAACAGGAGAATTCAGGGCACTGCCCAGAAACAAAGAACCCAGGTGCCTCAGGCAACACTCTATTGTCTTAGGGATTGTATGCCTGCTTTTACAAAAGCTTTTAAGAGATAAGCAACCATGCTCTCTGAGAAAAGAACCTTGAGGTAACCTGAGATTATTTTGAGAGCACAGGTTTGGAATAAGTTGTTATATGTAACCACATCAATAATTAAAATGCCTCGAGCTTGTATCCTCATTTGGTACAAATATTTACCATATAAACCTCTTTTGTCTTGAGTTTAGTTTTAATTTATTTGCAAGTTTGAAAAAGGATATGTAGACTATTATTTTAAAACGCCTTTCTCAAAATCAACACTTGTTTGCATTTGTGGTCGGCAAAAAGAACAAATAGTCTTTCTAAGGAAGAATTAGAAAACATGACTGAAACAATATGGTGGTCAGTTTCTATCCAGAGTACAATGACACAATCAAAATAAATTTCTGAGCTTATTTCATGACAAAAGGAAAGAGAGAAAGAGAGAAAGAGGAAAAAAAAAGAGGAATTACCGGTTCATATCTGACTACGCCTGAGGCACGTTTTAATCTGACAATTATCTTGGATAGAGCAATCTAGAATGGGTGGTAACCTCCACTTCCCGCTGGCTATTGATTGGATAAACTTCCACACCGCAGTTAAATCTCTACGGTAATTTATTTATTAAGGTACTTGTCAATATGGTGTCTATCTGAGAATGGATTGTTGCTATTAAAGCAATTTATTATACATGAAATTAAGCTAGCAGAGAAAAATAGGTGTTTCGAGAAGTTTTTAGTGTGGATTTCCCACTTAGAGTTTTTTTTAAAACAGCAAACATTAGACTAGGATTAATGTCATCCTTCCTTCACGCGGGAAGTAACCGCCAATACAAAATAATAAAAATTAAGGTACGATACTTTTTAATAGGCAGGTTTTGGTCTCCAAAATTCACCTGTTTCTCAGCCTCGGACATCAAAACAAACAATTTGCCTAAATTTGCGCTGAACGTCAACAGATGTTCGCGGATTGTTGAAAGAAGCAAAGAAAAAAATTTAAAATCACTTAGAATAAAGTAGAAAATATTGATATGAAAAAAACTTGCGCAATAACATCAAAGCTGGCGAGTTTTCGACATACCGGAACACAAAAGGCAGCAAATGTCGACAATGACACCTTATCGCATGAAATTGAAGTTATTAAGTGTTTACGGAAGTCGATTTTTTTTTTCTTTACCTGTGTAACATGATGTCAGTGGAGGTGAAAACAACTTTTAAACCAACGAGAGAAGCGCCAAGCGCTTGAAGCGCCGACACAAACCTGTCAAAAAGTAAATAGTAAAATTGTTTCATCTAAAGAAGGAATCAATTTTTTCTAAATTCTAAAAATCGCGTCATAATGGATTTTGCATTTACAATGGCGAAAAAGCTTTTTAGTATAAGTTTAGTTCTGTGTATACACGCACACTCAGTCTGGTTTCTTTTGAATCACATCTCCCCATTTAACTTACCGTGTACTTATGGCAAATCTGTCGACATAGTTCAGTCCTGGAAAAATGTACCGCTGCAGGAAGGTGAAAAAAACGTGGGACGACGGAAAGGCGAAGAAGCCGGCTATAAACAAGGTGATACCCACCATTATCGCGGCAGACGTGATTTCACATGCATGCCAAGAAATGCTAATTTCGGACCGGCCGTCACTGCGGTTGTCTCCTGTCAAATCACGCCATCTTTTCCGAAGATACTTCGGTAGATCAACGAACACTGTCCGACTTCTGCCGATGTCACGAGTCCAAAGTTGAGTTTGTGTGTGTTGTTTGATAAGCAGTATGAGAAGGTCGAGAAATCCAACCTCATCATCAGCGGGTCAGGCCAGCAGCTTAGCAACTGGTTCTTCAAACACCAGCAATAATGGTAACACAGTTCCTTCTCTACTCAAGGAACTTCACGCTCTTGTGCTACAAATCCAGGTATAAATCTGTCTTATTAAAACACTTCTGATTACGATTCAGCGAATAATTTACGACAAAAATTATGACATTTTTATTCTAGATGTCGCTAGAGGATCTTAAGATGCATTTAATTCCTTAAAATATTGGCTAGTTTTAAATTAAATCTTCAAGAGTACTGTTACGTTTTGATCGATATATTTACACAGGCGTCCATGTTAAGTTTATTGAAAAGGCCTGGGGAGAGTGAGAAAATAGTTTTGTTGGATCAACAGTACCGCACTTTTCCTTCGTTTCCTCTAAAGGGTATTGAACAGTAGCACAGTTATGCTACATATTATCCCTAACCCTTTAACTTCCAAGATCTGATTGTTAATTCTCCCCTCTACCTTCTACACATTTCCCTCCAGATTGGTTATGAGAATCTGGCATGTGATAAATATAACAACAACTCCTTGATAAGTTTGGGTGTTCTCATTACCTGTTTGCTGGAGAATGTATGAATATTTTAGGGAGAAGGTTATTGTTAATCACTGGGCAATAATGATCAATGTAAGCTTTTTATGCTTGTGGGTGAATCAAAAACAACTTAGGTAACCCCTCATTGTTGTTGTTGTTGTTTGTTTTTTATCACATTATGGTTACCTAGCTGATCACACTTTATCTCCCTGGCAAGGTTTTAAAATCTACAATTTAGTCTCAGAGCCATCTTAAATTGTCTTTGTCAAGTATTAAATTACGCTGTTACTCAACCTTTTAACCCCTTAAAGTGACTTCCTTCAATATTTTTCCTATGGTATCACCTTTGAATTATCACCTTCTTTAGAAGCTCCTGATTGTCAATTAAATTTTCCTTGCCTTGTACTTTGTCTGCACCATAGTAAATATAAAAAGAACTGTGTGAAGGATAATGCTAATGTTAGGGGTGTGAAAAGTTGATGTAAACATACCAATTCTCTCCTTAACTTATTGATTATTTCAATCAACGCATGTTCTGTCCTCTCTTAGGAGCAAAGAACACAAAGTGAGCAAAACCTATCGACCATTGCAAAAACTCATGAGAAGATGAAGACAGAAGTTAAAGGTTTGTCGAAGTATAATGAAAAAGCCCTACCTCCTGAAAATCTAGTGAGAACCTTAATAAGTGCAAGGCTCTAAGCTTGATGTACAATGTGAGGGGTTAGGTAGTTTTATCAACTGAGGTTGTAGAGAAGTATTTTTGGATAGAGAAGGTTCCTCAAGGTCAAGAAAAGTCATGAGAATTTATACTGAATCAAGAAAAATTGAACTCATCGGGAAAACTTCCCTGGTGGAGAGACCCCACCATAAAGCTTATGAAAAGTCAGAGAATAATAGATTCACAACAATGCTGTTAAAATACTTTTGATGGCTGGAAAAGGATATTCTGCTTATGTTGATCTTGACAACATTTCTTCTTTGCTGTACTTTCAGAGTTGGTTTGACGCCAACTTTATTTTTTTTTGTTGATTTCTGTTGGTTTGCGGAGTACAACAAACTGGGAATGATGGGTGGCTTGTAGTCCAGTATTTAAGTGATGAGATGACTTATGCCCTTGAAACTGCCCCCTTCAGGAACCTTTCAATAGGAGTTCAGCATCCCATAGGAGTCCTCCTTACACCCCCTAATCAAGCATTTAGTATCTGTAGGGAGTGCTTTTAATTAACAATTGGTTCATATGTCAGCGTGCGTTCATCGAGATATGAAACACGGGAAGTTTGGAGAGCATGAAATATGCGTAAGACTTGCTTGAGGCATAGCCTTGAGCAACTCTAGCTTCTTGAGTGCTCTCCAACTTCCCAAGTGCTTCATATATTGATGAACGCACAGCTGACGTATGAACCAATTGTTTTATAACATTTTCAACCTGATAGAAAATTTTTTTCCTCGAGGGATTTGTTTGCTGACATCATGAGTGTGCACAATAGGAATATGAAGCACACTCGTGCAATAGAATTTGAGTAGACAAATTTACCAGCTATGTTATAAATTAATGTGAAAGGGTCATAAGACAAACTGGTTATGATTTGTTTCACATGTACAGTCCTATCCTCCTGTTTGAAATCACTGTGTCTTTGAAACTGCAAATATTTCTTAATGGTGATTGTCTCTTTTCTGTAGTATCATCCTACTTTAAATCTAAGCTGCGAGGCTTGTACAAAACAGCAGGAACAGATGCAGAGACAGAAGTGGAGTGAGTGATTTTTAATATCATGTGTCATAACAAATTTTAGGGGTACAATTTTCTTACATAAACTTACTTCTCTCTGAGACTTTGAGCCTTTTTTTTTTTACTTTCAGGATAATCAAAAAGGCTTTGGACAAAATAGCCAGCATTAAGGCACTGAGAAATGATAGAAGGATTGGTGAGATAAATATCTTTTCATTATTTACTTCTAGCCCCAAGGTATTGTTTAAAACCAAGAAAACCCAGTGTGGGTATCTTCTATCTGGAAAATTAATGCATATGATTGAAACTGTGCAGAAGTTTTATGAGTGTGGTCAGATTTGAAACCCAATTAATTTGCTTAAAGAGAAGTAATCTATTTTGATTTGTTGTGTCTTGGTGGATTTACAGTTAGATTAGGCAGAAACAAATTTAAACAAATGTAGCTGGCTAGTGCATTTCATAACCTTTCCATCTAATATGTTTTTTGGTGGTTGCGCATCAAATAGCGCATCAAATAGCGCATCAAATAGCGCATCAAATAAAGCATTTTTTTTTTTACAAAGGACACCTGCTAAGGTCTACCATATCCCTAACCCTTTACCCTTAAGAATGACTAGCATCTAATTTCTCCTTACAGTTTAACCCCTGAATCATGCATTAAGATCATGCGAATAATGAATGAAGACGCTCTTGATTGTTAGGCAAATTCTCCTTATCAACACCTCAGCAAATGTATGAAGAACAGTATTGAGAATATGCATGGTGATGATAGGGTGTTAAGGGTTTATACTGAAGTGCTGCTTCAAAGTGATTTTTCTCACAGGATATGACCCACCTGAAATCTATAAGCAGCCAAATAACTGATTTGTAATGATTGTCAATTTATTTTAGTGCGTGGTGGTAGCAGTCGACTTGGTAATCAGGAAACAGGGGAACCAAGGTGATTACATGTATTGCCATTCACAAATCCATTTGCTTATTTAGGTAGGATCTAAAATTTAGTTATCCAAAGTTAATTTATTGTGATCTTTCTTTTGAGTGTTGCTGTCCTAAAACACACTTGGTAATGGAGAAAACTATGGATACTGATGATGAAATTAACAATGATATTACACAATGATTATAATAACCTTTCAATTCAAATTCTATATACATGTATTTCCATCTCTGCCAATTTTCTCTGGTACTCAGATCATGAATAGGCAGTGATATTGAAATTTTTGCAAACAAAGAGCAAGCTAGGGAAGGGGGAAGCTGATTTTCTCACCAAAAAGAGAGAAAGATTGTGCCATCTGTTCTTCTGTTAACAATTTCCTTTTATAGTTTTGTAGAAATATGGAGACTGTTAAGTCAATTGATTATTAATAAATGATAATTGCTAAGGTATGGCCTTAATCAACCAAACATGGTATGTGATTTGTACAAGATTAATATTAAAAAAAAGTGATTTGTGACCAATTTGCCATCTGAGGCTCTGTTTCATCTATTTTCTTTAGAAAAGTAATGAGAAGAGGAGTGCTCATGACAATGTTACAGCAAGCTGCTTTGCAGTTACCAATGTGGATGGGGAAAGCCTCTGAAACGTAGGTTAACCTGTTACCTTGAGTAATTGAAGATAGGTGCCTGGAGTATCCAAGGGCTACAACCCTCATGGATGACAAATTGCCTTGACCAGATAGGGATTACTTTAAAAGCCATTTGCTTCCTCTGTAATTATTAGTAGAGCACTCCACCAGTGTTGCAGAGATCGTGGGTTCAAATCCTGTACAGGCCTGAATTTTTGTCTTACCTTATTTTCACTACTGCTCAAGTGGTGTTCATTACTGTGAAGATCGCTTTCATATTGACGTCTTTATCCACAGTTCACATATATGATTTTCATATATTCACAATTATTTATTCATCACGGGTTGATGTGGAACATAGTGAACAGCTCCCAGTTGGCTTGTTAGCTCAGTTGGTTGAGCATTCCACCAGTATTACAGAGATCATGGGTTCAAATCCAGTACAGGCTTGATTTTTTTTTTCAGGCCTTATTTTCACTGCTGCTTAAGTAGTGTTCATTATACTGCTGAGAATGCTTTCAAATTAATTTCTTAAAAAACCACAGTTCATATTATGATCTTCATATATTTACAGTCAGAAAGCTGCTAATTGACAAACTTACTAATACCTCTGCTAGCTATATGCTCTCATTCCATACATTTGTCAAAGCTGATTGGATCAGTGGAGCACTTGGAAATGACCACTGCAAAACTAGTCAGGACTGCTTTAACTCCTATTTCTAAAATATGGAAAATATATTTCATATGCTAGGAGTGGATCAGTTGTAAACACTGTTTAATTCTCCATCTTTCTCTTTTAAAAGTATTATTGAATATAATGCCTCTTGTATTCTCCTCCAGGCCCCCTCCTCTTTGTGGATGCATTCAAGCAGAACCTAATTATATTGCCCAGCAAGGAGATCATGTAAGTTGGCAAAGAGTGTCTCATTATTTTAAAATTATTCCTCACTCATCTCTCTAAATCCAAACTTTTTTTTTTAATGTTTTAGGTTGCTGCACGTGTGCGCACACCTGACGGCGAAGAACAGTTGATCTTGGCGGAAATAGTGTCATTCAATCCTTCGTCAAACAAGTATCCTTTGGCATTCTATAAAATTATGCTGGAGAAGTACTTTGCATCATTCAGCATTGTATATTTACTTGTACCTTACTATTTGCTTGTCAATTATAATGAGCAGATGAAAAGATACATGCGAACAACGTGTGGACAAATCCTAGTTGTTGTTAATGATCGATATTCTAGTTTTACTTACAATGTCTTCATGAGTGATCAGTAAAAAGACTGAAAAGGCTGGAGATTTAAAGGTTCTTGATGAAAATCTGTGTTTGAACAGATGAGATTTTTCAGCGAGAATTCTGATTTAGCCTGCAGAATAGGCGCATGTTTTTGCGTTGTTCGGAAAAGCAAAGGCAAGCCCAAGTCACGCTCGAGAGGGGCAGTGCGAAAAATTTATTCGGGCTCCTCCCCTCGCACATGACTTGCACTTCGCGTTTACCTCGCGTTCAACCCACGTTCGCGCTTGCCTCTTCTGCAGGTTAAATCTGACCTAAAGAATTGACTTAAGCTGCACTTTCTCAGCGGCAAAATGACATCATTCTTTCGGTACCGTGATCGGCTATTGAGATTGGAAAAGCTTTCACTATTCCTCGGATTTGGGTTTCTTTTTTACGTTTTGGTGTTTCTGCATTTATCTTGACTCTGCTTTTAAGATATGATGTTGACGATATCGACGAAGAAGCTGGGAGAAACGGGAAGGAGTAAGTGAAAGCGACTTCTATTTGTCTGCAAGGGCTCAGTTCAGCAGAATTTCTATGCTGCATGATACCTCTCTCCTTGTTAATCTTTTATCCCTACGAGAGACTTGCATCTAAATTCTCCTTACAATATCACCTCTGAATCACACATGAAATTCACGAGAATAAAGGAAATGATCACCAACTAAAGAGGCTCTAGATTGTCAAACAAATTCTCCTTGTCTGCACCTGAGGAATTGTATGGAGAAAAGTATCGAGAATTTGCATACTGATGACAGGGTGTGAAGGATTAAGACAACCCGTGTCCCAGTAAGAAGCTGACACTATGTTAACACGGCAAATGCTTTTAATATTTCATTAATAGTACTGTTCGTTGCAGACGTCATCATCTGAGCCGAAGACGTGTGATACCGCTGCCCAAGATGAAGGCAAACCCAGTAACCCACCCTCAAGCTCTGTTTCAAGCAGATCAGGTATATTAACCAATCATATTCCTTGGATCTGCACGTTAGGGAATGTAATATGTGAGTGCCAAAACCTCGCCGAACTTTTTTGAACTTATGCTCAAAATTCCTCATTCTAGGCTAGCTTGCCTTGTTTCGTTTTTATTCGAGAGCAGACGAGCTCAAAACGTACGTGACAGCCGATAGGCGTGCGAGAGAGGGAGCGAAAAAAGAAAGAAAAATAAACAAACAAACAAACAAACAGAGCTCCCCTAGTAAATACTCTGTGCGCAGTAAAGCTTCACTACATTGACTACATGAGTAAGATATTAACTTGTTGATCGTGTTGGTTTTGTTATCCCCTTAGATTGTGATGGCGCTTTACCCACAAACCACATGTTTTTACAAAGCCGTAATTCATGAGCCTCCTTCAAGGGTAAGTGGGCGTACCTCCGGGCTCAGTCTTAAATGTGTAAATGGTAAATTGTTACTTACTAGAGAAGTTCAATAGGTAAGGGTTACTTATCCGACCGATAGTCGACAGATGTATCGGCCGAATGTCGCACGACCATCACCGACAGTTGACCGAAATATATCGACCGATTGTGACCCGACTATCAACCGAGAGTCGACCGATGTATCGACCAACTGCTGACAGACTATTGATTGACAGTTGACCTTAATATCTACCGACTCTCGACTGACCATCGGCTGACAGTTGACAGATATATATTGGCCAACAGTCGACCAATGTATATCAGCCGACTGTCGACAGACGATCGGCCGAAAATTGACCAAAATATATCGACCGACTGCGAAGTGACTATCAACCGACAGTCGACCGATATACCGACCGACTGCCGACTGATTATCGACCGAATGATCACCATAGAGGACATGTTCAAAGGTCGAAGAAAGCTTGGTCACTAATAAGCCCTTTTGGAAACAAGCTCATTCGTAAAATCCCTCTTGTTGAACGATCATGTGTAGGCCTGTCCCGATTGTGCTTGTAAGATGCTGAAAAGTTGCCAAAGGGGCTTAACAATTACCAAAAATCCAAAACTTTTGCCACCTGAATTTCAAAAGATGCCCCCTAAAGTTACTGACATTTCTATATAAACGTTAATGAAAGTTTAGTTTTCGGTCTTTGCAATAGTTAACGTCGCTCTAAAGAGTTGCTCGCAAATAAGGGCGGCTTTTCACCATCCGTTTCCTTTCATGGAAAGTAAATTAACTAAAACAGCCAATTTTGGACGTCGTGTTAGCTGACTACCTGCCAAACATCCAAGAAATTTCCATAAATTGAGGTTTTTTTTTAATGAAATCGTTGACTTAGTCGTGCTTGATATATGCTCTAATTCTGAAATTTCTCGGAAGGGAAAAATTGCTCGAGGTTGCTAGAACCGCAAAAAGTTGCTCCAAACGCCAAAAGTTTCTCAAAACTTGCCGAGCACCATCGGGAGAAGCCTACTCATGTGTTGATACGCTCCTCTGTGGCCTAGGCTTGGCAAATATCTGACCTTTCCGACTCAAAAGGCGCGAATATTACTCTTCGGAAAGAATGTTGGTATTCCCGACAAAAATTATTCGAATTGATTTACAGACGAAATATGTACTAAAAACGGATGTATGTCTACGGGTGTCTTGCTCCGCGAGCCACTAAGATACAAATTATATCGAAAGGCGTTTCTATTTTGTAATTCTTATTGCAGCCTCAAGATGACTACTCCGTGTCGTTTGAAGATACTTCTTACTCTGATGGCTTCGCTCCTCCACTAAATGTGCCACAGCGATACGTCGTGGCCTCCAAAGAGACGAAGAAAAGATAACGTTAAGAACATATTGTGAAAATTTACAGAAACACTCTGCTCTTAAACATTGGGGTATCCTTTGTGCCCTAAAAAATGGCGCTTTTGGAGGATTACTGGCTTCTCTCTTATCTTAGGTTTTCCGTCTTGTGCTAAGCCGGCTTTGATCCAAGGACTTAAGAATTTTAATTCTTCCTGTTGAAGAGCTTTTCCAAAGCAACTAACCCTTTGGCCCCTAAGGGAGACTAGCTTCTAATTTCTTCCCACACCACCAGTGGTGAATCAAACGTGAAGGTCATGAGAGTAAACGAAATGATCACCAACAAAAGAAGCACGTAATTGTCAAACAAATTCTCCTTGTAAGAATCATAAGAAATGCATATGGAGCAGTAAAGAGAGTATACATATTGATGAGAGGGCATGATAAGTGAATCGATACGGCCTAGAGAAATCTCGTTTACATCTACCTGCTGATACCACAAACCAACTAAGTAGATTTGTTGCAAGAGTTCAAAGGTGTTGCAAAAGGAAAAAAGTACCACTTTGTTGTCGACCGACATAAATGGAACCTAGAGGTTCTAACTAGAAATGGATTAACATTTTTACTTTTTATTGTACGTGAGATTAAAACTAAAAAAAAATTGAAAGGGTTAAATAATGCACTTAGTATAGGAGCAGTTTACTATTAAGTGTCAGTGACTTTTCACGCTTGTATTTATTTTAGAAAGTAGCACAGTTTGTTGTAATTTAATCAATACTTTTAAACTAATCTTTATTTTACACCTATCAGCTACGATAAAATATACAGTTAAATATAAACAAGAGAGACGAAAACCGTATTTTTAACATTTAAAAGTTCAGCGATAAACAGGGCTCCGGGAACAACACTTCAGAGATAATATAATTATTTGTTAATTTTTAAATAACAAAATCGGGCCGCTTCATTGTGGCACAAAGTTGAGTGTCCCCGTAACATATCTATAAATCCTGTTCATCCCTCATGGTTGAATTATCGGCCATCTCCTCAACTTCATCATCACTTAACGGTTCATAACTATCTGAAAGGAGAGGGGCTGGTTCTTGTGGCCTTGACAACAATGACGAGCTGCTAGGGCTCGAGCCTGGGGCCAAATTGACCGCAAACGAATGGGGTACCGGCGAAGAACGAGCACTGCTAGATGCAGAACCCACATTGAGTGATAAGGAAGAATAAGGGAAAGTCATGCGAGCTGCTAAAGGAACTACCGACGGGTGGTGACTTTCGGTAAATGGCCATGGTGGAAGTGGCGATGCGCGGTCTCCTCTTGATGGGTGACTGGGTGATTCGGGTGGCGCAGGAGAAATGGGGATCATATTGATGTAACACTCGGTTCGTGTTGTAGCTTCTTTACTCGACGACACCCTATCTGTAACTGGACAAGTGTCACCATCCCTGCCTAACATTGAGCTAGAGACCAGATTTGCATTTGACGAGGATGACTCTTCGTAAGATTCCGTGGTTGGTTCGTCCTCGGACTCCCGGATCTCCCCTTCGGATAACTGATCATCGTCCTCAGATTCCTTGCTAGGAGAGGGAAGTTGAACACAATCGGACATTTGAGGTGTTGTCTCCGGATGCTTGGTGGACTGAGGTGTAGTGATGGGATCATCGTGGAGGAGGGAAGTAGCTTTGCTACCCAAAGGTTTGCCTTCTGAAGGCAAAGGTTCGTCTTCAGACTGACTGCTCTCTTGTGAGGGTGGAATCTCTCCTTCTGAGAGTGTATCGTCCGTGTGATTAGCTTCTTCGTTTGGACTTAAAACGTTTAATGGCTCTACTTTTGGTAACAATGTCTGCTCTGTGTTCTCCACTTCTTTGTCAGCTGGTAATTCATCACAGACTGAGCCCTCATCAGAAGGAACTTGAGTGGAGCCTCCAGATCTGACATCCGGTGAAGCTACCTCTCCCGGCAGTGGAACAAACGCCCCAACAAAAGTCGGGTAAGACACCTGCTCATTATCATCAGACACACAGTCTATTGCCGAACTGATTTCCGGATGGTTGGTATCTGAAGGGGAGCTGTAAGTGTCAGGGTCCACCAGAAATCCATGTTCAGCTTGGGGAGAGTTTTCTAATGCGTCTGCTTCCCTTGTTTCTTCATTCAATTCATATTCTTCGTTTTCTTGGTCGGATAAAGTGGACGCGACGTTATTATTTTCTGTTTCAGGAGCACTTTGACATACATAGTTACCTTCACCTCTTTCCGGCGGTGATACAGATTGTTCATCAGTCAACACGGAAGTTACTTCACTAGGTTGCGTTAACCCAGGCTGTACAGTGGTCAATGCGTTTTCATCCGGCACTATAGTAATGCCATCATCTTCAATATTATCATTCTTTTCCGAAGGTGACACCTTGCCTCTATCAGGTCTATTCTCAAGATTAGCTGAACTATCTGGTATTTCTTGCGAGGTTTGTGGTTCTGACGATTCGAACTGCGATATATCTGTACCTCTATCTGTTTCACTGCTACCCACTTGGACATCTTCACTGCATTCTACTGTTACAGTGTTATACTTGTCTATGCCGCTCGATGCCTGTTCAGGCAATTCCACCAGGGAATTAACTTCCACAATGGGTGAAGGAGAGCTCTGTGAAGGATAACAATTTTCATGTTCATATACATCAGATTCTCCATGAAACTCTTGACTTGAACCAACATTTGTTTCTTCTTCCTCTGCACCAGGATCTGGGCTTGGGAGATGTTTTGCAGCCGCTACAACTGAGCTCGAAGCAGTTGGGGAATCTGAGGATGAATCCTCACCTTTAACGTCAAGCAACTCTTCACTGAGAGATTTTGTACTTGTAACAACATCCTCAGGAGCAACACTTCCCTGTCTTTCGTCGCAGTCTGATACTGATTCATCGATTTGTACATCTTCATCAACCGAGGAGACTCCTGACGCACTGGGGTTACAGACAGATGAAGTAGTAGAGGTGTGGTTAGTATCAGGTTTATTTTTGTCATCATAGAAGCTTTCGTGATTGCCAGGTTTGTCAACCTCGGAGCTACCATAGGATTGAGTACATGGCGTCATTGTTGAACTCAAAAGCATCTCATCACTACTCTCGGGTAGATTCTCTGACTCCTCAGCAGATAAAGTTTCACTGTCACTCGGTTCGTAATACGGGGACTGGGAATGACCCTGGGAACTCCTCCTTGTCAGTGCCAATATGCGGGGATGTACTGGAGGCACCCCATCTTCAGTCTCCATGTCACCTTCATCACCCTCTTCCGTCTCGCTACCAGAACCAGGGGAGATTGGTGCGTGCGTAGAAGGCCCACGCTGTGGTGGAGCAGAATCTTCATCGCTCGATACAGATTGTGATTTTTGATGAGACGGAAACTTTTTTGAAATTGCTTGCCAGGATTCTTTGCCCCTTTGATCTACGTTTTCTGCTGGGTACTGTCTTAAGAATGACTGATCGGATTGCAGAGGTGGTTGCACATTTTCTTCGCTCTCTGTTTCCTTCCTTGTCCATGATCTTGGCATCTCATCCGCGTAACGGCCTTCTCGTTGGGTGATCTCTGTAAACACTTCATTTGATGGTCGTGTTACTGGTGAGAAATCCTCCCCTCTGTACATCCCAACGAAGGGAGGTTGGGATGGATTCATGTGAAGTCTAGATGGATGTCGCAATTCAGCATGAGTAGAGTCAACGTAATTGATTGTTTCAAATATCGTTCTTACTTGGGGCAGCCGAGCTGACTGTGGCAACGAGGAAGGCCTCTTGGCGCTTTTGTCATCAATCTGATGTGACGAGGTTTGTGGCGATTCCTGAAGATGTTGACCAACCTTTCGTTGAAAGTCAGGTTCCATATTTTGAACACTTCTTACAAATGGTCTATCTAACTGAGCGGGCTCCTGATCTGAACGTTGAAGAGCAACGACGCTGTCTTGATTGGATGTGGTCTTCCTTGAATTGTCAACATTTTCTGGACTTCTCAGATCCATGGCAACGGGTGAGACAATGCCTTTAATCAAGGGAGGTGGTCCTTTTGAGCTCATTCCTTGTGACGGACTACTTGAAGTAGGACTAATAACTGTGTGGGATATCAGTGGTGGAGGGCCATCGGGACTCACAGAAGCCCTTGCTGATCGTGCTCCAGGAGGTGATGTAAGCTTGCTTGGACTACGCGATACCATGCCAGTTCCATGACTTGCAATTGAGACACTGATTGGAGTGGTGCTGGAGTTACTTCCCTCTTGCAAAGGTCTCATTCCAGTGATGGGCATGAGAGGCGGAGGTTTTGGAACAAGCCCAGTAGTAATTCCATACCGGGGTGTAGAAGCTCCAGGTGACGCTCTGGAGGGACTTGGTGGTGATTTCACTCTTGTATGTGACGCTGCTGTATGCCCACCTTGCCTTACAGGGGGCGACACTCGTACATCACTGGCTTCTTTCTGTGGCAAGTGTTCTGCTACTGGAACATCAACTTTCCTAGCTGCCGCAGCAACATCAACCAAAGTGGCAAAAGCAGCCATTTGTGAAGATTCTACCATAGATCCCTCTTTGTCCTCTTTGGAGAGGTCCTTCGTTTCTTTAACAAATTCCTCTTGTGCAAGTCTAGCACTGTTCTCCCTTTGACAGTCTTCATTGGTAGGCATAATCACAAGTGGTTGTGGATCAGGAAATTTTTTAACGCTTCCCTCAGTATCTCCTAGCTCTGGAATAACAGCAGCTCGATTGCGCATCTCAGAAACAGAGGCTGGCCTTGATGGTATTCTCGATAGGTAAGAACTTGTTGGTGGCGAAACAGTTTTTGCTTCTTCAGTATGAGCGGATGTCTTTGGTTTCATCTCAGGAGAAAGGGCATGTGAACGTGGAGCAGATTCCTTTGGCGAGCGACTGGAAAGGGGAAATGTTGATAGTTCACCAGATGACACGACTTTTTCCGGTATTCCAGGGGCATGCATATGCCTCTGCTGTTTAACAACAAAAGGGTTTGCCAATTCTTGCTCTGATATTTCATTTTGACGTCTGCCAGACACTTCAAGTGGATGATGAACAGCGCGTCTTTCCTCACCCAAGGGTACAGAATATGGATGACCACAAACAGACATTGGCTGGTATGTTGGCACCACAGGCCTTAAACTCGCTGGATAATATGCTGCTCCTTGAGGATATTGATGAGCAAATGCCCCACTAAGCTTTACGTGACTGGGTAGATCCTCGCCATTCACACTATGTGGGAGCAATTCACGCACAGGTACCCCAACTGGAACCAAGAAACGGTGTTCTGGGTGGTGGTGCAAAGTTCCCACTGGATGCCCCATGTGGAAGGGATAACCATATGGTGGAGGTGTTGAGGTGCCAGCTGGATGTGGGTGGGTGTGGGTGAGAGGCTGATGCAGAGTCGGCATTGGCATCAACCCATACGCTTGACTAGAATATTCTCCTCCGACAGGTACCTCGCGTGGTGCTGATAAGCAGACGGTACCCAATTTATACTTTCGTATCGCTTCATTCTTCTCATAAGCGGTAAGTTTAACGTCAGGATGCCTCGGAGGAAGGTAAGTTTCTTCTTTTCTCTTATGCCCCATCTTTTCAGTCACTTCTGGACTACTTGTCTCAGCTAAAGCATACCTTGCCATGGCTTGCAGATGGGCACGAGCAGATGATGAACCTTGAGCAACTGCGGGTGATATCGCTGTGGGGCGTACTAGTGATGCACTACTAACCTCTCTTTCGCTCGTTAAGTCAACGGTCTCTACCACAACTGATCGTTTCTCCCTTTCACCGCCTCTATTATCGACGGGAGTGTGTGCGCGTCTTGGTACATCTCTTAGAGTAGAGGTTTCCTGACCAACATTGCGATAACGATCGTGGTAGGCTTCGCCTTGTGCGAACCCCTCCCTGGGTCGAGTCGTTTCAGCTGACAATTCGTGTGCCGTGATATATTTTTTATCACGTGAAGAAGGCACTTGTATCAAAGGCGGTGGGGGATTTAGGGTTTGTGGGCGCATGGCCAAATTGCCTGGTGGAGTGGCACTCTGTTGAGATCGTAAATCAGTGTGGCTAATGATGCGGTTGCTGGAAGACAGCGGTAGACTTTGTGGTCGCACAGGTTCCGTCACTGGTGGTACGTGATCTCCCGACGATGTTGGCCCTAAAGAAAAGATGAGAAGGTTGAGGAATTGAATCACATGTTACAGCACTAAAGTGAAGCCTTCCTCTCCAGGCACCTCTACCTTCGGAACACTTCCATTCAGGAGCACAAACTGAAGTCCCTGCTGGCAAAATCGTTCGTCTCTCTTAAAGATAAAGTAGACCTTAGAGGGCCAATTTTTTGGGACAATTTTTTTATCATGCCAAATTATGCATCTCTATTTTAACTAAAATGGAAAAAAATTTATAAAATATTGAAACGCACACGAATTAATAAGAAAAACGTGCGTTAGAACTGAACTTTGTGGCCCGCCGACGTGTGAATAGCCAATAATACTTTGTCACTATAAATGACTCACAAAGTGTTTTCTGCGGCTAAACGTCGTGGTCCTTAAATTTCAATTGCGTAAACATCTGATTTCAGTTGCTCGTGGTATCTTTCTGCATTTAAACCCCGATTGTGAATGACAAAAAATAAAAAGAAGAGTGCAAGAATTCAAAGAAATTCGTCGCGGAATGGCGAAAGAATCTCACCGCGAAAAGAATAAAAGCCCGTTGAAGTAATCTTCGATCCTCGCACTTCGCTTTTAAGTTGAGAAAAAAGACTTGAAATCGAATTTGCCGTCCAGTGGAATAAATTAAGGTCTGTCACGGGCAACTGTAAGATAGTTATTCGCATGATATGATTTTGCTGAGAGTCTCCTAAGACTCCGCAGGACGCTTCTGCGTTTTTATTGGCGTGTGGAGGATTTCTGGTTTTCGAAATGGACATCCTGCAATGGCCTCTGACGTAATGCTTATCGTCAGTAAGTACACTTGACTGATAAATTGCTAAGCAACCACTAAGCATATCGAAAAATCCCCACAAGGTTTTGAAGAACAACCTCTCTAGATTGAAATTGTGCAGAAATTTTACTTGTGCGGTTAGATTTGATATGCGATTTATTCGCTCAAAGAAACATCACCCATTTCAAATCGTCGTTCCTTTGTCGGTTAACAATAAAATAAAGCTAAACGAAACAATTTTTCCGGATAGTACATTTCATAACATTTCCATTACGCTTCAAATGTCGCGTTAACAATTTTTTCGAGAAGGACACCCGTGAGGGTCTACGGTATCCTAAATGGCGGCATAATCATTCTTCGAACAAGAAGGAGTAGGGTAGGTTCAATTATCAACAGTAAAGAGAGGTGGTAACACACATCCAAAATAGTTAGAGTGAAGCTTACCGTTTCCTCCAGATGCTAACATTCTCAACATGCTTGAAGCTTGCTTTCCTTCTCCTGTGTCGAGCCGATGAAAGCCTTCCATCCTCTTTTTTTGATCGTCTTCTATGACAATTACATCAGGTTTAGGAACATCCCTTACGTATGACGCACTTTCGGGGATCCTTGAATTCTTCTTTACCACTTCCGAGCTAGCCTCTACAAGAAATTTAAATAAACAATGAAGGAAAGGCACAATTGAAATACTAGACGTTTTTTTACCACCGCCAATTAAAAGAAAAAATTAAACAAATTCTACGTAACGCATTTCAACATTCCAAATAATTACCCAACCTCTTTGGACGCCGCCATTTTGAATACTGCTTAGCAACTAGAATGCTTTCTTAAGACTTTACAAACTTTAGAGCAAAATATGGCTGCACTTGATTTTGGCACATTTGACGGGAATTTCGAAAGCTTACTTTCTGGAATCTCAAAGCGGTTAGTAGTCTAGAGCAAGTCTAGACATGCAAAGCTATCACACATCCCGAACTAAGGAAAGTTCAATTAATTTGTAGACCCCAAACTACTTAGAAATCACACATACCAAAATTTTTTACCCCCTCCCCCTAAGTAAGGTTGTAAGATGCCGATCTGCATTTAACCCAGACATAAAGATATAATTATGGTTAAGAACCCGTTACTAAAATCACAAAAAAATTTGCATAGTGGTATACATGAATGATTCTTCTATATGCCCTACCTAACTAAATCAAAGGACCTGGCTATAGAATCACCAGTGGGAACTCAGATTTCTCTTTTCGATCCGCAATTGATTCTTTTTTTGTAGAAGTATAAAAATGTCTTACCTTGCAAAATGCTTCCGCTGGATGGCTCATAACGTGCACTTCCTTGATATAAGTAAGATGGTTTGACAGATGAATCCTGTGCCACCAACCGCTCGGGAAAATGTAACGGTTGACTTGGAGACTTTTCTCTCTCATCAGAGGAACTTTGTGAGACCGCAGGTACAGGAGAGTGACTCGCAGGTCGACTGAGTCCGAGGGTGTTAATCACACCTGAAGGAGCAAAGACGGTAGAGCCTGATGGAGTTTGGATAGGTTCAGATGGGTGCGAGGATTGACCATACACTTTGCTAACATGTGACTTGCTAGTGAGAGAGATGCCAGGGTGTGACATTATAGGGTGAGACGAACCAGGATGCAGCACCCCTTTATTTGAATAAGTAAGGCTAGGTGGTGAGGATGCTGTATGCAACGTGGCAGTGTGCGGCGGGTTTGTACTGTACCCGAGGGACTTGGGTGTGGCAGATCCGTGATAAATGGGACGCGAGTCGGAAAGAACGTAACCTGGTCGTGGTGAAACCAAATATGGGGCTCTTAAATGCGATAAATCTGACTGTAAGGATCGTGGACCTTCAGGTCTTGGATATACAATTCCGGGAAATACGGTTTCTGGATGTGGTGATCTTGAGGAACGAGTAGACTCGGGCTTCGTGTATTCGGGAAGCGGGTGTCGAGTATATACTTGAGTTGGTTGCCCTGTTCCCACATTAGGCGAGGCTCTACCAATGGACGCAATCACACCTGGAGTGGGCATAAATAGAGTGGAGCTTGAGCTCGTCAAAGGAAGATGAGGAGAATGAGAAGGGACTATCCTTTGGAGGTTGGAGATAGACGTCGCTACAGAAGATGTAGTTGCAGGTTCTTTCGGGGATCCCACCGCGGTGTGAACCGCACTAACAATCACCGAGGTGGACTCTTTACCGCTTGTGGAAGAAACATTACTGTTGGAAGCACCGCCTGGTTTATTATGTGGATCTGATGAATGAGAACTGTAACTCTCTGATGGTTGTTGTGCTATGGTATGCTTAGGGTTTGGTTCCCGCCTCTGTGAAGTGCCAGGACTGTCTTTGTGATGTTCCTGTGGATGTGGATAGGGCTGCAGCTGCTGTTGCTGTTGTGGCTGCTGATGTTGTTGCTGCTGTTGCTGCTGCTGTTGCTGCTGCTGCTGCTGCTGTTGCTGCTGCTGTTGCTGCTGCTGTTGTTGTTGTTGCTGCTGTTGTTGTTGTTGTTGTTGTTGTAGTTGCTGTTTTCGTTCTTCTAGGGCACGTTGCTGTCTTTGTTCTTCTTGGGCACGTTGCATCTGTAATATAAGCAACAAGATTCAATTACAAATGATCGATTTCATAACAAAAAAATTATTGGTCAAGAGCATACAGTCAACATACCATAGCGTGTAAAGTTGACACCATACCCCAATATCTGTAGTAGTTATAGGGTCATCATGTCGAGTTAAAAATCTACCTTGTTTCCAAGCCTCTCGTCCGTGCAGTGTTCTCACACTTTGGCAAACTCAGAGGTAGGTGTCTTCTTTTGCAGATTGTTAAAAAATGTACAATAATACAATTACCGAATTCGTTTTTCGCATGATATCACGAATCAAACCTCGTCTCGGACCTTGGCATTGATAATTCATGATATCATGCTCAACCTCATCCAATAATTGCTTACTGTCTGTAGTGAGGAACAACGTTTCGACCACCTGAGCGGAAGTCATCAGCAGAGTCAGTGATGGCTTCAAAATCATCCAACTCCCCTTCACGACAATTTCACAAATTTCTTACATGGGGCGAAGTAACTTTTGTATGAAGCGAACTGACTTTTATTTGGAGCGAAGTGACTGGGGCGAAATGACCACGGGGCGAGGTGACCGGATACCGATGGCTACATCAAAACATTAGGCACTGTTACCGACAACAGTACTTCTTATGACTTCTCTCACTCGAGCGATCGGACAACACGATCAAATGCTATTCCCGTGTTAAAAAGCATTTTCTATATTCATGACTTATACCACTAAAATAAAGCGTATCCTTTATAATCGAAGTCGCTATCTCATAGTTATGGACACAAGACGTACTAATGTGGGTTTGAGGATAAGTTCTGCCCTATACTATGCTTAGATAATCACCTTAGTAGCCTCATGTTCGGCAACAAGATCTTCCAAGCGTAGTTTTCTCTTGTAATTGAAGTAAAAGTTCTTACACTGAGCACCAGTCTTGGTTACAACCCGTCGAGCAATAGCTTCCCAATCGCGCCCGCACTCTCTCAGACCTGTGCAAAAATCAACAACCGGTTATTTTCTTACACATCATAGAAAGACTTCCAGCCCAAAAGGACCGGCACACCAAAAAAAATTAAACAAAAAGCCCACTCCTTACCCACCTCTACATCGCTTAAAGCTTATTTTTTATGGACTAAAGGAATTAAATTTTGCGGCATTGTATTTTGCGGGATTTTTTTCCTGGCAAGAACTGATTTTGGTTTATCGACGTCACATTAAAGATCTGGAAAAATTCTGAAGTTTAACCAACATTATACTCATGCTACACGGTACAAAATTGATGGGCATAACTGACTTGAGTTGGAATCATTTATTTCGCTTTTCCACGCCCCCTTCTCCACCGTCAACTCTAACTCCAAATCAAACATGGCCGGTTGAATAAACCATCACGCACTTCTTAACGTTAACTTGCCCTAATGTGACGCCTGCATTGCAGACTATTTACAACGATGAGATAGGTCAAATTTGTTCACGTGACCCCAGCAACAGAAGCTCAAAGCAAACTCACCCTGTAAGGCAATCTCTATTTCTTTCTCACTCCAACGGGATGTCTCCACATGATCTAAAGACAACAACCAAATGATTGTAACATGAATAACAAGACAGTCTGAGAATCTACAGCTATTTCTTCTCTGAGGGGAATACATTGCAATGCTTTTCAATTCTTCTTTGTTGTTCATTTCAGCTCCCCTGTGTTTTGTTTGAAAGCTACTGGTTCAAGGAGTTAATTGCAAAAGACATGACAAGGAAACAAGGAAATCAGTCTCATACCTGGCCTCCCTGTGTGCCTGACAGAGGGGGTGGGTGTGGTCACTTGGGCGGTAGTCACGACGGGCTGTTCCTCGTTTTCTTCACTCTCTTCTGCCGAATCAGTGATTTCCCCTAAGTCATCATCTCCTTCAAATCCACCTTTAGTACTAAAATAGAAAATAAAACTTCAGCTTTCCCTCAGACAGACAATGAAAGGTAACCCATCTAGAAAGTCACGATTCCGCTGTAAGCCATACCATGATGCTGGTAAGATATTCTGAATATTCTTTCAGGTAAGCAATCTTAAACCTGGTTTGTCTGTATAGTGGAGTCTAATAAGACACGTCTCAGAAAAGACTTGCTTATAATGTAATCAGCATCATCATTTACCCGCTCTCTGAAATGCCTCCTCTTGACTTGTTCGTGGGGGTGGGCTCACGAGTATTTCCAAACTGTGAAGTTAAAACCATTCTCAAACTCATTCATAAATCTAACAAAAAGTTAAAACCTTTCTTATTTAAGATTGTACTACAAAATTTAGCCAAATTTAGTCAATAGTAAGTAGCTGACTTGTGACGGGTTCTTGTTCAGAGTAAACAACGAGGAAGCTGTAAAATGAATGCAGTATGAAGGATGTTATGTTTGCTTGCCTGACTTCGACAATATGCATATTGATGTTAGGGTGTAAAGGGCTAACAATGATAATGCTAAAGAAACATATTTTGTTTTGTTCTAAAGTTGTGATTTTTTCATTATACAAGCTAATTTCCAGGGTTTCTCATATGAAACTGTTAGAGGGCAGTTCAATTAATTCAGTGTATGCACAATAATTCATTTACATACTTGGTCCCTTCTTCTTTTCTTGAGGTTGTGTCTTCTGGACAACTGTTTGTAATGTTCTTTTTTCTTTGTCTGATAGTAAAACAGGATACAGTCTCCCACACTCTAGAAATGGAAATAATATAAAACATTAAGTACAGAGGGGATCTCACGTTATATCACATTTATTTGCCTATAAGCTGAGACCCCACACTTTTAGCTTTTAGAAGCTGTTGGATGCTAATGAAACGCAAACCATAAACATTCGGCAATAAGCCTAAACCAAAACTTTCATTGAATTATCATGAAGCGCTCCACGCGCATTTTTAAGTGAGACAAATACTTAACATAACAGTAAGCCGTAATCAAACAAAAGTTAGAATCTTCCCTCCCTCTTTACACGTTAGAAGTAAATGACTATAACCGCTTGTTGCGAAGATATAAACGAACTCCAGAATGATATATAATGTATACAACTTTTTACTTCACTTTTGTTCTTCATACACGTAGACACAGAATTTAGATGGCTGATTGAATAATGATGTTGACTAACCTTTCCGGGTAAGAATGAAGAAATAAAATCAAAGTCCTTGGGATTGTGAATAAATCTGTAAAGCAAACACTGAACATAAGTCTTCTTTATAAAATAATTCAAATAGTACGCGCGCTCTGATTGGCCATAAAACCACTTTACATGAGCGTATGTAAACACGGTTTCCGTTCCTCTTTCATTAGTTATTTTATAAAAGAAATGTAAAATGGTTTCCGTGTTTACATAGCCTGATGTAAACACGCGGGAGGTTGGGAGAACACGAGATAAGCGTAGGAAACCACGACGCCAAGCGGAGTGGTTTCCAGCTTATCGAGTGTTCTCCCAACCTCCCGCGTGTTTACATCAGGCTATGTAAACACGGAAACCATTTTACATTTCTTCATTATAACATAAGTATAAAATAGCACAAAGTACACAGTTTAAAGACAAGAGAAAAGAAGTGAACAAAGGAAATTATGTTATTGTGAGTAGAGAGCGAATAAGTCTCCAAAGAGACTGCAGTGCAACTCCACTGGGGTGTTACCTGATAATTTGAAATTCTCACCTAAGTTGACAATGTAAATTGGCCACCATAAAGAGTTCCTAAAGCTAGGGTTAGTAGGACAGTTGAAACTTAATTCTATACTTTGATGATTAAATTCTTTCATGGATCTTGATAAACTAAAATTGCCAAATTTTGACACAGAACCTCTGCCAGGATCTGAATCCTTATTATCAAAACAACACTTTTATATCCTAGAGCTACTATTTGATCAATCCAAGTACTTTTTCATTGAATTAAGGGGGTTAGTTTCCAAAGAAACTGTGGTGCTGCATTGGTGGCAGAGTATAACAGGGCAATTTAGTATTATCAACCAACTTGATAATGTAAATTGGCCACCATAAAGAGTTTCAAAGCTAATGTTTTGAGCATAATTCCATCGTCAGAGCTCTGACAAAGGGCTAATGCTTGAAATATCAACTTTAAAACTCTTAACAGTGGCCAGTTTATTCTACCGACTCAGTTAATAATACAAAATTACCCTGTTGTACTTTTTCTGTGGTCTCCCTAAAAAAAACCTGTTATCACAGAGCCCTTGCCACTTACTTGTCCTTGAAGATCAGCCTCTCTTTCTCAGTCCATATGTTCTTGTGTTTCCTTTCATTCAGTGTTGCAAGTGGATCCCTTATGAGGCCTATAGAAGGAGGAAATGGTCTGTGAACTGTCATTCTCATGAGCTCCCAACATCTTCTGTTTGACTCCCTCTTCACGGTCATCCCATTTTGTTAATCAACGTATGTTAATAACAATTTTTTTAATTTCTTCTATAAGGATTTAAACTTATTTATACAGATAAATAGATAAATGAATAGATGCATAGAAATAATTGTAAAATAAGGCTTATATATAAAATAAATATCTACACCTTAAGGTCCTGTATCTTATTAATGTTCAAATGTATAATAAATAATGTTACCTAATTGATAATATTAGAATTGGACTAATATGGAATTGGACTTCACCCCACTCAGTCCTTATACTATTACATAAATAATATATTAATAACCCAATCTCTGCGACTGAAATTGTAAAAACTGTAACTGAAGATCAACAATACCATGGCCTAATGACTGACTGCCTGAAATAGAAAGATGTACATGTACATTGTATGTATCTACTTTATACAAGGTACAGCACAAACCATTTCTGTTGATAAATTTCACTCGTCTCTCCTCTTTGTCAAGTAAAGGTGGAGGTTCAACAGCTAAAGTGCGCATATGACGTTCATTAGCCTGATAAAAAGGAATATGACATCTTTCATACAAAACATAAAATAACTTACAGCAAAAAAAGAATATCTCAATTATAAAACCATTAAAACAGAGAGAAATTAGTCGAAATCTTATTTTCCTCCATTGCTGAATATGATAATGACTAGAAACAAACACAGATCCAATCTCAACCAAGGATCAAAATGAAAACATTAACAACAACAATTACAACACTTGTCTGTAGAGAAGCTTTGAAAATCAGAGAGCTAATTGTGATGCAAGTATTCCTCAAATTTCTTTTATTCTTTTAAGTAAGAACCTTAGGCATTCCATGATAGCTGTTTTTAAACTTTTAACTCCTAGAGGTGATCAATATGTAACTTCTCACTATAATATCCATCCATTATCATGCATGCAGGTGATGAGAATACTCTAACATAAGGTAGACATTTTTATCTTGATCTAACACCAAATTCTTGTAACTAATTTACAAGAAAATGCGTAGCAGCTATGGGGGAGATTTAACAATCAGATCTTGAGAGTTAAAGGATTAATAGTTCTTTCCATTTTTCCTTCCCCTTACCTCCTGCTCATTTAAGTTGTCTACAATCTCATTAAATTCAGCTTCACTTCTGGCCACAATACCCCAGTTACTTCTGGAGCCCATTCTGTAACAAACATATTTTCATATCTTTTAATTACCAAAGAAATCACCAGGCATGTCACAGAAAAAGGGGGCAAACTTATGTTTGACTATGAATCAAATAGGTGGTGGGTAGTACTGCTTGGCATTGTACAATTTCTTTCTAAACATAAATTCATTCAATTGATAGGATACAGATCTGTCAATAAACTGCAATTTTTTCCTATGGGCAACATAAGTACTGCATGTTTTTCAAAGATGTTGCAAGTTGCTTACTCTTTAAAATAAAGAACCAGCTCTGTGAGTGATTTACATATCAGTATGCATGCATACGTAGGTTGTGTATATAAGCCAGTGATGTAAGAAAGCAAGGTAGACCCTGTTCAGATGTTGTACTTCCACTGTACATAACTTAAGTGCAATAAGTTCACTATGGCAGGGAAGAAGCACAACTCTGATTCAGACATCATGATTGAGTTGAGTAGGGCAACTCAGTTTCAGGACTATCCAATTCTGGTGCAATATGGAATTCAAAAGTCAAGCTACAGTTTTGCGGAATGTCAAACTTGATTGATTATTGAGTTCTACACGACAATAGCACAATGTTTGAACTGGGCCTTATCCATGTGTGTTAGGCAGAGTAATTTATGCATGACAGTGGTGTTAATGTTTGCCATTTGTTAAGCAATTGTCATTACACATAATGAGTAACTTTGTTATGTTAGCATCATCAGTTATGGTAAGAACACTGTAATTTTAATACTTTAAATAGTAGACACAATCAAATAAGACTAATAATAACAATAACAATAATTATGATAATAATCATCATCTAAAAAACAAATGGATGTTTTGTTTAAAACAGCTACCAAAATTAATATATAGGCAATGATAAAACCAAATCAAGTTTAAAGTTAGCATATATCTAACTCACCTGGCAAACCGTTCTGTCTGTTCTCTTTGCTTCCTGATTTCAGGAAAAACTTTTTCATAAAATTCCCTCAGCTTAGCCTCCTTTTGTCTTCATGGAATAAGCACAATATTATTATACAAGATAAGAATCAATTATTAATAAAAACAATTACCCGGAACCTTATGTCATGAATTATTCAATTTGATAGAAAGTTATTATGGTTCATCAAAATTGCAGTCCAACTTTTTTTGGCTATTCAATAAAACAAAGAACTTTTATTAACAAGTAAAGAGTTATCATAATGGGTAGATCTGTGCACTCACTTTCTTTTTGGATTGTTTTCATTTCTCTCAATTTTCTTGAGCCATGCTTGCTTCAAAGTCTTGTATTCTTTACAAAGTTGACGATTCTGAAAGAAAAACAAATTTGTTATAAATTTTCTTAAGGTTTTAAACTTCCAAAACCCCAGAGTCCAGAGTCTACCATTACCCAACTAAGTCACCCTGTACTTTTCAACAAAGAATATGAAATTAATTGGTTACAATAAAATTGAGTAGGGCTAAGGAAACAGAGAATACACAAACAAGTTGAAAAATAATATATTAAACTAAGGAAACTTTGAACCACAAAAGATATAAGAATGAAACAAAACAATTTTAAAACTTGTTTAAACCAGGCAGTGAATAGAGTGAGTCATCTCTACCTTGAGTTCTTTTGCTTGCTTTCGTAGCTGGAAATATTTGACCAATTTAGCTTTAATAGCTGGGGCTCTGCAACAGTAAACATTTTTTCATGAACTAGACCTCTAGGTATGTCAAAAATGAACTACAGCATTCTTACGTTTTTTTCATCAGCTAGACCTCTAAAATATACCACTGCACCCCATTCTTACATAAACCCTTTTGACACTGGCTGTTAACAACTCATAGAAAAACACTTGCTATGAAAAATTACAGTTTTTGTGCACTCCATCTTTTAAATATTTGAAACATTTGCTGTACTCAGTGAAAAAGCCAAAACGTCATGAGCACAATATAGCAATCTTTTAAATATTTGAAATGCATGATTAAGTCCTTATGCATGATTTGTAAAGCTTTGATAGAAGAAAAGTTCATTGAGGGCCAAAAGGTGATTATTTTTACCAGAATAACCAGCAACATGTTATCATGTCCACATAACAAACCATACCCTCGTTTTGTCAAAATGATCACATGGACAATTGTCCACCAACCCATTCTTACAGCAAAATGAGTGCTTAAAATCATCTATGAACCAATACCATCAAGAGCAGATATTTACAAACTGTAATACTGGGGTGTATAGAATATCTGAATTAATCAAAGGAACAGCTGCATGTTAGCTATATTGTACATCACTCACTTTCTAAGATTCTCATGGTAACAAGGGAGATCAGATGGTTGATTGTACAAGGGCTACAAGAAAACCAAAGACATCAAATAAGAATCCATCAGGTAAGGTTAAAGAGTTTAAATTTCCAACTTTAATCTCTAAAAAAAAAAATCATATTTATTTTAAAATGAATGTGCAATACATGGTGTGATACAACTGGAATCAAATAATAACAACCTTTCTTTTTGTCATCTTGGGGGTACCTTAAGCATAGGAAGTGGCAATGTAGTTCAAAATGATTATACTCCATACCTTTCCTCCTGGAAGTGGCACACTGAGCTTTGCCAGCCTTGCTTCAGCAGTCTCAGCCTTTTTCTGTATGTAAGACAATTACAACACTTCAATCAATGCTGAGTACAGTTAACCCTTTAACTCCCAGATCAAATTTGTAATTCTCCTTAATGTCAACCATACAATTCTTATAATGTTTGTTCAGAGAATTCAGCATTTAATCAACTAATTATCCCAAATTGACATACTTCTTTATTCTCATTACTTATCTGGTTGAAATTTTATTGATATTGTAAGGAGAAATTCTGTCTTGGTCACTCATGAGAGTTAAAGGGTTAATGGTTGGAACTCACTGGTGATGTTTGATGGTGAGGTCTAATCATCCAGGTGAGAGTAGTCCTGAGAAGAATGACTGTTTTGACAACCTTAGTGGCAGAAGTCATCATCAGAATTGACTTCTACTAGGGTTGTTGAACATCTGTCACTACTACCTACAAAAGTCCTTCTCAGAACTAATCTTGCCGCAATGATCAGACTGCATGATCAAATCACAGCTGAGTGTTGGCATTCAGTATTACAAGCACATGTAACTATTCAATTCTTACCAATAATGGTTTGTGATACCGTTGTAGAGTCAATACACTGTCTATTTCTTCTCTCGTGGATCAAATTTGTTAAAATATTTGGGTCACTTTTTTTTTGTACAATTTCTTTAACAGCAGTTTACCTATGAGGATTAATTTGTTACTTGCATATGATTCACAGTTAAAATATTATTATTAATTTCATTTCATTGTGAGCTCATTCCTTCAAGAGAATAAAGAAACATCTAATATTTCCCTTGCTCACCACACGTGGTCTCATATTTGACTCAGTAGAAACACCTAACTACTTTCTGAGAGTTATCTAGAATTTTCCTTTCCAAGTTGTATTTCACACATTAACTTATTTGCTATTTCTGAGTATTGGCAGTTATATCACTACCCCAAGAAATTGACTTATACACATAGATTTCATGTTAGGTATAGGTAAAGAAAGATTTTATTTAGCCAGGGTGGCCCATTCAGTTACACAGCTGTTATCCAAAGGGACCTTACAAACGTTGTTAGGCCTCTGTTCAGTAATAAATGATGGATGACCTCAAAATGAGGTGAAGCCAAAAAAAGTGGCACATCAGGGGCTATACATTGCATAATTGATTTTCTTGCTACATGTTAATGTCATTCTAACACAATTTCACCATTCCTGGTAAAATATCATTTAAAGTACAATCAATCCTCTAGTTCCCTTAAGTTTCTTAATCAATTTGGACTTGTGTAAAGGAGCAAGCAATATTATCTGTTAAAGCGGTAAAATAAAGGGAAAACCTTTGAAGTTTGAAAATGACATACCTGATTTTCCTCATAAATCTTCTGTACAATACTTTTGGGTTTAGGTGTTGGGGGTGGTAGCTCTTCCTCAGGAGGCTCACTGGGCTGTTTTGAAGCCTCTTCCTCAAGTTGTTTCTAAAATTTTATTTATTCAATTCATTAGTAATCAACCCTTTTGCATCCTATCATCGCCATGCAAACTCTCCAAACAGTTCTCTATACATTTCCTATGGTGATGTCAAGGAGCATTTGTTCAAGAATCAAGAGCTTCTTAAGTTGTTGATTTTTTCCCTTCATACTTGTAACCTTAGGAATTGATTCAGGGGTAATATTGTGAGGATAAATTAGATGCTAGTCACTCTCAGCGGTCATTGGGGATAAAATCGTTAAAGGGAAGCAATTTTTAAGTGAGTGTTGAAATCATCCTGTAATGCATTGGTTCTGCTTCACTTTGCTGGTTGGCTAACAAAACTTGTGAATAAAGGAGGTAAGTCTAAAGAAACTGTGGTGCTGCATTAGTGGAAGATTATAACAGGGTTAATTAATATTATCAATTGAGTTGATAATTTAAATTGGCCACAGTAAAGAGTTTCAAAGCTGATGTTTCAACCATTAGCCCTTTGTCAGAGCAAATGGAAGAATTGTGGGTTGTGTGCATGCTTATATGCAGAAAATGGAGTGTGTCACTCTCTCCAAGAACCAAGTTCAAAACAAAAGCCAATTACCACCTGTTCACTTATTTCTCCCTGAGCTTGAGGCAGTTGCTTGCATTATTTTCACTGGTCCCCTATGACATTTTCCTTTACACTGATTGACTGCTGGTTATGGTTTTGTTAGAGGGCTTTTCGATTGAGTGTTGTTAAACCAAAACCAAAGTTATCATTATAGCCAAACAAAAGAAAGGAAAATACCCTAATGAACCAAAGAGAACTTGAAGTGCAGGAAAAACAAGGGTGGCCAAGTCGTGCTTGGTTTTAGTTTTAAATCTGATTAGTTGAGATTATAGTAGTGCAAGTTTGATGGACTAATGGGAGAGCCAAGCAAAGAAAAACCAATACAATCCTATTGGACATTCATGTATCTAGCCCATTGAAAAGGGACAAATCGCATACAAAGGTCACATCAATTGAAAGCAAGATCCAACAAGTGGAACTAAATTGCACAGTGATTACTGGAAAAGTTGGCGGCTGACAAATGAATTTTTTCCAAACCTACATCAACAAGTCTAACCTGCTTTTTCTTGAGGTTGTTGATCTGCTGTTCCACCTGTGAGATTTCTCTGTCCACCTTCTCCATCCCCTGGAGAAGCTCATCTTTAGACATCAGATCAGAGGGATCCTCTGTAACTGCTTTCTTTTCCTCACTTTGGCCTTCAGAACCTACCAAAATAACTTCTGAATCAATAACATTCACACTCTGCAAGGATAACATGCTGAGTAAGTCTCCTCCATATGAGATCACATGCAAAAGAAAGGCAAAAAAGATGAGAAGCTAGTACATGTATACCTGGAGCTGATGGAGATACAGCTTCAATAGTAGGGCCAGGGTACGAATCCTGTTAAGTGAAACATAACATTTCCATTAGTAGATCATTTAACTAGGACATGGCCATATGAGTAACACTGTCATCTTGTTCAATAATCACTTATTGTGTGAGATAACAAACAAGATTATATCCCATTCAGTGAATTAAGTACCTTTTGTGGGTCACTTGCAGATGGCGAAATCAGGGCTGGTCTTCCAGTGCTCTCTCTTATTTTTTCATGAACAGCAGCCCCATACATTTGTGAAGACAGTGATGATGATGTTGTACAAACAACCTGCAAGGAATGATGCCTTGAAAATGAAGCTGCTTCATCTGAAAATGATGGTGAAAGTGATTTGGACTGATCTTGTCCAGAAGTTGAAATTGAGACTGGTGTTGGCTGAGAAGTTGAAGATGGAGGAGTACTTGGTCCAACTCGAGGAGAAAGGCGTGGTGAGATCTTTGGGGATACTCTTGAGTGAGGTGATGACGGAGCACTGGTAGAATACCCACTGCCTTCTGAAGAAGTCTGCCATTTCTTGGTATGAAGTTCAGATCTTTCAAATTCTTTCTTAATTCCCTCTCTGAAAATTACATGCAAGTGGATAATTCATGATACACAGCATATTCAATTTTCTTAAAACGCAAAACAAAACGACAGCTTTTACAACATTTTGAAGCCATCTTGAACCTAACAGCAAGTACATGAAGTAAAATCTATGGTTGAGGTATAAAAATTCTGAAGGAGTGTATCAATTTTATTTGAAAACATGTGGGATTTAGCAATGGACATTTCACAAGGTGGCTCTTCTTTTCCACTGTTTCCAGGTTGAATCGGAATCTTGGTTTTTGTGGAGAGAGGAAAACCAGAGGACTTAGAGAAAAACCCTCAGAGTGAGGACAAGAACCAACAACAAACTCAACCCAGATGTGACAACAGGTCCAGGAATCACTGCCCCATCCCTTCTCCCTACTAGAGTCAAAATGGCCTCACGATATAGGATCATTATGGTTTTCATGGCTACTTCTTACAATTTACTGCATGCATCGTGGAAATTAATTCAATTCTATTATAATATCATTAATAATAATAACACAATATATATTAATTATATTTATGAATTCTTTTAACCCTTTAAATCCCATGAGTGACCAAGGCAGAATTTCTCCTTATAATATCAATGCAATATCAACCAGATAAGTGATGATAATAAAGAAAAATATCAATTTGGGGATAATTAGTTGATCCAATACTAAATTCTCTGAACTAACATTATAAGAATTGTATATTTGGTCTGGGAATTAAAGAGTTAACACTACTTTAAAAGTATAAGTCAAAATAGTTCAGTACACCTACCTTTCCATTTTCATATCCTTCTCACTAATTGAACTAAAGTCATTGTAGTCCCCCAATCCAACCTCCTGAGAAAAACAATTCAAATTTTGTTTCATGAACCCTTAACACCCTTGTGTGACTAAGAGAGAATTTCTCCTTACAATATCAATACAATACAAAGCAGACAGGTGATGAGAATATAGAAAAATATCCATTAGGTGATTATTAGTTGATCCAATACCAAATTCTATGAACTAACAGTGAACATACACTGTTCAAAGTATTGAACAACATATGAGAGACAGTAAGGGGAATTACTTATGAGTTTTTGGGAGTTAAGGGTAAAAGAAAGAATGATGTTTCTTTAAATAATTATGGGCATGATTCTATCTTTGTTTACCAGCAAAATTTGTAAAGCAGATGTAGCAAAAAAGTTCATACCTGGTGCCTTACATATGGAGGATCAAAGTAGGCAGCATGACCATAATCTGCCCCAGATGGGGGACATATGTCCTCGTCACTAAGGTGGCGTTGTCTTTTGTATGGTGGGCCTCCATAGTAACCGTAGCTTGATGACCTTACATCCGGAAAAAAATATAAATTAGAAACTTCCTCATTTTATATATTACATAGAACAATGTAAGTTGACCTTAAAAGTTCATTTTTCCAAGAATTTATGGAACAAGTTAATAAAGTTAACTGTTATGTATGGTTATCAAGAAAACATTTTGTTCACCTAATATTAAAAATTCATGGCACATCCAAACAAATTTGTACAATTTAATATGGGTTTAAAATACCTTGTAAAAAACTGAAAACCCAAAAATTAATACAGCTCCAAACACAGGTTCATTAAAAATATATTTCTATATGTTAGAGAAAGTACTGTTGTTCATCGTGGTTTGATAAATAAATGAACATTTAATCATTTGTCTCATGATGTAAGATGATGTAGCCCAAAAAAATTACCATATTGATTGAAATACACAATTGATTAGCTTCACTCTTACATCCTGAGACTAATGATTGATTGTTCAATTATACATTTTTACTTTTGCAAAAGAGGAAATTTATATTTAAGGAATACAATTTTTTTTAAAGCAAGTTTTGGACTGCTCTTCCAAACCTAAAACGATGAAGAGACCTCATTTATAATTCAGTTATAATGGAAAAACATTCTGTCAAACAGATGTACTTTAGATCTTGTTCACAAAGATTAAAAAAATACTACAAAGAGAAGTGGAGACTACATGAAAATGTTTGAAAATCTTCATAATTTCAAATGTTAAGTAGGTTAGAATGATATTACAACAAATGATAATTAAATGAACAATGATTATAATACTAAAAGTACATGCATCAGGGTATTATAAAATTACTGATCAAATGTTATAATTACTTTACACAATTAGCTTGAAATATTCCTTTAATTTAAAATTACACTATTATTATCATTATTGCATCATTTTCATAATAATAATACCACATGTTTTAATACCACTGAGGTTTTCCTGACAGCCCTCAAAATCGTGTATAAAACTACTTTCAATGCTGAAGGAACAATAAAAGTCCAGTTTGACTCAAAAATCCCAAATTCACTTTTTTTTTTCTACACTTGATAATACATGTTACATCATTAAATTTAACTCATTTGAATTAACCAATGAGTGCACACCTGAAATCAAAAAATAAAAATGAAACAAAACTTGTAATTGCATGCATCAGGGCCTAAGTGCCAATTGAGTTCTCACAAAATTTTTTTATCAATTCCATAAATGCAGAAATGGTAGCAACACTATAGTGACCATTATTATCTTAAGTTTGATTAAACATAAAATTGAAAGAACCTTTAATTAAAAAATAAAAATCAATGTCTTTCTTTATGGTTGTAGTCTCAACACATGTACAGATTCTTGGATTGACAAGTTTTCATAATTAATTCTAGTTCGCTCTAATTAAGAGACGTAATTGCCAAACGAAAGTCAAACTGCAAGAACTCCAAAAACATCAGAAAGAGAATTGTTCCATCACTTATGAAAACAAAGGTTTCCCTCTCTTTCAAGAAAATCTGATCTAGCTTTTGACCTTTCTTGTTAGTACACTGACCTTTCTTATTTGAGATTAAATGCAAAGTTTGGACATTTTACTGTTGATAGTTTTTCTGATACTTTCTGTGATTTATGTATTTTCATGTATTTTTATGAGTAATACACGCATTTTGATTGCTTCTTGTGATTGATCTAGTGAAGCACAGACGACATCACAAATAACAATTTTTTTTTCATCATATAAAACAAATAGGTTCCATGTTACAGTGAGTCTGTTAAGTAAAAGATCACAGAAGATGTAAAAATGTGATAAGAATATAAGTGACATGCTTGCATCTTGCATGCCACATTTTTGTTCTTACCACATTTTGACTTTGATACAAACAAACACATGATTCAACACAAGGACTCCTGTAATATTTAATAATTCTGAAAAACAAAGATAGCTACAATTTTGCATGATTTGTGACGACATTGCGATCATACTCGAGGCATGGTGTTGCAATATGAAAGTTACAAAATAAAACGGAAATTAAAGTAAGATAGAAATCTGCAATTGGACATTAAAGGGAAAGAAAAATACAAATAATATAAAGCTATTGTACCTGAAAGGTAGATCCTTGTGCATGAAATAAAGTTACATGAGAAAGTGGCTATGGGTACACTGACTGCATGTCAATTTGGAAATAGCAAACTTAAGATATGACTAAAAATGAAATACGAGCGAGTTTGATCTGAAGTCTTATCTATTTCATTCATTGAATAATTGGTGCAAAAATATATATCAATTAAGAAATAATTCAAAACAGACTTCATCTGTGATCTATTATTGAACAGAACCACTGCAACATGGAATCAATTCCTTACATTTATGAATGCAAATTTCTTCAGCAGAGGCTACCATTTGTGCGTAAGTTATTTGTATCTTACTCCCATAAAAACTGTACTAATTCCTAGAAATCAATAACTGGAGGGCAGAAGAAACCAGGGTTTTTTTCTTTTATGTCAGTTCAAGTTTTTAAGTGATACATGCAAACAGTGTAACTATTAGTAGATACATAATGAATGACAGAATTTTTAGCTGATAAAACATGTTGTTAATTCTAAGCTAGAGCAACATTGTTAATCAATATCTTCTTTGATGCACTGATTACAACTACAATCACTGTATGTATAGTTTATCCACATCATATTATCAATATCCCCATGAAACATGCATTGAAGGCGGGTAACATAGGCTTAAAACAACTAAGAACTGTACTTCTGCTACTCGTGTAATAGAAGTTATCAGAAAATTATTCTTTTCATTATAAAATTTATATTGATCAAGTTTTTGTTACTCTATCGTCAATGTAATATACGTCACTGACTTTAACATCTACAGGTGCGATTTAAACCTAAAAAAAATTAAACATGAAACATATTTGGCCAGCTTAAATTTGTTTTAACTAAATAACGATTTGATATATTTCTCATCATGGGCCCATAGAATGACCCAGTTAGAAAAGCAAAAATAATGTGTGAGGGCAGCTGTTTAGATGCAGCGACAGACATGTTAAACAAGTGGGGAAAATCTTATTTTAGAGAATTTTTAAATTCGAACATGCACTACTTCAAGATGGCAGTGGATGTTACCCGGAAAATTCTCCATATCTTTGTTGATATCTTCTGAATGATCTCTCATCACCAGGAGTGTATCTTTAACACAATAACACAATATATTTGAACAACAGCAGACATTTTTACCTTAAAGGTACTTTATGTTTGTATCAAGTTCTTGCATATTACCTTCAAACCTTGGGATATCTTGTCCATCAAAGAGTTTTTCTAGTCAATTTACTTATAACGCTAGGCTACAAAGATCCTTATTCGAACACATCACAGTAGATGCATTTGTTGAAGTGACATCGGTTTGCGGTTCAATGACCAGGGTTTAAAAAAACACTTGGAAGTAACCGCGCACTGCTTCTCAAAAGTGAGATACTAGGAAGAAATATTGCTACTCACCGATGGGGTGGACCCCTAGACATAATCTAAAGTTGGCTATGTATCTTAAAAAGGTCGTTGTTGGCGTAAAATTCAAACTGTATTTCCCTTGGTTCCCTCGTACTCGGCTTAAACAAAGCCGCCATTTTGAGAACTAACATCGCGAAGGGCTTGGTACGGTGATGACGTCACAGTTTTCGTTCTCAGCTGTCGCTGCGATTTCAGCTGTCTTTGCAATGTTCTTTTGGTAATTTTGTATTTGTTCCAGGAATCAAATTAAGGCAATATTGTCAATTGGGATATGTTGCCTTCATTTTATTTCCGCAAAGAATTTTCACTTGCAGACATTTATTCTATACAAAGTGGCGAACACGTTGACATTAAAATCGCTTCGCTTGCCAAACATGGAGAAAGACAAAGAGAGTGACATAATGGCAAAGAGAAGTAGTTTGCTTTAGAACTAGAGCTAAAGAAGAAAATAAACAAGAAATACTATCATGCAACTGTTCTGCCAGAAAAAAAATTCCTGACCCGTTTTTCTGTTTCGTTCATTTATTAACGCCTGCCAAAAATTTTGCGCTTATGTTTGGTATTTTGATGGGGTCTTGGAACAAAATTTCTGCGTTCGTCTTTGACTCTGATGAAGGAGACTAAGACCATATCTATTTTAAGTTTGTGATATCTTCAAGAAGCCTCCTTGTTTTTCTCGCTGGGTAAAAGAAGGACTGTCTCTTGTAGACAGAGTACTGATGAATATGTGGGATACGGCAGGTTTTTCTGTTTTGCATGTGAAACAAATCTATACAACTTTACCTTCTAGCATTATCATACAACCTCCAGTTCTTTTCCATGCTACAAAAATTAATTTATATCAGTCGCCAAAGGCAGTCTTAAGCTTCCTATGTTTACTTTCTGCTCTTGCTTTCCCGCTCTCAGATAAATTGCGCTTCCCATCCTCTCCCGCCACCTGTTCTTCCGGGCTCCCGCCCCCTGCCCCCATCCTCCACTTAAATGCCTTGGAACAAAATTTCTGCACTCTTATTTGACTCTGGGAAAGGAGAACAGGATCTTATCTATTTTAAGCCTGTATTCTCTTTACAAAGCCTCCTTTTTTTGCTCTCTGAGCCGAGAAGGAAGGCTTTTTTAAAAGTTGGGGGATGCGGGACAAGAGAGGTACGGCTCGCTAAGTAGGTTATATTTAGCCTAGCCTGCAGTCGGAAGTCTTTTGTGTCAACCACAGAAACCGCCGATATCTTTCATCTTAAATAGAAAGAAGTACGAATTTAATCTGTATTTGTAATCTACACGTTTTCTTCTCTTCACAAGAGCCAATAGAAAAAGGCTCAGCGTAATCTAGGTGCAATCAGGAGCCCTGGGCTCTAGGAACAGTTAGCAAAGATGGTGTCGCTTGAGTGATCTTTCACTTAACCACTGCTGCAACAAAGTATCTAATGACTGGGAAGTTAACAAGAATGGATTTTTTTCTGACGGCCCTAAAACTCTCAAATTGTATCGTGAATTATCCGTTAAATATCCGCCTAAGTCAAGAGGGCGGTCAGTTTATACGCGAGTGAAAAGATACGCCTACACAAGACGTGCCACAATTATAAACAGAAGTGTCTGGCTTGGCTGCATGTGCTGTGATGCACCATGAATTTTGCTCACAAATATTTTGTTAGCTAATTTGCACAGGTGCTAAGTGGAATCGGAGCAGGTGAACCGTGACTTTCCTTCAAAAAAAGCACAGGATACGTAAATCCTAAGGTCTTGCCGCCTGATGCAGTTCAGCTTTCCATTAAACAAACCTGTCCTTAAAAAGCAACAGTATGGATGGTTTTGGAGATAACATAATTTTGTTGCCTGAGGGTATGCTTGATTTGTAGTTTGAAATGCAACTGGTAAAAAGGATAAGGGTTGATTAGGCAAATAGGACAGACAGAACTTGTGGGCCGAATCAATTAATTCTAACTGCTTGCATCAGGCCTTACACGAAAGGGCTTAACTGCATGTTTTACGTTTAATCTTTTGATGAAATTAGCATTTCTTGCGAGAAAAACGAAAATAGGTCTTTACAGCGCCTTCAGGGAAGTAAAATTCATAGAATTATTGAAATACATCTGATAACTTATATCGGCTGATTTAGCTGCCGAATTTGTTATGTCTCGCCTCGGGCTGTGCAGGGACACGTTACGATTCAGATTTTTTCAAATTTGAATAAAGCAATCAGTAACATTGAGGTGGGATGATTTATTACCGTACTTCATAACAGTTAAAAGATTGATTTTTTTTGTATTTCTGAGTGACGTCGCAGGATAACTGCATATTACGAAAGACCAGGAAAAATAATTTAATCCAGCAGTAAGTCTATCAGATCCAAGTTTACTTATCAGAAGCTATTCGAGAATAAATTGAAATCGGCTGAGCGATGGCAGAAAGCAGCACAACTACACAGAGTTGTAATTTTTCCAATGGAAAGGGAGAAAATTACTTAAAGGTTCCAGAGAAGATCGACAAGGGTGTTCGCCCACAGGAATCTTGCAATGAACAATCAGACGGCCCAGAAACTGCTTCCTCTGTGTCGACCAAACCACCTAGACGAAAAAAGTCTCTACTGGAGAGCCTTAGGAAAAGTTTCAGCGAATTCCGTAATGGGCCTAAATCTGAGGGTTCAAAGAATGATCAAAACAGTCAGTTAGAACGATGTTACAACAAGGAGCCAGACGTTGGAGAAGCTGAAATTGAAGGAACAAGTGTACTGGGTCGGTGTAACGAAAGGAACAAAGTTGATTCGCGTTTAAGTCTACCAGATACCGTAAAGAAATTATTGAGCTCCCAAGCTTCTTCACCTGGTATCAAAAGAGGCCATGATCATATTTGCGATGTAAACAAGTTCAGAAATGAAGTGGATAAGATTGGTCATGGTTTATTTGATATCGTTCGACATTCAAACCTACAGGCTGTATCACTTCAGCGTAAATTAGAGGAAGACTGGGGCTTGGAACTGGGTCGAAGAGACCGCGGTGACCTCCCTAAAAGCCCTTCTATGAGCAGGCAACATGAGAAAAAAAATCAGGAAAACACGGGGCTGGATAACAATTTCAATACCTGCCCCGACAATGGAGGGGTTCTGAGGTTGAAATGTTCTACTACTGCGTCTGAAACGCCCGGAAATGATTTGTCCTCTGAGACACCAAATCCAAGCCTGAGAAGTCCTCAACCTCGACATGGAGTGTACATATTCGGATTAGCTGAGGGAGGAGTAGCTGAAAGATGTGGTGAACTGGCTGTTGAAGATTTGATAATTGAGGTGAGTTGCAACGAAGTAAACTCGTAGCATCAATCAACTAAACTTCATGAAAGGCGCCTTTATGTCGCAAACATGACAAAACCGCGCAAGTCGCAAAAATATGGTTTCATGCTTCAGCATACCGTGAAATCGTTATTGACAACGACAGGATTCTCGCCAGTTTGCACATGAAACAGGATTTCCTATCTTTAATGAGTTTTCGTCATTAGCAATAGTGGTTAACCGCTGAAACTCAAATATAACGTTGTGAGCAATCGTCAAGCTTTAGAATTTAGGAAACCACAATGAAAGCTGACGAGTGTGGAGCCGGACGGGTCCACGTGAGCCGTTGCGAGAAAAGGTGTCCAGCCTTTTTGGCGAAAAAAATAACAGAAATGAGAACAGAGAAAAGTTGTGTTTTTCGATAAATTGTTAGTTTCTTGTTCTGAGTCGAAAAAATAAAGGAAAATATTGTGCAGAATCTTTATTGCGTTTTTTCTGCACGCACGTTATAAATTCGAGCTAAATATTTCCCGTCCTGCTCTCTCACTCAGTCTATAAATATTATTATTATATACCTAGACTTTCATTCAACAAACGAGCACTGTGATTGGTTGATTGTTGGTCACGTGCCCCTGATCAAATTCGAATGTATCCCGACCGGGATACAATTGTACAGTTGTTGCCCGCGCACCGAATACCACAGCATATTTTTGTCATGTGATTGTTTAAGGGGAAGTCTAGATATCTAAGCACTTAATGTATGATCCCTCGGAAAACTAGCTAGTTTCGTTTTCCCTCGGGACCATATATTAAGTGTATAATATTTCATGGTGTTGTCTGCTTGAGATAGGTTTAAACTGATGAACGAACGCCCGTAATGTTGTTGTTTGCGCGCGTTCATCTTGATATGGCAGCTTTATCCGGGACTATGGAAACTATTCGTTAAGCGCATAGCGTCCACTTAATATGGTGTCCGCCTAATTTAGTTTTCACTGCAGAAAAGCAAAAAGCCCTCTTCAGTCGAGACAATTTAACAGAGCGTTTTTATGGAATTTTGAGTTGGAACGGCGGTCCCATCCAGTCTCGCATGACCAAAGTACCCTGCCTGCCTGCCAAGCCGGGGCAACTCGCACCCTGACCTGAGTTCGCGATTCTCATGGGAATAACTGCTTGAAAAATTAAAAAAAAAAAAAGGAAATGGAAAGCTTACTCCAGCGGCCAGATTATTTGGGAAGGAAGGTCGTCACGGCTATCCTAGACCAGATAATGGGCCCTAACGTTCACTTATGAAGATGCATGTTAACCCATGTAAAATCACTGATTTCGTTGCCAAATGAATGTTTTTGTCACGATACTATTGGCGAGACGAAAAACTGGAAGTTGTTTAAACAAAAAAAACAACAAAACAACAACAACGCTGAGAATAGTAATCGAGAATGTGTCGTCTTTCTGCAGATTATTTGATGATAAAAAGCAACGTTATTAAACCATGACGTTTCGGCGAAAACGTGTCACCATTATTAGGAGGGTGTCGATGGGGTGATGAATTTTACTGCTAATGGTTGTAAGAGGGTCTTAATTAATGGGGTTAGCCGTAAAAAAGGTAGAAAAAATTAGCCGTTATGACAATGTGTCATATTATGTCATTTTGGGTTTACTGTTAGCCGTTAAATGGCCAGAATTTGAACAGTATATATAATCGCATGGGCCCGAGGGCAATAAAGGATTAATTTCACGCGTATTTTCAGACATTTCCCTAAATTGCCCGAATCGCGAAGCAGAAACTAAAAACCTAGTTTATTACTGCCAATATACCGAAAAACGATCCGAAATTAAAATAGCTCTTGACGCACGATTTTGTCGTTACAGTTGGTCGGAAGTGGACACTTTTTGTCAATCACATCCAAACTAGCTAATCAGTGCGAACGAAAAGCACTTTTTAACTGTGTAGTTATACTAATTGGCTTTACTGCTCTTCTCCTGTAGGTCAATGGCATCATAGCTCTAAACTGCTCGGCTGAAAGTGTCACTACTGCTATGGAACAGATTACCAGTGTCAATCTAGTGGTTGCAAGGAAGAGAGATCCTTAAAACATCAACGTATATCAAGATCCAGAAACCACTGACCCTCGCGCTACAGTTCATGGCTAGAAAGGCCGGAGATTTAATCATAAAAGTAACATTAAGTAAAACCGGACGGTGAAGGGACAGAGGATGTCGAAGAAAAAAATATTTTATCACTTTGTAAAATTCTCATCCGTCCTAGTCTAACCTTATGAACGAAATGAACTCAGCAAATTTTGGGTAGTTTGACAGCGGGAACCCCAACAGCAAATAATTTATGTTTCTATTGGCAGCTTAACATATTTTTTCCCACGTTATGATGAAGTTAGGATAAGTAACGATAGAAAAGGTAAATGCATGGGCCATTCACGAATTCTTCTGGTGCGTTTTTCTTTCCTTTTTTATAAATATTTTCCTTTGAGTCGACGTAGTTGCTAGTTAAAGATGTATACTCCAGAAACCACACAATGTCTTTTTAACATCGCTATCTTAAAATTCACTTAGAAATCAGCAACTTTCTGGTTTTGATATTCCAAAGAACAAAGCAGTTGTTTAATAATTGTCTCACTAAACTATGCGCTACCATTTTGAAAACACTTCAGTAACCTTTCAGGACACCTAACAATACCTACACGACGTCCCAGTATTGGTTCACAAGACGCTGGCGTTCTCTTAACAAGAATATCGTTTTTCAGTAAAATTATTCCGGTGATTATGGAGATGCGCGCGCTCTGATTGGCCGAAGATTGCGTCATCTCCCGTTATAATCACTTCGCGCAGGGAGATTATAGCACAAGTGCTGAATTTCAAAATGGCTGCCACGCGTTTTGAAGTGATAGACGTGATTGGAGAAAAATTCAATTCCCGAGAGTGCAAAAGATGCCATTAAGTTTGGAGTAACACTTTTCAAAAGAAATAATTTATAGGAGGTTTTTACATTCAATTACATTGCATTCAATAGACCTGTTAAATTCTAGTGGAGACTGCCTATCTCGATACGAGTAATCAAAACAATTGAAACATAATGGTTTCACGAAAAAACGAATTTACAACAGAATTGGGAAACACTAAAGCATTTATTTACCTCAGGCTCAGTGAATATTGTTGAATAACTCCCTCGACTTCGTCTCGGGAATATTTAACAATATTCACTGAATATTGAGTTTCCGGCCACACATTTTTTTTTCTACAGCATTTACAGTATCGTAGCAAACAAAACAGGCGCCAGGCGTCAGGCGTCAGTCGTCATATCTTGTCGTATTCAGACGAGCAATCACGAGTGCACATTTTTTTTTCTACAGCATTTACAGTATCGTAGCAAACAAAACAGGCGTTAGGCGTCAGTCGTCATATCTTGTCGTATTCAGACGAGCAATCACGAGTGCACATTTTTTTTTCTACAGCATTTACAGTATCGTAGCAAACAAAACAGGCGTCAGGCGTCAGGCGTCAGTCGTCATATCTTGTCGTATTCAGACGAGCAATCACCAAGGAAAATCACGCGCCAGGAAGGGAGGGGGGGAGGGGTGTAAAAAATGGCACCGAGGAATATTTCTGGCATTTTTTCCCAGAATCATATGGAGACTGCCGCGTTAAGAGTGGTCAGAGAAAAAGACAGAGCTGTTACTCATTTCACAAAGATGTCGCCTCTTAACCTTTTTTTAAATGGAGGATTTTGGAGGAGTAAAGGGGTAAGTTTCTAAAGAAACTGTGGTGTGCGTCGTGGAGGAGGATCACTTGGTTCTCAGGGGGGAATGGAGGGGGAATCAGTCGCCGCCAACAGATAATGAAGAAAAATGACTGCCATTAAAGGTGGGGGGGGAGGAATTATAAGAATATTCCAATCCCCCCCCAGGCGAAGAATGGTGCCCAGTCCCTTTAACCCTTAAACTCCTATGAGTGACAAAGAGAGAATGTCTCCTTACAGTGTCAATACAATATCAAGCAGATAAATGAGGAGAATAAAGAAGGAAACTAAATTAGGGGATTACAGGTTGATGCAATACCAAATTCTCCAAACTAACATTATAAGAATCGTGTGGCAGACAGTAAGGAGAATTACTAGGGAGATCTTGGAAGTGAAAGGGTGAAAAAAGCCTCAAGTAGGTTGTGACTTAAATTGCAACAGATTCCTCCCATTTTTTTTATTAACGATTTTATTTCGAAATTACAGAAAATTGCACAAGCGGATGGGTACAAAACCAAGCACTTTTACTTACAAATTCAATCATCTTCTTAACGAGAGTGATGGGCGCTTTTGATACCGGCGTCACTTCGTGAATTAACAGCCCCCTAAATACGGTGGATATGTCAGCCTAAGCCGGGCTTCCGGCTGCAAAAGCAAAACATTCTGGCAATGTCAGCGACTCATTGTTAGTGGGTTTTAATTTTGGAATTGAGCGAGGGATTTGTAGCCGACGTTAAGTTTGACGTTTTTGTTTTGTCGTAATGATCGTAGGTAGTTAAAAGCAGCTTTCTCCTCGTCAGTAGTTATCCCTAGTTCTGAGTACAGGCTCTTGAGGCCTTCCGATCTCGCTTCTTCTACCACTCGTAGAGCTTTCGCTTTTGCCTCAGCGTCGATAACAACGGCTTTGGCGCTCGCATTCTGAGCAATCTCTCGAGCTTCGTTGTAGATCTTGTTCTTAATCCTCTCGGTTTCCTTTCTAACAACCTTCATTGGAAAATGGAAAAGTTAGTAGTTTAGCCCTCTCTTTGTCCTGCGCTCGTGATAAGACGAAAAGGCATCTTTCTCTATTTCTTTACCGAGTTCAAAAAGAACCTCAGACCATCTTTCTTATTCTGTTTAGCATAAGTATTGTTTGGCTTAGGAATGGTATCGCTCCCAAGAGTGACAAAAGATTAATTTGCTTGCATCATTACGATTCTGTTTAGCAGGAAAATGATGAGAAGAAAAGAGAAACATCAGTTTGGGAGCGCTGATCAATTAATCTCCAAATTCTCAGAGCTAAAATCATGAGTAATGTGTGGTAGACGGTGGAGATAATTCAAATTAAGATCTTAAGGGGTGAGAAGGTAAATCATTACCTTCTCCGCCAACGCAACGTCAGCAACAATGTAACTTTTACAACAACGAGAAAGTTTGCAAGGTTTACCTTTTCCCGCAATTCAAATTGGGCACGTTCTTCTTCAGCTGCCTCTGTGACTTGACGGAGATACCGACTTTTCACATCTTCATGCACATCGACCGCCAATAGCTGGAAGTATCTGACTTCCACGAACATTCCTCTTTCGTCATCCTTACACAAGGAATTTTTAATACAGTAGCCACAAGCGGGCATCTCCTCTTCGTCGGTAGGACAAGTTTCCCTGCAGCAGCCATCTACACGCTTGGCAAGAGCTTTGAATAGTTCCTTTTCGATATTTTCTCGGTTCCTGATTGGTTACAAATCAGAAGAAATAAGAAAGTAACTAAATGATCTCTTTTTTGCCCGACAAGGAGGAAGATTACAGGAGCCCCGGATCTTTGTCGCTACGCCTATTATGTATTTGTCGTGGAAAAAGCGGGTGCATGGATCCGTAACTATTAGTGCTAAGGCTAAGTTTGGCTGATGTGGGAAAAATAACATACCTGAACATATTGCAAGAAGAGTATATGGCAAATTTCGCAAAACCGAGCTTGACTTCTAATGGAGATACTGCACGATTGAGTAGGATTTCTAAATAATCTAGTACCCAGTTCCTACCGTGTAACTGCTTGGCCGTTGAAACTAATTTCTAAGTAGTGCATCAAGCCACAATTTAGAGGCATGTCTCAAGTTTTTTTATATTTTTATGATTCAGCACTCGACGGCGAAGGGGTCACATGCACTCTTGACCCCCTCCACATCTTGGTTGTTAGCCACGATTCTCCATAGGCAAATATTTACAAACCTTATGTAGTCGTCGATCGGTAAATCTGCAGCGCGCCCTTTTATGGCGTCAATAGCCGTTCCCCTGACCACAGGCTTGTAGTCGACATTGTAGGCTTCGTGTAAATCTGGCAGAAAATCCTTTCTCAGAAAATATTGAAAATTGCAACTGATTTTGATTTCGATTTTGTCCCCAGTCCACACAGAAATCTCGTTAAGCTCGACAAAATGAGCATCAGCTGGGAAAACCTTGAAGGTGTAGTCAGGTCCCACAAAGTACCGACCAGAAGTGTAGACCTCGCTGATGTCTACAAAACCAGTGGACTTTCGTCTCTTGAAGCCGAGCTGTGTAAAAAAAAAAAGAAAAAAGATGGAAAAGAAAGCAATCCATTTCAAAATGTTGAACATGTTCTTTAAGGTAATTCCTCGGTACAGCACTGCGCTTCCTGCACTGTGCATCCTGTACTGCGCATCCTGTACTGCGCATCCTGTACTGCGCATCCTGTACTGCGCATCCTGTACTGCGCATAGAAATGACGTGATCAGGCGAATTAGCACGCGCGCATTCCGAGAAGATGGTATTGTTTTTCAATCTATAGACGAGGTAAACAGGCACGAAGTTCTTTTGCTCTTGAACAAGCACGGTGACCTATATTTTTGTTGCACAATTTTGGTGTACAAATTATCCGCTTTAACTTTGGAGAAATTACAAAAAAAAAGATTTATCTGAGGAAAAGAGAAAGATATAGGTGAAAGCGTACACGAAGCCAGTTGCTCAAGGATGCAAATTATGACCTTAAAAGTAACGACTCAAGGAGAGTTCAGAGTCGATATCAGTATGGAACAGTTTCAGTATCTAAGCAGCTGCGCACTTATCCCTCCCCTTATCCAACAATGGTCAACGGTTAATGTTGGGTTAAGGGAGGGGTAGCTGCGCAGTTGCACAGATACTGACATTGATTTAAAAATATCACATAGGGAAAGTTGCTAACGAGAATTAACCCATTAACCCCTAGGATCATATCACCAATTCAAACAAAAACAGAAAAACTGCCAGGAAACGCGACCGAACGAGTGATTGGTGAACTTTTTTACGCCTTAAAGATGTGAAGATATCATTGCATATTTATTTGCTTTGATCGTACGCGGTTGTTTTGACCGAACGCACGATTTGAATAAATTATTTTTGCACTTGATGCGCGCGCTTTGCTTATGCTTAATTATGATAAGCCATCTCGTATTTTTCCATGTATATTATTAACACGTAATCACATGATTTTTCTCTTGCAATTTGGAATAAACAAGCATAAATTTTTTTCAAAGACCACAAATTTCACTCACCTCTACGGGCTCGTATAATTTTGTTAGTCTTTAAAAAAATTTACTCGTGCTTATTTATTCCAAATTGCACTCGATGTCATGTGAATACCTATACATATTTACATTTCTTGTTCTCGTGGAATAAACGTTGATTCAACAGCCAAACTGGCAGACTACTTCAAAAAGTAATGGGCTCTCGCAAAAAACTATTTTTTTGTTTCCTGCCCAACCCTTTAATTCATGTTCGCCAAACGATATGATACTAATAAGGAATAAAAAGAAACTTGGTGTTTCCCTTGGATGAATAAACTGAAATAGCAGAGAAACAGAGTTTCTTTAAAGAGTCGAACTTTAAATATATACTTAAGACATCCTCATTACTCTACACCAGTCTCCTACGGATGGCCAAACCACAAGTGTACCAGATCACGTTCCATCTCAAGAATACTTGAAAACTCAGGTGCTGTGACAAGCTGACGATGGAAAGCATTTGTCCAACTACTTGGACGATCAATAAAGCTACTTGACCTTAAGAGCAAGAGGCGGAGCCCGGAATTTCACATAGGAGGTGAAACGCGGTCCAAACGTTCCTTGCTGCACGAGAAATGTGCTTTATGAAATGTTACGAATAAACATGCATTCTTCCAAATTAAATCTTCTCCCAATGTTCTAACATTAATGACTTTAACTGTTTGCTTTATGATTTTCATCATCCTTAATTTAATCAAATTTTTTTCACTTTTGCTTGTATATAACATTACATTAAGATTAGTGCAACACAGGGAAAAGCTCAATTGAGGTATCGTATCATCAGGAGTTACACTGAAAATTTGACTCTGAAAAGATGTTTCCTTCCTCGCAGAGAAACTGACTTTTACTCAGCACCAAACTTACCCCCTCCCCCCCCCGCCTCAAATATATTTCATACCACGTCGCATAATGCGGAAACAAGAGTCAATCCTTTGCATGTACGATCACGCAGTAAAATTAACAATTGGTTCTAGCTTCTTGAGTGCTCTCCAAACTTCCCAAGTGCTTCATATCTCGATGAACGCACAGCTGACGTATGAACCAATTGTTTTATAACATTTTCAACCCGATGGGAATTTTTTTTTCTCGAGGGATTTATTTGCTGACGTCATGAGCGTGCACAATAGGAATATGAAGCACGCTCGTGCAATTGAATTTGATTAGACAAATTTACGAGCTAAGTTATAATAAACACTTATGAGATTCATATCCAATCTGTCAAAAGAAGACTTCGTTTCTCCATCGTAACTTTATATTTTATGTTTGCCCGTAATGTAATCAAAGAGGTTTGGTGTTTCGGTTTGGTTGTTTCGATAGGTTTTCTCGTTTCGGTCGTTTCGTCTCGATGGTTTTGTGTTAATGTTACGGGTTTCAGTGCATTTCTTGCATTATTTGAACGTTGTACTTTGAACTTAGAGGTGAGGCGGTCGGGAAGGACTGTAGGATTCTGGCAAACTCTCGATCGGTAAAAGTCTTAAAATTCAATTTGCATTTCTAGTAAGTTGTCCAGATTGAGGTCATCCTAGAGGTTCTTCTGATTTTAAATCTTTCTTAGCATAGGCAGCAAAATATAGATTCCATTTTCACCTCTATTTCATCTGTTTCTTTCAGAAACTGAAGTTATTCCGTATATTTATTGCATGCCTTCTTTCCAGTAACGGATATCACAATGCCCTCTTATCGTAATGAAGCCCGGGCAGAACTTGAGTCATCATGGCATGTTTGATATTTAGATGGTTGTCTAACGTTCCCATTATATTTATAAGCAACGAGAAAACAAAAAAAATCATCGTGATTCAACGAAAAAGATTCAGTGGCTTCGTGCATACGAACAATCTGCCGCTTAACTAAGATTTGCAAAGTAGCTGATACTACTGAATTTGAAATTATCTCATGAACGTAACTCGACAAGTATATGAAAAAAGTATAATTTTGGGATGATTTTAGTCCTGTGGTCTGTGTAATGCGAAAAAAAGGCTTCGAAATAGAAAAACTTTCAGAGAACACAAAAGCTAAACAGAATCAAGACGAAAATTTTCGTCGGGACAAAACGAAAATTTCCTGCTTCCAGCGAAGTCAGGCTGTGTTATCGAAGATGTTTTCGTGCAAAGAATACCTCTGAGCTTAATTTACTTACCTCGTAATATTCCACACTAGAGAAGCTGGTCGGGATTAGAATAACTATGAGTAAAGCTACGATGCCTACGACAGCTGCTATGATCGTTGGGGTAGCGCTCGCCATCTTGTAAAACCTGTGTAAGATAACAAACCAAGTTCAATTAAGCGGGCAGAAACATTCCTGTTTGGAAAACCACTGAAGAAGTACGTCATTTGTTGTGAAGCTTAATGTAACTACGGAGTTTATACAAAAACCTTAAACACCTGCTCTTTGTGGTTCTGTTAAGATGTCTTTCAATCTCGGGCTCTGTTGACAGTAGCTCACTAGGGATTTACGATCAAGCTTTACTCGATGATACTTTCAGATTGTTCTGTATTTTTTGCCATTGTTAATCTTATCACACCTCATTTGCATTAAATCTTGAACCCAGGATGTTAATCATGAACAAAGAGTTTTTCCCGTTGTTGTGTGCATATTAATTAGGTTTAAATATAGGAAACTTATCGAGTTCCATCACGTCCTCGACCGAGTCGAACAGGGAAGTAAAAGATTATGGATTGCGAGATGAGCAAATCGAAGATAGTTATCGGAATAGTGGTCGTTGCTGCAATCATCTTTGTTGGCGCTATGGTAGGGACCTCGTTACGAAAACTAAGCACAGAGGAAGGTATGTAAATATTGAAGAACTTGCTACCAAATCTGCAGAATTTTTAAGAATTTAGAAATTGCTGATCAAAGTAAAAGAGTTGGATGATTGTTGTAAACTCGTCTTAATTGTGAAAGATTCGAGATTTGCGTAAACGAAGCGGATGAGTTTAAGCCAGCGGAATGAAAACTATCAAACAGGAAAGGAACAGATTGGTTGACACTACTCTGGTGTGGACCAAGCGGAACAACTTTAAAGGCAAAATTCTATTCCAGTTAAGCCTCTTTTGATCTCTTTTCGCTATTAGGAAGGAGCTCGCGAAAACCCACGTGTCATTCAAAGAATTTTTCTTCGTCACTTTACCATATGTAAACAAAACACTGTTTACCAAAAGGAGTGAAAATAGTTCTCTTGATTAGAGAAGTGTTCTCGTCCAACTTCAAAAAGCTAGGTCAATAGAAGCGTCAGGTTAGGTTCAATGTATTTTGGATAAAGTTCTGAAAACTAGCTCGTCCCGTTTACAAGCGGTCAAAGGAGGTTTGCCTTTCTGTGTTAATGGGACCAAATTGTCCAGATCGTTTCGGTCACGTCCGCTTTACCAAGTTCTAATTTGTGAATAAAAGATGTACAGATGTATGTTGTATGCAAACTGTGTTCTGATTCGCTACCTGAGCGGGTAAGATGGGTCCATCTTGCCCGTTTGGGACTATTTCGATTTCGATTTCGATTCTATTCGATTTCGCGCAAGAAAAAACATTGCAGTGCGTGGAGCGGACTAAGAAAATTCGAAATTTTTGGACAGTGTGGGCGATAGAGTCGCAAAAAGCGGCAGAAAACAGTCAAAACAAAATAAACATAAACTACTCTCGTGGGTTTATTATGCTACAAATGCTACAAATACAGTTGGCATTCAGGTTCCCAGCTCTTGAAATAAACAAATCATTCTTCATAGATAGAAATAAGAGAGATGGTAAGTTTTGAGCTCAAGACGAAAAACATCTTTCTGTAAATCATTCTTTATTGTTGATAGAGCGAAATTTTCATGCTATATGATAAATCCTTCATTGACCAGGCTTGTTCGGATGTAAGCCTTGTTCTTCTTTTTGCGTTTTTATAAACCTCGAATTTGTCTCAGTCCATAAAAACGCCAAAAAAAGACCTCTATCAATATTCAGCCATCTTGACCTCACGCTCGGTAGATAACGCATATATCACATTCTTTCATCTGTGACAGTCGGTGTGGCGTACAATATCCATGAGAAAAAGCTGTCAACTGAGGCGAAGAGGGAGGGGCTTCACTCTGGTTCCCCTGGTTACCGATTTATCATCTTTCCCAGTGTGTTTCAGAGCATAAGTTTCGATGACCTGGAGTGTCTAAACAAAGATGGCATCGAGATAGAGTTGAATGTACAGTTTCAGTATCGGGCAAGACCCAAGGAACTTCGAGATCTCATTTTGCAGTTTAAAGACAAAGACAGCTACTTGAAACTACTAAAGTAAGCGTAACAAATGAATAGATCTGTTTATGGTAGTCATGAAAACCAAGTGATTTTAAGCGTTGATTAACTGGCTCTAAAGGAATCCATGAGTTTTGTAGGAAACATTGAGTTCGAGGGGAGACAAAACTCACTGTTTCCAAAGGGGTCAGTGATTTAGTGTTTTGTCATACCTCCCGACTGAAAATGTATTGGACTGGCACACGAATTTCTCGCAGTTTCAAGGAGCATGACAATATTACTTGCGAGTCGAAAGTTTAAATTGTTGTTTGGAAATTTTGACCCATGGCACGTGTCACGCTTATGGCACGTAGCACGTCCATGGCACAGGGCACGTGTCACGTCTTTCTGCAATCGCAAAACGTTCTTGAGTTGGGAGGGATAACAACCAAATTTTGAAATGGAGATCCTAAAATATATTCAGGTCTCATCACAAAGTGCGACAAATATTTGCTATTTGTTTAATTTTAACCATGCAATTTTGAAAATTGCGGGAAAACGTTTCAGTAATCAATTAAACCGTTTGCTTATTTATTCCTATTATCAGGAGCATTGCTGAGTCCGCCATCCATGATTCTTGTAGTGCGTTCAATACCACACAGCTACAATCTGAAAGAGCTTCATTTCAAGATCTCGTCCGTAAAACTATCGGTCGAAGATTTGACAATGTAGGAGCTGATGTCGAAGACCTACAGGTAACTAGCAGCATGGGAATGAGCATGAAAGAGCTGGAGTCCGATGAATTAAAAAACAAGGATTCGAACCTCGTTCCCAGAGGATTTCAGCCCCTCCACCTTTCTCCACGTCGAGAGGGAATGTGAAAGGAGATGAAAGAAGAAATATCTCAACCCTAACCTCGTACTCAGACCTTTCACGGCCAAGCAGTTGTAAATTACATTTAAATTAAACAGTAGGATCTGGGTACGAGATAATCTCAACCTCTCCTCTCTCATCCTTCCTTCCTCTTCACGAAGTCTCAGTCACTTACATGCTACAAGTCTGTCAGGCTCTAAGGCCACCTGATAACCTGTCAAAAAACGAGCGCCGGGGGGAGGGGTCTGAGGTCATCCTTCCCCGAAAAAATTTTGAAAACTATCCTTCATACGTACCTCCTACTAAACAAAACAAAATGTCGTCCCGATTTAAGGCCCCCCACCCCCACCCATCCCAGCTCCGCCGTCCCTGCAAGGAATGGTTATTTAATAAAAGAGGTGTTTCTGTATATGGTGATCTTTCTTTTATACTCAAGGCCTTAATGTCTGATTCAACGGTGAAACTGTATGGAGAAAACAGATGCTGATCATCCGTAAGGGGCTAAAAAAAACACTTCTGAGAGTTAAAGGGTGGAAAAGTTTATTTCCCTCTTGAATTAGTTTTGACATGATGAATATTTTTCTTTCCTTTAGGTTGAAAACATCATGCGCCCTGAATCCTACGAAAAAGTCATCCGAACTAAAGAAGCCGCCAAAGAAAACATCAAGATAGCAGAGAATGAACGTCCACGACTTGTTGTGGAAGCGAAATCTGAGAAAGAAGAAGCTGTCAAGCAAGCTGAGATCACCATCCAGCGGGCGGAGTCTGAGGCCAGGGTGCTCTTGTCCAAGGCGGACGCAGAAGCCAGCAGTATCAGAGCAGCATACGCTGCAGAAACGGCAGCATTCCAGAAACTCAAGAACGACACCCTTAGTAACAGTGTAGCAGGACTTCTGTCGTATCTAGGGGTGCGACTCATCGCTGAGAACAATAACACTGTTAATGTGGCGCTGGATGCTCCAGCTAAAACCAAGTATACATACACCTAACCCTTAAGTACCCAACGCCTAAGCTGTAATTCACCCTTGAAGCTGCTGCAGATTTTCCTTTGAGGGTTCTAGGTGACATTAAGATAATCCACTTGGCAAGCTATACGTGAAGCTGCTACAGATTTTCATTCGAGGGCTCTACGTGCCATCAAGATATTCCTCTTGGCAAGTTATGTGTGATCAGTTCTCGAGTCATAGGTTTATGACAAAAAAAATGTAGCCCTTGCAATTAACGGGATTCGTTGAAATAAAGTCGTAATATTCTGCTTAACTCAAATTTACCTGAGCTGGGCTTTGCTTGTAATGAACTTATAAACTTGGCTTAGCTCTATTCGGTCACAGTAAATTCCAAAAGAGCTTAGGCTAAAACAAATGTACAAACAAACAAACAAACAAACAAATGTACATGGAAAGACACACTGGAGTTCTTTTTATCAGTAGAGTAGTTCTCAATTGAGTATCGAAAAACCAAAACAATCCAAACGACCAATCAGAATTAAGGTTTACATTCTCATTAGCCGATGAGAATTCAAAGTGAAAACAAGCTAACTGCTTGAAGCGCGGGAAAACGTGAAAGACCGAATCGAGATTGTTTTAACTTTTGAATCTGATTGGTTGACAGGATGGCGCGAATTTTCTGGGCCAATTACAGAGCAAGTTGAGTAAATCCAAAGCATTACCGGAATACTTTCGACACTCAAACCAAGAGAGCAATGCATATCTTAATTTCAAATTAAGAGGAAAGACAACTCCTCCATGAAATGTTTTTGTAACGGCAATTGAAAGCGTAGTAAAATCAAAGTAATGAATTGTTTGAGGTAAATACAATCGCTTAGGCTGGTTCCAAAATAAATAATAAAAACAATTTGCATCTTGGATTTCTGATATCAAAAGTGGAAAGGAGTTTGAGCAAACTACGTTAGGGCCAGACCACCACCCCTCCTCCATTCTCCATTTGCAACACCACCGCTAAGCGATTTTACTCTTCTAAGATATAACTGCTTTGATTTTACACTGTAGATAGAGAAACTAGAGACTGCCTTCAATCTACATGATCAAAAACTGTCTACTGTGTCCATATTAAACACTCAAAACACCTTCAATTGTAGTAAACATGAGTTTAATCGTTCGATTGATATTTACTGCTCTACAACACAATAACTTAATCCCCTGAGGTATTTTAGTTACGAAAGCTCAATGGTTGCTTACAGGTAAAGCTTCACCCAAAGTCTTGCTTAATTTCTCCATAAAAAATTCAGGTCCCAAAATTTCACGACTTTTTATTGACAAAATGCCGTTTTTAATAATTGCATATTCTTTGCACATGCAAGGACACCTAAAAATTACTCATATCGTTCTAAAATGCGCACGTCCGCCTAAAAGGCGCGTAAGTAATCCAAAAACCCAACCACACTCAATTATTAATTTATCCGAGAAACTATTAATCTCGTCAGCCTTTTCTCCCCACTAAGTCGGTTATCTTTTGATCAAGGTATAGTTTCTTTTGAGAAAATACCTTCTACATGTAGGTTTGTTTCGTATGATAAAAGCAATTTAAGAGCTAAGCCAAAGCCAAGTATGATATAAGATAATAATGCATCTGTTGACTGGTTTAGTTGAGATTTCCCCTTTGTTCTTGATCCAACTCTATGGCTTCAAAAAGCGACTTGAAGTTACCGGCTCCAAAGCCCTGCACAACAAGAAGAGAAAAAAAGAAGAAAAAAAAGAGATTCAGTCTGTTGCATATTCATCTGAAAAATTAAATTTATCATTTTGATATACCAACGACAGTTTGCAACTTTAATATTGCCCACTTTCAAGCCATTCTATGTTTATAAGAGGGAAAGACGATTCAAAACCAGAAGAAAGTTTTCAGACAACGAGCAGCTCTTCATAGAACGAGGAGCTCTTCGCAGAACGAGCAGCTCTTCATAGGGCAGTTTTCCATCGATAGTCTAACGTGATCCTGGATTGCATTGCGTTTGTTATGCTTCGCTCTGTGATTGGTTTTTAGAAATCGCATGTCACCCTCTCAACCAATCGGAAGCAACGCAGACACCAATCACGACTTGGTCACCCGCGCTTTCTTCACACCTTCACTTTGAAAACTCACTGGCTTTGATCTTTTTAGTGGTTGGAATGTCCTTGCCCCAGAATTAACGACAATCAGTTGAAGTTGCTTTAGTTTAATTTCCAGCTGTCCCCTCGCACCAATCGAAAGACGATCCATCCTTAACAATAAAACAGTACACTCCTCATCAGGGACTCCACCACCACATACCACCCCCCTCTCTCTCTCACCTGGTGATTGCGCCTCTGTATGACTTCTAAGAAGAGCGTTGGTCTGTCTTGCATTGGTTTTGTGAAAATCTGCAGCAGGTAACCTTTGTCATCAAAATCGACCAAAATCTTCAGATCTTGAAGCTAGAACACGAAAAAAATCATATTTAAACAGAGCTTACTAAAAATTTGTGCAGCTGACCGGAGAAACTTGACGCGTATAGTGCTCCATACCATTCTTATGATGTGAATTGGAGAATTTGGTATTGAATCAACAAATAATCCTTTAATTGAATTTTTTTTCTTCTCATTACTTGTCTGCTTGATACTGCACTAAAATTGTAAGGAAAAATTATGTGTTGGTCACTCATGGGAGTTAAAGGTTTGATGCAGCCAGAGTTTGAAAGCCTTGGTGCATGTAGCTGATCCCCACTAAAATTCCCCTCAACTGTCCAAGGGTCCAAGTTAAAATATCTTACCACATCCAGGTCTTCCTCCACCTTAATGGGTGCATCCTTAAGACGTGCACGAAGATTTTCATAATATGTATCAGGAATAACGAGAAAATCCATGCCTCTCTCCTTTAGATTCCTTATCTGAAAAAAAAGTAACTTCACGTCACAAAACGTACAATCTGGTAAAGTTAATGATTCAGGTTGTCACTTACAGTAGAGATGATATCAGATGTGTTGAGTGCAATGTGTTGAACTCCTGCTGTTCCGTAGAAGTCGACATACTCCTGAAGCAAGATGAGTATCACAAATAAAGACCAAATGACAACATGAATTTTGTGCATTGACTAGGTTTAGTCACCATGCTCATAATGCTATGCAAAGTTGAATTATGCAACAACAACGCAGTTTGTAAAGGTAACATCATGATTTCGAGTGCAATTTGGTGTAAATAAGCACAACTAAATTTTCAAAAGACAATTGAAATTGCATTACATAGAATCATGATGAACAAATTTTTTGACATGAAAAATGTACTCACTTTCAGCCTATCAGATTAGCATAGTTTTTTTCATGTATATTGTCATATTAGTTACATGAGCATGCTTAGCACTGCTTGCAAAAGAGGTTCTGGGAAATACCAAGAAATTAGTCTACTCCATTCACACTTAGTTTTTCCAGCAAAGCACCGAGAAACAGAGGACTGTTCCAGCTTTGCCCAGTCTTTTGGTTAACCATTATTCCCATATCTTACCAGTAATTCATAATGGTAATAGGACCAAGTAGAGTCCAATTTGGTCTGTGATCATAGGAGTGATTAACAAAATCGGATGACTGAGAAGCAGGAGTCTGATTTGTTAATCACAAATATGATTACTGACAGAATTGGACAACATGAAGTTCTGTTACCAATTAATCAAAACTATGACAAAATTTGAGAGGAAAACTAGACATTGGTTATTAAACAGAGTATGAATGGAAGTGTAGTGAAATAGAATATCATTGATATGGTTGGCATTGCCTACATTTCCCTGTAAAGTTCAATTCCTTTGCTGGATCCCCTGGTCATGAAATAATTATTTCATTTATCATGCTTGTGCTGTCAAAGTGGCTGGATATTTTCTTGTGCTTTTATGGAAGCTGACCAAGTCTCATTGCACAAAAAACAAATGCAAAAATAAAAAAAAATAAATAAAAAAAAAATAATAATAACTTGGCAAATATCTAGTTCTATTTTTTTCTCAGTGCATGAGCAGGTGGTATTCTACAAATCCTGCAATCTGATTGGTTCCAAGAGCGGGCAGTATTCTCCCCATCCGGCCCACTTACAGCGGGTCAGGTTCTTTTCGCAACCATTTGTTAGGTTTTAGAAAAGAATAAAAATGTTATTCACCAGCCAAGGTCGGTCCATATTGGGAAAAACTGTGCCCGGTGTCTTGTGTTCTGCTGAGGCCTACAGCCTTGGGCACAGTTTTTCCCAATACAGACCTCCCGTCTGGTGAATAACATATATATCATGACCTAATGCGTGGTCCATAATCATGTACATACCTGTATCTGGCTCTTTCTTTTTCCTGGGGCTGGTTCATTGATAGGCAACTTAATTGTCTCTTCCCAGTTTGTGACCACAATTGATCGAAGTGCACTGTACTCTGTATTAATCTAAACAACAAAAGATTGGTGTAGGGTCTACACAATGAAGTGAATATATACCCATCAGCATTGCTGGAATTATGTGTTCGTCGACCAACATAGTGGACAGTTTCGAACTAAAAATAATCCCAAGATTTTTCTTGGTTTAGCGATTAACCTTTTCATTCCCAAGATATGAAAGTTAATTCTTCTAACTCGTGACACAAAAACCTTTGTTGCCTATTCCTGAGAATTTGGAGTTCTATCCAAAGACCAGTTTCTAGTTGATGATTTTCTCACTTCTCTCTGCATCTCTATTTGACATTTAAATAAAATTGTTACTAGAATTTATTTCTTAGTCACTCAGGAATCCAAAGGTCTGATATTCAATTCCTCATGGGGTCTCAGAATTTTTTCCTTTTTTCCCATGCTCGTGACAAGACAAAAAAACATCTTTCTCTATTTCCATACTGAACTCAAAACTTACCATCTCTTTTAATCTAATTACAAACATAATGCTATCGGCATTGCTGATCCTTGCAGTATTAGGATGCATGTCATGTGAACTTTGTAATAGACCTCGCTCACCGTAGAGTCTCTGTGGCTCAGTGGTAGAGCATTGGAAAGCGGAATCCAAAGGTCTGAGGTTTGATTCCTCATGGGGACTCCCACACTCGTGACATGACAAAAAACATCTTTCTCAACATCTGAGCTATAAATCTGAACAGAAAGAAGGAAAGTGGAGTCTGTTTGTAACAAGTAACATACCTGTTTATCATCAACAGACCAAAACCTGTGAAACTGTAAATTCTTCTCATACCTTCAGAGACCAACAGAGTATAAATTTTACAGAGAAAAACAACAATTTAAGGACTTAATATATGTTTATTAACCCTTTAACTCCCACAAGTGACCAAGGCAGAATTTCTCCATTCATAGCATTAAGAATAAAGGCGAACATTAATTAGGGGATTATTAGTTGATCCAATACCAAATTCTCCAAACTCATATCATATGGTATGGCAGACAGTAAGGAGAATTTCATAAAAGATCCTAGGAGTGAAGGTGTTAATCAGTAATTTAATCTGTGAAGGAGAAGGGAAGGATTGAGGATGAGGCAGCACAACAGGGTTCTAACACAGACTTATGCATCTTAAAAATGTTTGTCTACATTTGATCAGTCCAACCTATCCCATCCATTACCACCATCCATGGTTTGATTTGTTTATTCTCATTTCTCTGTTGCTTGTTGAACTTATAAAAGTGCTTTCAACTGTGTGTCATATTACCTACACCAAAGTACAGTCAAACCTGTATTAGGTGGCAATGTATTTAGCAGTCACCCTGTATTAAATGGTCAGTTGTCAGTCTCGAATTTCGTGCAGTTAAATGCAATCTAACAGAGTTAACAACAAAGAGCATCAGAGTTTTCTAATGGTTAGCAGTTTTTCACATATGCGCATGCACCGGAATTCCATGCAATCTTCGTTGGAGGCATTCTTGCATGTACTTTGAGTGTGTACTTTGAGCATGTACTTGTAGTGTTGTGAGGAGTGGCAGCTCTTCATCCAGGCAGTTTTCCCCACTCCTTCCCTCCCTCTTTCCACTGTTTATTCAGTGTGACAGGTGCCTGTTCCCATTTCCTTTGTGAGGCCTCATGGCCTGGTTGCCAGGATTTGCCAGCCATGGGAGAAGTTTCCATATAGGAGCTGGCTGCCAATAGGGGAAGCTCCTGGATGTTTCAGGCACCCAACCTCCAATTAGTGATGCAGTTGTTAATTTCCCCATTAAACCTTTAACTCCCAAGACCTCATTAGTAATTCTCCCTCCTGTTTGCCATACAGTTCTTGTGATGTCAATTTGGAGAATTTGATATTGGATCAACTTGCAACCCCCTAATTCATATTTTTCTTTATTCTCGTCACTTGTCTGCTTGATGTTGTATTGATATTGTGAGGAAAAATCCTGTCTTGGTCACTCATGGAAGTTAAAGGATTAATCACTGTAATTTTCATCTTTATTACACTGGACTTACCATTCAGCAGTGGACACCATACCATCCTCTGGCTGGTTACCAACAACATGATCAATAAAACAAAGAAGGCCTGGTGGTCTAAGAAATATGAGAAGAACAGTTACACCTTCAATCAAAACTATAACAAAGTTTACCTAAAGTATGTGAATGGTTATCACCAGCTTGATTTGAGCACTAATAACCCTTTGACTCCCAGATCAAATTTGTAATTCTCCTTTCTGTCAACCATACATTTCTTATCATGTTAGTTCAGAGAATTTAGTACTGAATCAACTAATTATCCCCAAATTGATATTTTTCTTAATTCTCATCACTTATCTGGTTGACATTGTATTGATATTGTAAGGAGAAATTCTGTCTTGGTCACTCATGGTAGTTAAAGGAATAAGACAGTGTATGTGTCATGCTTTTAATTGGACAGTGTAATATAAGACAATTGACATGATGCCTGTGTAAGTGGACAGTACCCATCGTGTCCATGCTCTGTTGTCATGCATTTTGCCGCATTAACAGCTGATTTTTATGAAGACATACAACCAATGTCTAGCTTCTTTCTCACATTTTGTCCTAGATTTGATTAATTGGTAACGACACTTTGTGTCATTCAAATATGTCCATACTCATACTTGAGATTGACAAATTGGACTCTTGCTTCACTGTTGTCAGATTTTGTGAAGTACTCGTATGGTTACACATCGAATTGGATACCACTCAGTCCTACTACCATTATCAACATTTAGGGTGCATATTTAATTGAAACATTGATTAGCGATGAATTGCCTTGGTTTTAAAAAAGGATCTGTTATTCCAGGAGATATTGAGAATTTAGTTTCCACATTAGGATTTTTGGCTTGACTTATCTAACCCCTATGAAAGAAGGTGTTTGTTGGAAAATTAAAGTTCTGTGGTGGGTTGTTCAAAGCTAGGTTAAGATAACCAAGGGTTAGTCTGAAATCTGACCACAGATCTGAAAGCTTTGAAAGATTATTCTGTTTAACTATTTTTGTGTACAATTTGATGCCCAAACACTCTAAAAGGAATACTAGAGCAATTATCTGAAAAAGGCCTTTGAAGAAAGGAATAAAGAAACCCCAGTCAAAATGTAAATTTTTAGCCCTTTAACTCCCAGATCAAATTTGTAATTCTTTTTTACTGTCAACCATACAGCTCTTATAATGTCAGTTCAGAGAATTAAGTACTGGATCAACTAATAATCCCCAAATTGATATTTTTCTTTATTCTCATCACTTATCTGGTTGATATTGAATTGACATTATAAGGAGAAATTCTGTCTTGGTCACTCATGGGAGTTGAAGGGTTAACCCTGGGTTAGTGCAAGTTGCTCTTTGGACAACTAGGCCCTAGACTGGGGTCAGGGGGGAGGGGTGGGTAATCAAGATGATGCTTCTAGGAGATGTATAAGATATAAGAGGACTAAAAATACTGTATGAAACAAAGAGCAGAGTGAACATAGAATACTGCTAATGATGTTGTGTGATATACTTAACACATCTTCTCTCATTTTTGTGTTGTTGTGCAATTTGATGAACTTGTTAAAAATTAGAAAAACCCTTTCTCTGGAATTATAAAGAATCAATCTCAAACTTGCTTAAAAAGAAAGACATCCCACTGACGTCAGCTTAAAGAACAGTGTACGTGTTGAAGAAACGGATAGTCATCAACACAAGAATTACAATCTTTAAGTTACATGTAAGACATGTGCGAATAGCTTTAAAAAAAAACTTGCTTCTAATGGTGCAGAACAATTAAGGTATACTTACAGTTTGGGTAGAAGGCAATCTTTGGTGATTGGAGGCTTGTACCCAGGTAGAAAGAGACCACTGAATCCCTTTCTTTCAACAAATGTGTGTGTTGTGTCACCATACTACAATCAAACAGATATCACAGAGATCAAATTTAAAAAAGTAACTTTCAACTTGACATTACAAAATTTCTCTTCACAATACCAATACAGTATCAAGCAGGCAAGTGACGAGATTAAAGAAAAATATTAGTTAGGAGATTATTGGTTGATCCAATACCAAATTCTCTGAATAAAATCTAAAGAATTGTATGGCAGACAGTAAGGAGAATTACTAATGAGATCTTGAGAGTTAACCATATCATACCCAACAAGTGTGAGTTGAACAATAATTGCTATCCATTCTTAAATAACAGCTCAAGAAATATTTCAAGATCTGCTATAAACATAAAAAAAATTTCTTACAATTGTTTGTGACCATAATTTTGGTCCATGAAATAGGAACTCTAATATGAGCCCTTAAACCAATCAAGACTCTGGAGAAACAAAATGCCATAGCTATATTTAATAGTTATAGATAATTACTCACTGTCTGCACAGTTGCAAAAGTCACAGTGCCATCTTCATCTGTTTCATCCCATGGCTCATGAACAGACACTGCACCACGCTTAATGGCAGCCTGTATAAACCAAACAAAAGAGTAATTATAACAATAACTTAAATATAATTAAACCTGTATTAAGCAGTCACCCATGGGGAATAGTGGGTGAACACTCATTACAGGTTGACCATTAACCTTTTAACCCCTAAGAGTGACCAGACTCTAATTTCTCCTTACAATATCACCCCTGAATCAAACACTAAAGTCATCAGAATAAAAGAAATGATCATCGAATGATGACACTCTTGATTGCTAAACAAATTCTCCTTACCAATACCATGAGAAAAGTAAAGATAACAGTATGTACAAGATGTGTTATGATATTAGGATGTAACTGATTTGACACAGGTTCCACAGAATAAGAACAAATGAGATAAAATGCCATTTTGTCCTAACAATCTTAAGAAGAAAGACAATCTGCAACGAGTTGTCGACATTTGAACTCAGAGTGCTAATGTTGATTGAACCCTCCCATCTGATTGTTAATTCTCCCTCTAGCTGCTACATATTTCCTTTTAAATTAGTTATGAGAATTTGGTGTTTGATCAAGATAACAACTTCTACCCAACAAGTTTTAGTATTCTCAACACCTTTTTGTTGGATAATGTTTGGATATCATGGGGAGAAACTACATGTTAATCACCCCTGGCAGCTAAAGGGTTAATCCAGGGTGACCACGGAATACCATGCCACTTAGTACAGGTTTAACTATATGTGATTTGTTCATTGTGAGAATGGGACAAGAAAAAATGTGCCTCCCCATGAACTGATTTGCACTTCAGGCCTTCACATTTTGCAGTCGTATCAGTGCCTCTTCTGCTAATCTATAGAGATTTTGTGATGAGCTTGGCTACATGCAGGTCACCTTGTAAAGAGCAATACAGTCCTCCACTTCAAAAGCAACATCCTTCACTCCATCACCATGTACAATCAGGTGTTTTCCCATCACTAACACAAAAAAATTATGGGTAGATCACATACAGCCATGAATGTATGGCAAAAAATATCATATATTTCAAGCAACAGAGCCCTATTCTTCATAGTAAAATAAATAAGACAAAAAATTTCAAGTCAAAGCCATATTGAAATTGTTGTCACGTTTGATTAATTCTGAGGACTTTACCTTCTGATATCTTTCCTGAAGGATTAAGAGGTGACTTGAAAACAAATATGATCTGAAAGAAAATGCAAAGGATGAGTTCCTTAGTAATTGGCCTTAGACATAGTTAATCTGTGAGACACTTTTATGCAAACAGCCCATGTTTGTTCAAATTTTGATTTTAGACATCTGAGCCAGGTTATTCAAAGCTGGGTTAAGATAACCCAGGGTTACTGTGAAGTCTGATTTCAGATCTAAAAGCTTCTAAAGTCAAATTCAGTCAAATTGGTTTTGTATAGAATATAATTATTGGATGATACAGAAAATTATCCCCAAAAGGCTTTTAAACGAAGGAATAAAAAAAGCTGGTTAGAATTTAACATTGGGTTGGCACTAATTGGGCCTTCAAACAACTGGGCTCTGGGTTATGGTAAGGCTCATGTACGAGGCCAATTGCAATAACAGAGACAGCAACATAACAGTGATACCTAGAATGGGTAGGGGCAGAAAACCATACCTTGTCCTGTTTGACCGCATGCGATACCACCTCTCTTGATCCTGTTTCCAGTCCCTTATAGCCAAATGGTTCAAATCCCATTTTGTTACAATAATATGAGGCAGCCTGTTGATGCAAGGAAGTAATTGTTTCCTACCTTAACTTACATTTAAAGAATTTTACAATAAACTTAAAGATCACAAGAACCAGTTTGATGAGCAGGAGATTTAGATGTGGTGTGATCACTTTGGTAAGGGTTATAAGACAGCTGGTAGCAGCAGTGACTAATTTTTGCTCAACCAGAGTGAAAGTCAGCTCAAGAGTCAAGCAAGTGGAGAGTTTTTTGTCCTCCAAATTGTTTGTTCTATAATAACATTAAAGCTACAACCCTCATTTGCTTCTGCTCTAGCACAATGATTTTCAACATGAATTATTTGTACCCTCTTATCACTAGGAAAACAGAATATGATAATCTTAGTGACACTATGCTGAACTCATGAACACACCATGTAGAATACCATTTTTTTTAAAAATTGGTCAAGTCCAAGGTTGCCAGAAAAACTTGATATTTAATTCCTACCCACTAAAAAATAAGTTCTCAAGAGAGAATCATCAGTATTCCAAATTCTGAGTATTGGGCTATTACATAGTACCCATCTGGTACAAAATTAGCCATCATTCCCACAAAAGTCCTCGCCAATTGATCTGTTGTTTTTAAAAAGATGCTCTCCCCATACCCCTAAGGCTATGTTAAATTGTTACAAGATTTGCATAATGAATCCTCTCATTACTACTTCCTAAGCTTCCCAGATACAGAAAAATTTACTTAAACTATTGATCACATATCTACCACAGAATTAGTCTGCACATAAAGAAAGTGATTTTGTGAAGATTCATTCCAACCTCAGCCAGTTCCAGTGTTAGAATTAAAGTTGACATTTGTTATTTTCTCAGTCAGAGAGAGAACATTTGATCAAAATAAAACTCTCCCACTGCTCACAACAACTCTAGGATAATTTTTATGATCAATCATGGAGTATAAAATAAATAACCATACAAAAACTAAATTAAGATTAGTGTAATATATACTTACTTACTGAATGAGTTGGAGGGCTGGATAGGAAAAATATTTTGCAGATAAAAATGTACAGACCGAACCACCTTGAATCAAATGTTTTCCTTCCTGATTCGACCTACGGTAACTCAATTTTCGACCATTTCCTCAAATGACTATTTCTTCTTGGATTCTGCATCTCAAAGGCAGTATGCAAGGCCGCGGAGCCTTGTTCAAGACCCTTTTGCTCCATTTTACAGTCATTATGCAAATATCTATGCAATTTGTTTCAATTTTTTTTGCGGTTAAAATATTTACATGGCCCTTCGCGGCATATGATAATGATATCATTTTTTACTAACCTGCTTGGCATTTCCGACCCAAAATGTGATGTGATCGAAGGCAACAAAAGAACCAACTTCTGGCTGAAAACAGAAAGCTACACAAATTAACACGGAGAGAGATCTCCCATTTGTATCATAAAGATAAAAACTGGCAAGGTAAGTCTGATATAAGTCTTCTATGGAACGTTTAGAAAGATCAAGGTCAGTAGTGCAACACTCGATGACAATTGACAAAAGGGGGTAAGTTTCAAAAGAAACTGTGGTGCTGCGTCGTTGGGAGAGTATAACAGGTAATTTAGAGTTACCAACTAAGTTGAAAGCTCTGACGAAGGGCTAACGCTCGGAATGTCAGCTTTTTTACCCTTTACGGTGGCTAATTTACGTTTTCAACTTAGTTGTTAACACTCGATGACAATGATGTGTATATATTTATGACTGCTTCGAACTTACCTTCTCTCCTTTGTCAGTATAAGTAGTCTGTGAACAAAAAAAAAGGAGGGTTAACATTTTTCACTGAAAAAACGACCAGATCGTGAAATACAAATCATCCTATACCATTTTACTGTTTGTTTCCTACGTCCTCAGCGCTGTGCACGTTGCAATCCGATTAAAATGGAACCCAGTCTTTCTCTCTCAAACTCCAAATATAGGCATAAAATGGTCAGGCCCCTGACCCGCCTACTTTGTCAGCACTACAGGTAGAGAAAGAAATGAAAAAAAAAAAAAAGGAAAAAAGAGAAAAAAGATCAATTTGAGTTCGGGCGGCCAATCAAACTATCATTAAGACCAAGTTCAACTGAAAAAATGGTCTGAACAGGTCTTTTCTTTGGCCCCTATCATATATCACTTGATGGATTGATACACCTATTTGTTTTGAAACATTTCTATAAGTTTCCCTTTCCCTTTTGATGAAACGATACAGACTCTTTCCACCTATGCAATGCGCTGCTATAAAAAAAGTCATAATGTGATTGTAATTGAAAAAGCCAGTCAGAAAAGTCATGCTCTCTGTCCTGAAGTTGCAAGATTTCGCTTTTAAACGGCTTAGACCCGTTGTAACCTTCCAATAGTATCGAACCAGTTAAAATGTAAATTGAAAAATTTAGGACATAATGTATAAGTATATTATGTTCAAAATCAAATGATTTCTATTTGGGGTCTAAAATCGGTAGCGTGTTCGGAGCGAGAGCGAACGGGCAAAACTACGGTCTTTCAGGCTCACACTCTGTGGGGACTAGCAAAGGAGCCCACGAACGACATGAGGGAAGGCTCAATTGTCAGGGAAACGGCTGGTTTAGCTGACTCTCGCCTGTGATCCAGCCAGCAGTGATCACTTATCCGTTCACTCGGTTTTAATGATCGAGGCCTGGGACGGGCTTGTTGGAGCGAAGATTGGGATCTAATCTCCTGGAGTATCATTTCGGAAGTAAAAATCTTGAGTAAGCCGTAATGGAGGTGGAGATACCAATTGAAACAGAACCATTACTGGGGCAGGAGATCATTTCTTCCAGTTTGAAAACTGAGGAAATGCCTAGTTCCCTTCAATTGGCGGTAGATATTTACGATAAATCAGTGCAAAACACTGCTTTGGATGTACACGGAGACTCAATTGACGGACGATCGAGGGGTCGGTGTTGCAGGATCTTTACAAAATTCAAGTTTGCTCTCTTTGATTCCCACTGGCCCTTGTCTTGTTTCTTGGCGGTTGCTTTCCTTGGTGTTTGGTTACCTAAGAAGAACAGATCTCTTTGGTCGCTTACTTTTATACCGATCTTTCATATGCTCTTCGGCTTGGGGGCACATCTGTATTTCATTGTGTTGACAAATGACCAAACGACTTGGAAAGTTCACATTGGGTCGAAAATGCTACTCACATCTCTATGGATAAGCGGTTTTTCATCGTACATCCTGGCTTTGTATTTCTTCAGGTATCAGTCACAGGAATGGATGCGAGATCTGAACAAAATTCAACATCGAGCCGTCAACGTGGGTCTGTTTACTGGTTTGCTGCTTGTGTCATGGGTCCTGTTCTTAGACGCCCATTTTCAAGTTATTTTTGACTTAGACAACATTAAAAAAGCCCTCACCGAGAATTGTCCAAGTACAAAAGTTTGCAAAGGTATTTGGTATCCCCTTGTTACTTCTATATACTGGGGAATGTATTCGTCGATCGCTGTTTGCTGCGTGTTTTTCTCCCTGTGCCTCTCGATGACGAACGATCTCGCAAAAGGATACCTTCGCTTAGCTAAATGCACTGGGGATGTTCGGAATGCTGTAATAATGCACAAGCAAGTGCGTGATGAAACTGAAAAACGGATAAACAGCATGCGTGTCTGGTTTTTAATTCACACTCTCTTTTACCTGGTGGTGTTTTTAGCCAGTATTTTCGACTGGTGGGAAGCGGCAAGAGACTCGTTAAACTCTGTGGTCCAGTACATGGCTCAAATCTCTGGCACGCTAGTCGTGGTGTACAAATTTTTCTTCCCTTTCTTGTCGGCGAGTTACGTCACTTGGCACGAGTCCACACTCGTGCAAGACTTGAACGACAAGACAGATTATCTTCCTAGAGAAACCTTCCACTCGAGGCAAGATTTAGAAGTGTTCCTTGCGCAGAGCAGGAGACGTGGTTATGGATTTCGCCTGTTTAAGATACAAATTACCATAACAATTGCAATATTTTCTTTGCTCGGATCTGGTTTTGGATTGTTACACACCTTTCTTTTTTTAGAGTAAAATTTTTTTCGACGCTTTTTAGTCGTGGATACACGAAGCGTAGAATCGACTACTGTTAGGGTTTAAGAATTTGCAAATTTATCACTCAATCAGATGTAAACAAATCGATATGTCAACGGCAGACCAATTGATATCGATTTTCCGAAATAATACTGCAACGCATCTATCGACTTTCCGAAGTAAATGCCGCGACGTTGAAATAAAATTCGACTTTTCATAGAGGGAGTTTCGATTACTACTCGTCGCAGTCAGCACATGTGTAAGCGAGTCAAATCTGTTTGAAAGACTTTTAAAAGGTGTGACTATGAGTGTAGACGCTGAATGCGAAGAGTCTTTGACTCCTCGAGACGTTTGCTCGTCGATCCCCCAAGCTCACAGGGGGTTTATAAATAGTGATCCTTAGCTCAAACTTGTGAGGGAACCTATAGAATCTATGAGCGCTCATATCAACATACGTATGAATTAAACGTAAGGTTAAACAAAGCTCTAAGAAACATCAGTTGCACAACTGATCAGTCCGTAATATCCAACCAAAACACTCCTGTGGCTAAGCAGAACGAACCGCAGCAAGGAGACTTATCTGATGATAACAGCAATCATACTAGAAAATTGCAGGAAGGACGAAGTAGGTCAAAGTCCAGTCGTATTAGCATAGGCGTCCGCCGTGATCGAGAACCATCGAGATTACCGTGGAAGAAAATTCTGAACTTATTTAACAAGGCTAAAGCAATAGAGAGGTATGTAAGGTTTCATATTGTGCATGGTGAATCACATTCGTCAGCGTTGAAAACGATTTTATCGTTTGATTACCGTAATTATCTTAAAACCAGACTGTGAAGAGGTAAACCTGTTGGAATCTGTGATTGTTTCGATTATACTCAATAAACACTCGTAGTCGCACTCATTTACTTTATTCTCTTACTTTCCATTTAAAGGAAAAGGTCAACTGAAAATAGATCACCAAACGCTAACTGATTTGATGTACTTAGAAACTTAACAGGATATTGAAAAGCCAAACAGTATAAAATAAATTTACGCACTGACATTAGCGGCACTAGTTCCCAGGAGAATATCTAACCACGTGCGTTCACTAACTCAATTAATCATTAACATTACAATTTCCTCAAATGTGATTGGTGCATCACCTGCTTTATATCTCACTAGTCACTCTGTATAGTTCTAATCGGAAAGTGTAATCGGATAGTTGAAGCGGCCAATCATACTCAGTCTACTCAGCTAAATCCACCAATCACAGAATTTATCACAATAACCATAGCAACAAGCACTTACCCTGAAAAAAAAAAACTGGGAAATTTCCAAATGTTTTGCTTTAGACGTTGTCTCTACTGAAGATGTTTGTCCTAAATGTTTTTTTCCTGAAATTGTAATGGTTATGATTGATTGGTGACAGGACTTTGCGTCGCCCAATTCTGTCTGTAATCTTACTCGTGATTGACAGATCGGACTCCCGCTTCGCGGTCGTCCGATTTTGTTAATCACTTGTATGATTACAGACCGAATTGGATTCCACTCGGTCCTATTATCATTATTAATCGTTTACTAATCAAGTTTCTTATAGTGTAATATGATAGATTATGACGTCACGGTAACAGAATCACTCGTGCAAAAGGTTCAAGGTTATATTTTGCTATTGATTATGTTTACATTTTCAAAAAAAGGACTGCAAAGCACAAAAAGACATGAAGTATTCAGTAGTTTTTATCATGAATTTGTACATTTTGTTCGATGCCATTCAATAAAGTGTAAGAAACGAAACCGCAAGTATTTTGTTTCAAGGGCGAAGTTACTTCAGGTGATATTGAGTCAAACATGGGACCTGTTACTCAGGGAAATAATGCAAACAATCTTAATGAATTGTTACAATCTCGATCAACATAGCTTGTGAATATTAGATGTTAGTGGTGCAGGTGATTGCTTCTTTTGAGTTGTGTCCCATAAGTTGTATGGTGAACTTAGCTATCACATGAATGTTCGTAGCACTGGTGTTCAATTTATGAGTAACAATCCAGAAAGATTCATCGAAAGTAGTACGAACCATTTATGGTCAAGGTATTTAGCTTACGTGGGCTGATCCACTTTTTATACATACAGTTGTAGATACATTAAACTTGACAATCCACGTTATAGAATTTAAGCCATATTAGATATTGGACACTATGTTTCAACTGTTCTTTCCAATGAAGCGCCAAAATACCTTGTTAAGACAAGTGAATTGTTTCAAAATGAGTATACAGAAGTTCAGGAAAATTGGCTTGATGATCCCGATATGAATGATGATGCCAATGATGCTCTTGCAAATCAAAGTAATAAATGGAAGGAATTCCTCAGTAATTTAGACGCAAGCACTGATTATGCTGAAATACATTCAACTGATTCTGTACCTGAAATTACTAGATAGTAATTTCAGGTACAGGGTCAGTTAAGAAATTCTGAGTTTTCTGAAGCTACTCAAAGACATTATAATTACACCAAACAATTAATTTCTGACTTTAATGACAATGGTAATGATGGATCGTGTGAAGTTGAGAAGAGGACTTCAGGTGTCGCAGTGAATCTTCCTTCTTGACAAAGAACTCCTCGAAGCCATTTCAAAAACTGCTGATCGATGTGCAAACAGCGTCACGCTGCGTCGTGACCCAGTTTCAGTTTCCTGATTGGTTAATAAAAATGACACAAAAAAACCTTGCCACCAACAGCCACTCTCTTACTCCTCCCCACTCCCCTCCCCAAGATCTCCTATGAAATATACCGGTGGGGGTGGACAACAGCGCAAAAAATGAACCAAAAAAGTTATGAGTTATTGTTAAAGGAGGGAACCTAAATTTATAGCCAACCAGCCAATCGTTCATTTGAAATTTTGTCGGGATTCAATTGCTATCCAAAGGAAACTTATTTGAAAAGAACGAGGAGGAATGGAGCGAGTAACTTATTCACAACACACAGCACATTCATACAAATTTTACGTCAAAAAATCTTCTATAGTATAAGCTTTTGTGGCAAAAAGTGAAGTTTAAGGAATGGTGAAGGTCAAACGATAGCCAAAATGTCAATTCTGACTACTCACCCGACGTCACTCCAGCAGTTCAAAGTAATTCCAAGTAGTTTCAACTCTCTCCAAGAGTTACCCATTGGCTGCCTATGTTTACACATGTAAAAGTGTATGTTTTTGTAAAGAGGAATTTAATTATCCTCAAAACACATTCAAACGTGATGTAACCACGAATTGTTCTCAGTTTCCTTTGATTTTTAAAGCGGTGAGATAAATGACAAATCTATCTTTTTCCTTTGAGTTAAAGTTGTAGCTTAGGCATTTTTGGTTTGATATGATTTCGTTTTCATAACGGCACGCTTAAAATAATGAATAAAAAAAAGACACTAAGACTGAGCATTTTGCAAAATTCATCGATCACATTGCGTGAAACATGTCAGTGAACCTGGAAGACAGAAAAGTACCTGACCCTTATAGATGTCTAATAAAAATCTCTTCACGCAACGCACTCACTCTCTGACTAGAATACAGGGCGTTGTGTGACGGCGCCAAACAACGGCTGCGAAGGAGACTACAATGAGCGTGGCACCGATGTATTTTATTTTTGCTCAGAAGTATTTACTCAATCGAGACGATAGATCACAAAATACCAGTGTGAATTTAGATAGAGTAAGTTTTTTTCTTTCTGTTAAAGTGAAGTAATGCGATATTTTCGTTCTTTTGAAAGTTGTGAAATATTAGGAACACAGAGTGTCCCATCTCGACCTACCAAGCTGAAAAAAAAACTTTTGCATGCTACGCATGCCTATGTTTTATCTTATTAGAGTTCTCCCATTATACTTTTATGACATGAATTAAGTGAACGTCTCAATTACTGCTGCTTTATCGTATCTTGACTAATCAAAAGTAATTATGAGTGTTTGATGATTCAATGTCAATAAATAAAAAAATTACCATCTGAGGTTTGCATTTGCTCGGCGTGGATGGGCTTCCGGCCGAGAGAAACGGTAGGCCTGAGGACGAGAACGACTACGAAAGTGCCACATAGAGGCAGAGGATCAAATTCTATATTTGATATGAGTGACCGGTGACGTATGTTCCACAAAAAACCAAACAGTCTGGTAGAGATTTCTTGCTTTAAGGCAAGGCACCTATGTCTAAAGGTCGTGGTAAGTACTGTCTGTTTCAAACAAACGAAATAGTTCAATTTTTTTTTGTGTAATATAAAGAGGAATAACACTTCGATCATGTTTTGTTTGATTCAGTGACCTGGCGGAAGACGGTTGTGATATCTCGCTACGATAAAAAGTGAAAAGTACAGTCGACAGAGGAAGACATAACCAAAAACCGCAAGGTCGGTATAAAAGTTTTAAATACCATTGAGAGCTTTAAGTATTACTCTCGTTGATTAAAATTGCGCGGGTAAAGTTGATTTGTTTAGAGTCACCCTCTAACGAATCCGACCTCTTCAAGGTCATGAAGAGGGAAAGGTTTTAAAGAAACTGCGCATGTCAGAGGAGGATGTGAAAAGAAAATTTGGTTTTATCAACCGGGTTGATGATGTGAATTGGCCACCGTTGAGTTTTTCTAAAGTTGACGTTTCGAGCGTTAGCCCTTCGTCAATTCGAAGTGAGGTGGGTGAAGTAGAAGATATTCCTGATGATACAGCTTATATAGTGGCCTCACGTCACACACTGGCTTTCCGAACCCGACCTCCTCAAGGTCGTGAAGAGGGAATGATTTTAAAGAAACTGTGCGTGTTAATGAAGGACGTGACAAGAAAGTTTGGTTTTATCAACTGAGTTGATAATTTGGATTGGCCACCGTAGAGTTTTTCTAAAGCTGACGTCTCGTACGTTAGCCCTTGTACAATTCGAAGTGAGGTGGGCTAAGTAAATGATATTCCTGATGATACAGCTCATTTAGTGACCTCACGTCACTCGCTGACTTTCCCAAATGACAGTTTAGTGAGTGAAACTTCTTATCAAGGGCTAATGCGCGAAACGTCAGTGTTAGGCTCTACCGTAGCCAATTTACATCATAAACTCTTCAAAGTCAACTGCCAAACATTGTGCTGTAGAGCCATCATTGCGTAGAATTTTTGTATGAAAAATGGAAATCGAATATAGATAAAGAATTAATAAAATTCATTAAAACTTTTTCTATCTCTGAAAGGAAGATACGGAGAGCTATCCAGCGGTTTACCTCGAATGATAAAGTGGTCCAATTCACATACGTATACATCCATGCATACATCTACACACATACACACCCGTACAAACCCGCATACAAATAAATGTATTTGATTCATGTGTCATTCAGTCTCTATTTTGAATTGTGAACAGAATTCTATTCTATTTCATCGTGTTAATATCGTATTGTTGTCTGTTGTAAGTGGTTCATTGTAGGTAATGTATTGTTTCTAGAATAAATTATGTATTGGCAAATTTTATTAAAAAACGTTAAATGCATTTTGTTTTCGTACGTCAAACAATTATAACTCATGATGGATTTGAACCCGTAAAAATGAAACATCTTTTTTTTTTTCAACAGGGAACGTCAGACTTAGTTGTTCATCCCTTTGGAAAGGTTAGATTTTCTTCACAAGATCGATCACAGTACAACTGAAGCCTCTTCCTTTAGAGGGTGAGCTGTCTGTGCGTGATAACCGACTCTTCATGAATCGATGAAGAGCTAATCAGCAATTTACTGCGAAGTAAATCGATTTCGATTTCGTAAGTCCCACTTTTATAACTAATGACAGATTTGAGCATATAAAAATGAAACATTTTATTCCCGTTTAATAGGGTACGCCAGGCTTCAGTGTCCATCGCAGTTAGATCAGTTATGCCACCCTAAGGAAGAAAAATTATGAAATAATATAATGAACATCACTTGACGATCTGCGTGCTCAAGGAATTAGCTGAACTAATAGAAATTTTATTGTCCTTTACAATGAATTTCCGGTGACTAAATAGGCATTAACACCAACATAACTGTAAGGGGGTAGATTAAGGGTAATTCGGCCAAATCTTGCAGGCTTTTCTTTTTATCCAGAAGTTTAGTGACATCACCTTGGAAAGATAAATGCAATCGACGGTAGGGCATCATATGGACAATTATATTTACTATATTCGTTTTCAGGGACATTCGTCTGATAAATGCGCTCATTGCTTTTAAAATGAACAATCTTTGCAAATGTTGCCATATTCCCGAATGTCAATAACTTACAGCTGTGATCATCTCGGTAATGAACCAAAAGAACGGTGTTTCAATAAAATCGAGCGAGGGAATTTCCAGTACAAACATTTTGGACGGTACATTATTTAAACTGTCGAATAGTTCTCGAGAAAACTAGAGCAATTTTCTCATTAATCATTCTTGTATTATTCATGAATAAGAAATAAAATAGAGTGATCCTAATGGTCTGCATTGCACATACGTTTTGACAGCCGGTTTAACAAAATCAATAAACTAAGAATGGGGAAACTAGAACTTATATTGTAGACTATTCTTTTCTGATTCCTTTCTGATTTCTTTTGATTTCCATGGATTTTTCATTAGCTGAATTTGCATTTTATTCTTGTCTTTTTTGTTTGTTTTTAATCAAAGAAAATAATGCCTTAAAAATAAATCAGCGAGTCAGGCTATGACACATGGTAGCAGTTTGTTTCCTTTGAGAAAAGGTAGCTTCCTTACCTCACAATACATGATATAACCAAGCCTCTTATTCTTCAATCTTTTTCATTGATTGAATCTATGAGCTTCATTATCAATTAAGAAGGGACTATCTTTTCCAATTTCTTTCTATTTCCGGTTTCCTAATTATCTGCCTTAAGAAAGTTGAGACACTGGCAAGAGAAATTTTTTGAGTTTCCTCATGCGATTAGAAAGACCAGAAGTTCTAGTTCGATCACAAATCCTGTGACAAATTCTTAGTAACAACGAAACTTTTTGATTTTCAAATATGAATGTAGTTTAAGTCAGGCACAACTGTCTATCACCTGAGTGAAATGTGAACAAAGGTAGAAAAAACTGAATATTAAAACCAAAACTCTTAGTAATTTTTTTTTTTTTTATGCAATTATCATTTGGTATCTATTTGTTTATAACCTGTATGAGCTTTCTTAGCATTGATTTATTATATTCCAATCGTAACTGTTTTAAAACTACAATTAATTCCATTGTCATTCCTTTAGGCCCATTTGCCGATAATCTTTAAGTTCTCTTTGAAGTTTGTAAGACTTTTCACTAATCTTCAGACTGCTCCAACATTGAGGATGTACATAATAGATTTTTGGCTTTAACGTTCACTCACAAAAAGATGAAAGACAGAAATCGGTAGGAATATGATTCAACCTAAGGGCAAAATGTTTCTTTTACATCATGTGACGAGATGAAGGAACCAAAAAACCTAGGTCAAAGAATAATATATAGATTTAGCCAAGCCTAAAAGCGGAGCTCGTATTTTTTTTTTCCCCGCACGTCTCAAGGGCACAACGCCTTGCCCCGGCCAGGACTAGAACCCGGGTCGCCCGACTCGCAGCCCAGTGCACTGACCACTGAACTACTGGACAAAGCCGTGGCGTTGGCGTGCCCGCGGTACAGTTGACCACGCATGTTAAAAGAAGCACCTTGTACGGTCGTACGGTCGAACGGTCGTACATCCAATTTTTTTCGGCTTGGTGGGCTACTACTATTTTGCATAATTTTGGGGCTACGCTCTGCGAGCTCCGTTACTATTTACGACAGTGACCCAGTGAGTTAAGTCTAGTTTCTACGGTTCGCTTACCTGCGAGTTAACAAAGTCGATGTACTTCAACACGGAAGCTGAGTCAGTTCAGTAATAAACTTGGTCTTCTGTCATTTCCAATTCTTCTCCAATAATTCTGGAGAGCCTTACGCAGATAACACTGACTGTCAGTTCCAATATTGGAATTGAAATTTCACGTATGGGACTTGCTTTTTCCATGACAAATGCACAGTGAACTTGGTTAATGACATTTTTCAAACGGAAGTAAACGAAGGCTGAAATTCATTATCATGGCCAATTTACATTGTCAACTCAGTTGGTAAAGCCAAATAGTTTTTTAATACCCCACCAAAGTTTCTTCAAAAACTTACCCCGTTGGTTATAGAAACTATGCATGTGGAAAATTCTTATTGCAAAAGTTAAAATAAAGTCTGTCAGTTTTTTTTATCGTTTTCCAATGACTTTAAAGTCATGTAATGTTCTGCAAAAATCCCAACTTGAGGAAAATGAAAGGTGACCAACCGACTTCTTCACATTTTTTTTGGTTTTGTTTTTAAGCGGATATTGTGAATTCTAACACTTTCAACTTGTTACAAATAGTTTCCGGGTGTAATCGACCCAGCCCGTTTTTGTTACTTAACATGTGTGTTCCTGTTTGAAGTGACTTGTTATTAATCAAGATTATCGACCATTTAGTATTGTGTTACTAAAAATAATGTTTCCCTGACAACAGGTGAGGATTGCAATGGAAACCTAACAGCAGAAGCCATGACACCTTTCATGAGCCTCGCCTTATTTGTTGCCCTGTTCTTGCTCAACTCAGATCGCATTCAGAAAGCCATTGAGATATGCAGCGAATGTTTGATTTTGCTAAATGGCACCGATCAAAACAGCAAAGACCAATTTGATTCAGCACTGCTACAATTTTACAGCGACATCTATACCGTTCTTTTCAGCGCTTATCGTCATATCTCTGACTACATAAGTGCGGAAAGATACGGAAGGAAACTGTTTGACTTATACAGAGGGTATGGAATTATGCTTTATAAACTTGGCGAAAGCCTAAAAGCAAAGGAATATTTTGAGAGGGCCCTTGCCATATCAACCAAAATTGGCGACAGAGAAGGGGAAGCATTATGTTATGGAAACCTAGGTACTGTGTTTCTGTCCGTTAGCCAATACGACAAGGCTGAAGAGTATCTCCAAAAAGCGCTTGTCATCAGAACTGAAATTGGCGACAGAGGAGGGGAAGCATCATGTTATGGAAACCTAGGTACTGTGTTTAAGTCGCTTGGCCAATACGACAAGGCTATAGAGTATCTCCAAAAAGCGCTTGTCATCAGAACTGAAATTGGCGACAGGGAAGGAGAGGCAACTGGCTACGGAAACCTAGGAACTGTGTTTCAGTCACTCGGGCAATACGACAACGCTAAAGAGTATCTCCAAAAAGCGCTTGTCATCACAACTGAAATTGGCGACAGAAGAGGAGAAGCATCATGTTATGGAAACCTGGGAACTGTGTTTCACTCGCTCGGGCAATGCGACAAGGCTATAGAGTATCTCCAAAAAGCGCTTGTCATCAAATCTGAAATTGGCGACAGAAAAGGAGAAGCATCATGCTATGGAAACCTGGGAACTGTGTTTCACTCGCTCGGGCAATGCGACAAGGCTAAAGAGTATCTCAAAGAAGCACTTGTCATCAAATCTGAAATAGGCGACAGAGAAGGAGAGGCAACTGACTGCGGAAACCTAGGAACTGTGTTTCAGTCGCTCGGGCAATACGACAATGCTAGAGAGTATCTCGAAAAAGCGATTGTCATCAGAACTGAAATTGACGACAGGTAAGGAGAGGCAACTGACTACGGAAACCTAGGAACTGTGTTTCATTCTCTCGGGCAATACGACAAGGCTGTAGAGTATCTCCGAAAAGCGCTTGCCATCAAATCTAAAATTGGCGACAGAGGAGGAGAAGCATCATGTTATGGAAACATAGGAGCTGTGTTTCAGTCGCTCGGGCAATACGACAAGGCTTAAGAGTATCTCCAAAAAGCGCTTGTCGTCACAACTGAAATTGGCGACAGAAGAGGAGAAACATCATGTTATGGAAACCTAGGAACTGTGTTTCAATCGCTCGGGCAATACGACAAGGCAAAAGAGTATCTCCAAAAAGCGCTTGCCATCAAATCTGAAATTGGCGACAGAAAAGGAGAAGCATCATGTTATGGAAACCTAGGAGCTGTGTTTCAGTTGCTCGGGCAATACCACAAGGCTATAGAGTATCTCGAAAAAGCGCTTGTCATCAGAACTAAAATTGACGACAGAGGAGGAGAGGCAACTGACTACGGAAATCTTGGTACTGTGTTTCAGTCGCTTGGGCACTACGACGAGGCTAGAGAGTATCTCCAAGAAGCCCTCGCTATCAATTCTGAAATTGGCGACAGGAGAGGACAAGCATCGTGTTATGGAAACCTAGGAACTATGTTTCAGTCGCTCGGGCAATACGACAAGGCAAAAGAGTATCTCCAAAAAGCGCTTGTCACCAGAGCTAAAATTGGCGACAGAGAAGGAGAGGCAACTGACTACGGAAATCTTGGTATTGTGTTTCAGTCGCTTGGGCAATACGACAAGGCTAAAGAGTATCTCCAAGAAGCCCTCGCCATCATAACTGAAATTGGTGACAGAAGAGGAGAAGCATCATGTTATGGAAACCTGGGAACTGTGTTTCACTCTCGTGGGCAGTACGACAAGGTTAAAGAGCATCTCCACAAAGCGCTCACTATCAGAACTGAAATTGGTGATAAGGAAGGGGAGGCAGCAGATCTTGCAAACCTTGGAGTTTTGTCTAGAACTGTTGGAGATTATGAAGCTTCGGAAGTATGTTTGGAGAAAGCTTTATCCATATCTAGAGATATTGGAGACAGAAGAAAAGAGTTCCAATCCTTCAAGAGCACGCTATTTTGTATTTATATCAAAATAAAATCAAAGACTCCCTTTCGCGTCTTCATCTATGCATTGAAAAGTATGAGGAGCTAAGACATTTCTTGGGCGCCAATGATCAATTCAAAACATCCTTTCTGGAGGACTCAGGAACATTTACCCACAAGCTGCTTTGTAATTTGCTTTGTGCCACCGGAAATTCTCGGGATGTTCTTTACGTTGAGGAGTTGATTCGAGCTAGAGGCCTATCAGACTCGATGGTAGAGAAGTACTCGGTTGAGACGCACATCTCTGCTAATCCACAATCTTGGTTTGGCATTGAAGACATCTCTAGAAAGGAAGATAACTGTACTTGTCTGTACATTTCAATTTTTCAAAATGATTTGCATTAGTGGATCTTGAAAACAAGTGGAGTCCTTCACTTTAAAAGAATATCTGTGGAAGAGAATCTAGTTCAGGCTGGGTTGCCCAAAGATTTGCCTTTAAGTAAATTTTTGGCAGATTGTTTGCAACCTCTCTCCCCCGAGCAAAAGAGCTCAGCAAGATTGCGACTCGTGGAGGAACACGAGGACGAGAACGAAGGAGTCGTTTCAAGACTATCTTTGTGTTACAAAATGTTTATTGCCCCCGTTTATAATTTGTTTGAGGAGCCTGAAGTCATAATCGTCCCTGACCGCTGTTTGTACAAAGTTCCGTTTGCTGCTCTCCGTGAAAAGGAGGGGGCCGAATACCTGTCGGAGACTCAAAGGATCCGTGTCATTCCTTCTTTGACAACACTCAAGATCATTCAAGATAGTCCACAGGACTATCACAGCAACACTGGTGCCTTGGTAATAGGCAATCCCAAGGTTGATTGGCTGCTACCATTGCCAGGTGCAAGAAAGGAAGCGGAGATGGTCGGACGATTGGTGGGTGTTCCGCCTCTGGTAGACGAGAAAGCAACGAAGCAGGCGGTACTTGAGCGGATAAGTTCAGTGAGCCTGATACATTTTGCTGCGCATTGTAACGCCGAGAGGGGAGAAATTGCCCTTTCTCCCATTCCTGCTCCTATCGGTCGAAACGCTATCCTACCACAGGAAGCTTACATGTTGACGATGGCTGATGTCTCACGAGTAAAAATCAGAGCTAAACTGGTGGTGCTTAGCTGCTCTCACAGTGGAAGTGGACAGATGAGAGCCGAGGAATTTATAGGAATTGCCCGCAATTGTTCTTAGGATCCGGTGCTCGCTCTGTGTTGGTTGCGCTGTGGACCATTTCAGACTCAGCAACAGAGCAGCTGATGAGTCGGTTCTACAAACACCTTGTTGAAGGAGAAAGTGCCAGTGAATCCCTTCATCAGGCCATGAAGTGGATGAGAAAAAACGGCTTTACCAAAGTGTCTGAGTGGGCTTCGTTTACGCTGATTGGAGATGATGTGAGGCTCGAGTTTGGCAAGCAGAGGTAAGACTCGGTGAGGACAGGTATTTCATAAATTAAAGTTAAAATTAGATGTGAAGGTGGCTTTAACTTACTGGTCGCTGACTGTCGGCGGTGATCCTTTTCCATGGTGTAAAATATAGAATTTCGAAAGCGTCTCTCTGCCAATCAGATATAAGTGTACATTTGCCTATATATTGTGCCTGGTATAACTGTATTTGCTTTATTTAAGAAATGTTGATTATGTTATTTATAATTGTTTTTCTTTTTTTACGTTTGTTACAGGAAAGAAGATGAGAAAATCTCGAAGTAAACAGACCTTAGAGACTTTTAGCTGGATAAACAAATAGATAAAGTACAGAAAATACTCTATCGGTTATTTCATTGTGTAATTAAAGAAGGACAATCTTCAATTAAGCATATTAATTTCAATTTTTTGCGTTCTCTTTTCCGATCTTCTCGGAAGGAGGTATTGGTTACGTATCCGAGAATATTTTTTTCTGCACAAAAATTATCTTATCCGGCCGATATAATTAGCACGAAACATTATTGACTTAGGGCTCTTAAGCGAAGTGAAATCAGGAAAGTTAAAACAGTAGTTTAAGCATAAAAAACGAGCCATTTAAGTCTTACAGGGTTACAGGTTTTGTTAACAGAATCCTAAATTTTTTATGTAAAATCTTTACGGAAAGTTTTTCTTTTGGTGAGTTCCAGTACAACTTCTGAGTGCTTAAAAGACTGGAAAAAAGTACATGGATTTCTAAATAGAACCATGGGAAAAGCTATCAAGGTCAAGAACGTTGTTACTATAAAGTTGAAAAATTACAGCAGCAATATTTTGAAACTGGTTCAACAAGTCACTTTCGCATTGTAATGTTTGAATTAATGTATGTTTGCATGGTGATTTGATCGTTTTTAGGTCAGATCATTGTCAAAATGTTGTTGGGGGAATCAAAATATTCTTGTTTTTTACCACGCGAGAGTTTGTTTTAACCAGGTTACAGAGTAAAACATATAGCACTGTTGTTCATTGTTAAGGCGGCAAGGTGGCGGGATCTGGTAGGAGTGTCTGCATGCGATCCACTGACGCTTTCCTGCGCATAAAACATCAACAAACGCTACGATCGCAAGAAGGTTGTTTTGTTTCTCAATGCATTACAGTGCATTTCTTTGATCGTAACAAGTAACAACCCATGTTACTTGATACTTGTCTTATCATCAAAAAAATTCTGGCGATGAAGTTCTGGTGATTAGTATGCTAGCGTCAAATATTAGTTCCAGTATCAAATAGTAATACAAGCAGCAACAGTTATAGCGTCAAAAGATCATACCAAATTATGGGAGCCAAACGAGTTTTTCATCCCTTCATTTGACGAAAATTACATTAATTTCAACATAAAAACTTGAAGCATAAATAAGTGATTACATGCACGAAAAAAAAATTTGATCATGTCACGTGTTCTTGATAAGGTACCCTTCTTATTTCCCCCTTGAACAATTTCTAAGGGCGTTTAACATCACGCTAATTATTCTGTTATTACCTGAACTATGAGTATCAGTGTAGTGAGGGATTCTCCTTCCTACCCCAACCTACTCGCCCCAACCCCCTTCCTTCCCTACTCCGGTCTGCTTTAAAAAGGAAATTAAAGAGATGAATTCTTGCCGCGTTTGTTTGGAAACCTTTCTGTGAGCTATGTTTCAAACCATCGACCCCTTCTTGATTAACCAGCATGTTTTGAGTCATTTGGGTGCTATAGAGACTAATCTTTACATAGCAGTAAAACATAGAATAAAAGACCCGTTCAAGGTGTGTAGGCCTTGTAGGAGAAAATTAAGAAAAGCCTTTGGTTTTTATTCTTTTTGCTCTCGACCAATTAGCCCGCAGCAGTTTACACGGTTATTTTAAAAGCTTTTAATAAGAAATATCTTCGCAAAATTTAGAAGTCATTCTGAAATTTTTTAGGTGACTGGCTTTTGTTTCTGTTGTGGTAGCGTTACACTTTTCCTAGACCATGAAACGTTGATGTCAAGTGCAGTTTCCTGGGCATTTTACTTTCCTTCCAATGCATAGAACATTAGAAATGAAATATCTGGAGGCCAAAATTTAAGAGTGTGTCCACGAGATCACCAGGCAGTCGTGCTACATGCCATCTCACCGATTTCAATGAAACTTTGCAAGTTTAAGGGGTCTACCCCAAAACTCAAACAGACAAACTGGTCTCTGTTTTGGTTCTTTCCGGGGGAGGATAGACCACCCCCCGGTTTTTCTTGGTTTTCACCAAGGAAATCGCTTCAAAATGGGTAAAATGTAGGAAGCTGTTCCTGCGATGGTTTTTAACCGATTCTTCTGAGAGTTTGCATACATTTTGTTACACCCTCAGTTAGCAGATCTAAAACTTTCTTTCCACTACTGGTTGTTTCAAAGAACCCTTGTTATTTATAATTTTTTGCAATTAGAATATGAAACTGGGTCCCGATAAGTTTTATGTTTTGTGACTCCCAAAAACTGTGTTTGCGACAACATAAATTGAGAAAACAAAGGGAGACGTTACATAGACAAGTATGTAATGTGTTGAGAGGTCAAATATTCCCACTTAATCTGTGACCCTGAAACAGATCACGTACGTCCGAAAAATGTTACGCATTTACAACGCCGCAGGCGCACCTGGCGATTCTTTCTACTTACTTCAATTGAAAAGAGACAAGTTATTTACTTAAGCAAGCTTATTCACCCAACTTGTAAAATTCCTGGATGAAGCCTGCTATTGTCAGGTTAAACGCATGAGATATAATTACAAGTTTTTACTTTCTCAGTCGGTGCAATGATGCACACTAGTTTGTTCCGTCAAAAAAAAATCGTCTTTAATGTAAAGTCACGTCGACCTCGCAGAAAAATTAAGGCTCACCCTGTGATAGTCACTGGTTTGATACCGTACGTATTAATTACGATACATCATTGTGCTTTGATCACAGCAGTGAAAATGTGCATTTCCTCACGCTCGCCACATTCATTACTAGTCGTAGTCGTTGATTATCAAGTACGTTCGTGGTGGAGATTGAAGGTTTTCTTTGGTTTTCGTGCTAACGCAGGTCTTATGCGAAACAGGGAACGAATGGTTGGGTACCTATTACGCGGTTTGAGGTAAATAAGTTTAAACCAGAGGGAAACGTCTGCAGAGGAGTTGAAGGCTAGGTGGAAAATATTGTACAGTAAAGAGGCCGATGATGTTAGGAGCTGAACAAGACTTTATTGCCCGCAAAAACCGCCACTCAACTTGCCGCCTGTGACTTCGCTGTGACATGGCCACCAAGGAAAGATCGGCGTCAAATGCTTTATTGTTCCTGAAAGAACACAACTCGTTTGAAATAGTTTTCCTAATGTTCCAGAAGTGATGCAAACTTCCCTCAGGCTTGGATAATGGATAAAAGTTAGCTATAAAAGTCTGAAAAAACGGTTAAGCTTACTTCAAACGGGAGAAATTACCGCTTTTACTCTTCTTCCAGTTAAACTACTCGGCACAAGGTGAGCGATTGCCATTTGCGCATCGGAATGTGACATGGACAAAATGAGATAGACTATTCAAGATGGCGTTGAAAATGCAAACGGATGACGAAAATGAGTACCATATAAGATCAGCCTTGAGTAACACGGGAATCCCAACTGAGCACCATAGGACTATGGGTTGCGTTCTCCTAATGTCGAACGCAAGTACATTTGGAAAATTAATTTACTCGAGGGCGAGGTCACCGGTTGGCAAGTCTTGACTCTGGCCGACGATAATTGCCAACGAGCGGCGAGGTAACCACCCTATTGAGTACCATGAAATTCTTGTCAAATGTTATAAAAACTTTGTCTTCCCTTGATTCGCACGCAAAAAAAAAAAAAAAGACAAATTTGGCCCTCCCACAACAGCCCAACGGATGGTATTGATCCTATGTAGTGTATGTGTATCAATTGTATTGCGTCCTCATAGTGATGCTACATAAGTGAGCGAGCGTCAAAAAAGCTCTCAATCCTCACACTGGAAACCTTCAGCAAACTCATCGTAGAAGCGGGTGGTTATCAGCAACGTGCACAGATCTCTGAACCCGGGCCATCGCGAGAACTACTCAATCAGTCACAGACAGAGCAAGAGAGCGAGATATTCTTGTCAAGAGGAAGGATGTATCAAAACGTTACAGTCATATTTACTGCCTTCCAAAGGCACCTTAACATAGGTAGAGACACAAATTGAAGCTGAAAAAAATATCCGCCTTTGATGAGCTCAAGAGGAAATAGACGGAGGCTTACCAATCTGTAGGGGATGGCTACGTTCAAGGTCGGACCTCGGGCAAAAATTCTGACGAACAACCCCTTACTAGCCAGGTGGACCGCTTTGGATGGGCACCCACCTCTGTAAGTATGAATAAGGACGAAGAGGTTGATGCCGATGATCTACTTTCAGAAACTGACCGAACAAGGCACAAGATCAGAAGGGACTTTGAAAAATTTAGACGAAGACTGCAAGAGATGGTACAGCTGCCATAGGCTACAAAAAAATACAGACCTTTGCATCTCACTTTTCTCTCAAAATTATTGTCTTTACCCATGAAAACAACTAGCTATGTCCTCGGATGTTTTCATCAAGGGAAATTTGCGTAAGTACGTCATGTATGGGAAATTATTATGGATATTACTGTATATATGTAAAATTATAGGACATAATATGTATTAAATAGATTAATTCCCCATGGCCTACCTAGACAAACTTGGGTAGGTACGTCATGTATGGGCACATATTATGTCCTCAATACATAT